ATCCAAATCTGACTTCAAGTCAGATTTCCGATATTTGACTTGAAGCCAATTCTTTTAAAAAATTTGAATTCAAGTTAGTTAGGCACAAGTTATTACTCTCGTCCGAAATCAATGCACGTTGCGGCCGAAAATTTACTCAAAATCGCAGATTTCTCAGCCGCCACGTGCATTGACTTCGGACAAGAGTAATAGTTAGGGCAAGTGAAATAAGTGACCTCTTGTTCCGCTGTTTCTTGATGATTTCTGGCGGAAAGACGATGCAATGTGAGTAGCGCTTCCCGTTCTTCCACTTTGGTAATGTCCACAACTTCCAGCTCCGTTTCTTCGTTGAAGAAGGTCACGTGATAACAGGAGAGCAGCTTCACATCCGACTTCCACAACACTATTTCATCGGCGTTTTTGAGTCTTCTCTCAGCAATCAAAATTTTCTTTCCGTTCAGTACAATCTGAAAACATCACAATTAATACCAATTCTGATTTCAAGTCAAATTTAATTACCATCTCAGAAACTGAACTAGACGTACGAAAAATAATTGATAACTTTGGACTGATCGATACACCATTTGGATCCAGTACATGTTCATTAGTGACCGCATCCACGATAATTCGACCTCTGCCTTTACGAATCATTGTCAATGGACTTTCGCTGGGAATGACAAAGGTTTCAGCATGTCCTAAGTTTCCGAGCCATTCCAAGGTTGGCTCAGTTTCCGATTGCACAACAATTGAGATCAGCTGTCCGGGAACAAATAATCCGGAGACTGTAAAATAAAGAGAATGATGGTGGAAAAAAGAAAACACATGCTCACTTTTCCCATTTTTTAGGTAATCACGAATGAGATTTTTGTGGTCAAGGTTGTTAGCTTTTTCAGTGAGTGGGTTAAAGAGAAATACCATCTCCATAATGCCTGGAAAAAACAAATTACGCAGGTTCAAGTTATCTGACTTTAAGGCAAATTTCAGCAACGTAAAGGGGGGGGGGTGGGGTTCAATCTGACTTGAAGTCAGATTGAATATCGGGATTAAGATTTTGGTGCAACTAAAATTTGACTTGAACTGAAATCAGTTTTAGTCAAACTAAAATGAGAGTACACGAAACGAAAATAAATGAGGTGTGAACACAATAGCGCGGACGAGCAAAAAAAAAGAAACGACCTCCTCCCAGCAAGACAAATGGCACGAATGACTGAAGCAGAGCAGAAATGGCAAGTCTCCGCCCCTTTACCGTATGATGGGTCTCACCACGAAAACGCGTATCTAACTAATAACTGACGTGGCACCTAAAATCTGATTCAAACTACAAATTTGAGTTGAGCTGAAATTTCGAGTTGAACTGAAATATCGAGTTGACTTGTTATATTCATTGAAAAGCAATCATAGCCGTTGCTAGCGCCTCTTGAAATCTGACTTCAAGTCAGAATTGAAAACTTAAAATCATATCCTCATCTGGCAAATCATCAGTCGTCGACGAACGCGAGTTCTCTTTTTCATAAACAGGTTGAGAACAGAACACAAGAATTAAAAAATATAATTTATTGAAATGGGGTTAGTAAAGTTCTACAATTAAGTTGAAAAACAAAAACAAAAACAGTTCCATACAGAAAAGTTGGGTTAGAAAAAACGATAAAGAAGAAACTGAAATTCGTGGTTGTTTTCTTGCGTGGTTGTTTTCCTAAGCTCATCGTCTCCTTACAGTGGTGATTGAAGCATCCGTCATTCTCTGAATGAAATTTTTGAGTCTCGTCTGACCTGATTTCAAGTCAGATATGCAAACCTGCGTGTAATCAGAAGATTACAAAGGGGGGATCGATCTGACTTCAAGTCAGATTAAGCAAAAGGATTCAAATTGGTGCAACTAAAATTTGAGTTGAACTGAAATCAGTTTTAGTCAAACTAAAATGGGACGAATGCAACTACTACCCTCCCAAAATGCTACCCTGCGCCTCGACTCAGGTATCCTAGCTCTAAGCCTAAGCCTAAGCCTAAGCCTAAGCCTAAGCCTAAGCCTAAGCCTAAGCCTAAGCCTAAGCCTAAGCCTAAGCCTAAGCCTAAGCATCCTAATCTAACTAGACGACATGCGAATCTACCTAGGCGATATGCGAATCTAGCTAGCCGGCTTGCCGATCTAAAGCGGTTGCGTTAGAACATAGAATTAGCTAGTTTAGATTTGGTTAACTTCTAATTAGACGTGAAACGATTTCCCTGAGTACGGGGTATTTTCTTGTTCCGTTTTATGTTGAACAGTAACATTAGAAATCTTGTGCGAATTTTGTTAATTCTTCCTCGAACGACGAAAATTGAAAGCGTGCAGTAAATAAATGATCATCGACTCTATTTGAAATTCCCGCGCGCAACGACACTCCGTTATTCGGCGGAATAGGAATGACAACCACAGGAGCAGGAATATATTAAATCTCTCGAAATGACCCTAGTTGATATTTGTATTTTTAAATTTTTTACTAAATTTTCTAAAGTGTTCAATTTATTGTTTTTTAGCCAAATTTTTTGAATTTGGCGCCAAAAAGCGGGTGTCCCAGAGGAAGGGAAACATGGGGTTTTTGCCTAACTAGTAAGCCTATAATTTTAAGCAAAAACAAAAATACTTGAAAAAAAATTTAACCAAAAATGTGCGATTTTCACTGATTTCCCCCAATTTCGGTACTTTTTCGGCTAAAATTTTTTTCCAGCGCCCAAGTGTATATGTAGGTTTTCCAATGCGATTAATTATTGATGACTCTTCATTAGGCTCTGATTTGTTCACTTTTTCGATCCGACGTCCTATAAATCGCAAAAATTGAAACTGCAAATGTGGTCGACGAAATCAGTATGTAAAACTTCAGATTCTTAGTAAGTGAACATCACATAAGGGACTGCTTTGTCTTTATAATTTTTGAAAAATATTTCACATAACGGGAGAGTCGCTCGTAAAAAATTTTCCATTATCTCACTAGGCACCCGCACACAACAGGGTTTTACCATTCGTTTCAGGGTGTGTACTCAGGCCCTCTATAAGTTTTTTGTCACTTTGAGCGGCCTTGCTGACCATTTAGGCAAAATAGGAAGATCAACCAAAAATTTTAGTTATCAAAAATACATTGGAAAACAACTACGGAATCATTCTAAAAAACTGTGGAAGACACAAAAGATGAGAAAAAAAAGGAAGAAGCTAAAGCTAAAACGGAAATTTCAAACGACTATTATTTGGGAAGTGATTCGACAGCCTTCGCGGCGGCCTCATCCAGGTTGTTAGCTGTGAGAATCTTGAGTCCAGATTTCTTCATAATTTGCTTAGCAGCGTCCACATTTGTTCCTTCCAAACGGACAACCATCGGCACTTTCAGTCCAATCTTATTCACAGCGTTGACAACTCCATTCGCAATTGTGGCACAATTAACGATCCCTCCAAAAATATTGATGAGAACGCATTTGACACGTGGATCCGATGTGATTATCCTCACTGCATTGAATACGGCGTCTTCAGTGACAGCTCCTCCTACGTCGAGAAAGTTCGCTGGTTCGCCGCCGTGCAATTTGATCAAGTCCATGGTGGCCATAGCTAGGCCAGCTCCGTTAACTGAAAACAAATCTAATAACAATGAACGTTGGCAACCTCCAACCGAGACAAGCAATGTTGCCGTCCATTCCGATGTAGTTGAGATTGAATTGATGAGCGTCTACTTCTCGTGGATCCTGAAATAAACATTTTCAAAATAACAGTGAGGGCCAAGATATTATTCCAGTCCAAAAGACTCAGCGTCAAACACTTACATGCTCTTCGAATGTCTCATAAGCAAAGATGTCTTTCTGTCTGTATGAAGCACTATCATCAAAGTTCATCTTGGCGTCAACACAGAAGACACGACCATCGGCAGTTTCCACCAATGGATTAATCTCCACTTGTGTTGCATCGACGGCGATAAACAGATCGTAGAGCCGTTTGATTTCTGTGGCCGCAGCGCCTAGAAGTTTTCCTTCAAACTGAAGTTCCTTGGCGATTTTAAGAGATTGAGCCTCAGTCATTCCCATTTGAATATCGATTGGTGTCTGGAATAATTTCACTCTCACTCTCTCTTTTGCGATTAATTTTAAACAGTCTACTTTGAAAATTCTATCTGGAGTCTTCTCAGCAACAGCTTCAATATCCATCCCACCATCCGGAGAGGCAACTACTACTGGTCCATTTGATTCGCGATCCATAAGAACGGCCAGATATGTTTCCCTTTTGATATCGACACCTTCAGCGATCATTACTTTATCGACACGAACTCCGTCTTCGGTGGTCTGCTTCGTCACCAAACGCTTCCCGATCATCTCGTCGATCGCGTCAAGAGCTTCTTTCTTTCTAGAAAATGTGAAGGATCGTAAAATTTCAATAAGGAATCTTACTCTTTTGTAATATAAACACCTCCGATCCCTTTGGTGCCATCAATGAATTTTCCTTTACCTCGACCACCTGCCAGAATTTGAGCCTTGACAACGTATTCATGATTACCTGAAGAAAATAATATTCAAACATATATGCTAAAGAAATATTTGTCTAGAAATCTCCCCGTCGTCGCCCGTTCCGGTTTAAGAGGCGGCGCAGTGGAAACAGTTCCCCATAAGTCCTCAAATACTAAAGAATGTCGAAGATTTTAATAGAACGTTATCGTATTTTTTCTTTGTGAATACCGTATAAAGGGAGTCCCACGGAAATGAACTCGCCCGAAAATGAACTCGCCACAGAAATGAATTTGCCGAAAATGAACTCGCCAAAAATGAACTAGCGAAAAATGAACTTGCCCGAAAATGAACTCGCCCGAATATGAACTCGCCCGAATATGAACTCGCCCGAAAATGAACTCGTTCGTGGCCGCCATAATTGAAAGCATTACGCCCGTAGGCTGAAAAATATTCGATTTTTTATTTAAGTCATTTATGTATAGACAAATAATGAAGAAAAAGTTTGAAAAACGAACGAAAACGAAGATTTTTCCCCACCACGAACGAGTTCATTTTCGGGCGAGTTCATATTGGGCGAGTTCATTTTCGGGCAAGTTCATTTTTGACGAGTTCATATTCGGGCGAGTTCATCTTTGGCGAGTTCATTTTCGGCAAGTTCATTTCCGCCGAGTTCATTTCTGTGGCGAGTTCATTTTCGACTGAGTTCATTTCCGAAAAGTTCATTTCCGGGGGACTCCCCGTATAAAGTGTGAAACACCAAATTTATGTCAGAAAACTCCCACGAAAAAATGTTTCGCTTTTACCGCTTTTTGTCGGATTAAAAAAAGTGACACCTGAAAATCTCGGAGACGGCGCTCGTGTCGATTTACGAGGGAGCGGAGCAAAACGGATACTGTAGATAACAAATTTATTTATGTGAATTTAGTGGGATTTTCTGAGCAAAATTTTGATTTCTTGGTCTAAAAATGATCGTTAGCATCTCTAGAATCTATTTTTCAGCAAAAAACTAAACTCAAACGCGAAAGCAGCTCGAGCGAGCCGAAATTCTGAAATATTACGTTTTGCCGCACTTTTTCGTAGATCAAAAAAGCAAGTTTTCAAATTCTCAGGTGTCACTTTTTTTAATTCGACAGTACATCACATTCGAGGAATCTTTCAAAACAAATTTTTCAGATTTTTTTTTATAATACTGAATACTAACCAAACGACATCCATTTTTCTTCTGCTTCTTTTCTGTTGGCCGCGACAACAAACTTTTGGACACTGCATCCGTGCTTCTCTAGAATCTCTTTACTTTGGAATTCCTGAAGATTGAGGAAACGGCGCTGAGCTTTTGCACCCGTTTTGGACAGTCTAACAACAGCACGCAACATACTCGTCTAGAAAATTGAGTTGACAAACTGACGTGACGCTCGACCATTATTCAATGTTTTGTATACGATAAGTGATTAAGAACTGGATCCAGTTCACCAACTGAAACCTAGTTGAGAAACAAAGCAAACAATAAATATTTAATTTTATTGGTTCACCCTTACAGGTGAATAACGATTGGGTGACAGGGGGCAAAAAGATCGGTAATATAGGGGTTTGGGGGGAAAAGTTTGGGATAAAAACCGAGATCAAAAAAGAAGATAAATAATTAGTCGACCTCCTCGATCGTTGGTCCTCCGGCTCCTCCAGCGGCTCCAGGGGCGGCTCCTGGTGGGGCACCTCCAGCGCTCTGGTAGAGTTTGGAAATGATTGGGTTGGCGAGTTGTTCCAAGTCCTTTTGTTGGTGTTCAAACTCTTCCTTTTCGGCTGTCTGATTGCTGTCAAGCCACTTAAGAATCTCGTCACACTTGTCCTCGACCTTCTTCTTGTCTTCTGGACTGATCTTGTCCTTGAGCTAAAAAAAGCAATTTAAAATCATACATATCGATAATGCACTAACCTTCTCGTCTTCAATAGTCTGCTTAAGGTTGAATGCGTAAGACTCAAGTCCGTTTTTGGCTCCAATGCGCTCCTTTTGGGCCTCGTCATCAGCCTTGTACTTTTCAGCTTCATTGACCATGCGCTCGATGTCGTCCTTAGAAAGTCTTCCTTTGTCATTGGTGATGGTGATCTTGTTTTGCTTTCCTGTGGACTTATCCGTGGCGGAGACATTAAGGATTCCGTTGGCATCAATGTCGAAGGTAACCTCAATTTGTGGAACTCCTCGTGGTGCTGGTGGGATTCCAGAAAGTTCGAACTTTCCGAGCAAATTGTTGTCCTTGGTCATGGCACGCTCTCCTTCATAAACCTGGATCAAAACTCCTGGTTGGTTGTCAGAGTAGGTTGTGAAAGTCTGAGCGGTCTTGGTTGGGATTGTGGTGTTTCTCTTGATGAGAGCAGTCATGACTCCTCCAGCAGTCTCGATACCAAGAGAAAGTGGAGCAACGTCGAGAAGAAGAAGATCTTGAACAGCCTCCGACTTATCTCCGGAGAGAATAGCAGCTTGGACAGCGGCTCCGTAGGCAACAGCTTCGTCTGGGTTGATAGACTTGTTGAGTTCCTTTCCGGAGAAAAGGTCAGAAAGAAGTTTCTGGACCTTTGGAATACGAGTCGATCCTCCTACAAGAACGATGTCGTGGACCTGAAATATGCAATTTTCGTTTTGAAGAAATTGTTCGGACGACTAAGAAAGTGACAACGCACCGAAAGCGAACACTAGGGTTATGTCCTTATAGTATATCCTCATATTATATCGGCATACACTACAGAAACTGAAGCCGGAACAGTAGAGGTTGAGAAAATAAGCTATTAATTCAGCTACTTACTTGACTCTTGTCCATCTTGGCGTCACGAAGAGACTTCTCGACTGGGTCCATGGTGGATCTGAAGAGATCAGCGCAAAGCTCCTCAAAACGAGCACGAGTGATGTTGGTGTAGAAATCGATTCCTTCGAATAGAGAATCAATCTCGATCGAAGCCTGGGAAGACGACGAAAGAGTTCTCTTTGCGCGCTCGCAAGCAGTACGAAGACGACGAAGAGCACGTGGATTGGAAGCAAGGTCCTTCTTGTGCTTGCGCTTGAACTCAGCGACGAAGTGGTTAACCATGCGGTTGTCGAAGTCTTCTCCTCCAAGATGAGTGTCTCCAGCGGTAGACTTGACCTCGAAAATTCCATCCTCAATAGTGAGAATAGAGACATCGAAAGTACCACCTCCAAGATCGAAAATGAGAACGTTGCGTTCTCCAGCTCCCTTCTTGTCGAGTCCGTAGGCGATAGCGGCAGCAGTTGGCTCGTTGATGATACGAAGAACGTTGAGTCCGGAGATAGCTCCGGCATCCTTGGTAGCTTGACGCTGCGAATCGTTGAAGTAGGCTGGTACGGTGATAACGGCGTCCTTGACGGTGCTTCCGAGGAAAGCCTCGGCGGTTTCCTTCATCTTCAGCAGAACCATGGAGGAGATTTCTTCTGGAGTGAAGATTTTGGTCTCTCCCTTGTACTCGACCTGGACCTTTGGTTTTGCTCCCTCAGCAGAGATAACTTTGAATGGCCAATGCTTCATGTCGGATTGAACAGCTGGATCGTCAAACTTGCGTCCGATAAGACGTTTTGCGTCTGAAAAAACAGTTATGAAGAATACCAGCTTGTTAAGAAAGCCAGCGTTTCTATGCTCCAAGAGAGCATACTACTTACCGAAGACAGTGTTGTGTGGATTCATGGCGACTTGATTTTTGGCAGCATCTCCGATGAGACGTTCAGAGTCGGTGAAAGCAACGTACGATGGAGTGGTTCTGTTTCCTTGATCGTTAGCAATGATCTCGACCTTTCCGTGTTGAAAAACTCCGACACAGGAGTAAGTGGTTCCGAGATCGATTCCAACTGCGTTGTGCTTACTCATTTTACTGAAAAAAAATAACGTCGAGAGGAAAAATGGGTTGCAAAAAGCAAAAAAAAGTGAGCGAAACGAACAAGATCGAAATAAAATTTCAAACTATTTTTGAAAAAAAAAACGAAGTAGAAGATAACGGAAATGTAGCAAAAAATCTGGGAAAAAAACAATTTTAAGACAGTATTTTGGTGAAATTCAAAATTTTCTGATAAAATTGGGTTCTTAACTTCCTAACAACTAGAAATTACTTTAAAACAATGAAACGGAGCATAAATTGAGAGGGTTCGACGACCGAAAAGGGTAGAGAATTGAGATGGAAAGGAAGAGATCGCTACGCAAAGAATGTTCGCGACAAAAAGAGGAGGAAAGAGCGCGCACCATTAATGCGCAGTGTATTCGCCCAAGAGAAAACGTTGCAGTCACAACAAAATTATATACTCAGGAAGCAACAATAAAGGGATCAAAATATTTTTTAATTTTTTTGTGAAACAACAACAAGTGGGGTTCTTGATTTTTGGGCGGAGCGCCTGGGGGGTCTGGAAGGTTCGCGGTGGGACGAGCTCACTGCCTGCGCCTACATTTCTCTAGTGGTCTCTCGCAAGTCTAGTTTTCAAGTTGGGATCGAATTGTTCTTGAATGGAGCATTCTTGCCGAAAAAGAAATTATGGCTATTGTCGGATTAAAAAAAAAACCTGAGAATTTGAAAACTTTCGCTTTTTTTGGTCTACGAAAAAGCGCGGAAAAAATGTAATATTTCAGACTTTCGCCTCGTTCAAGCAATTTTCGCAATAAAGTTTGCTTTTTCGATGAGAAACAGATTCTAAAAATGCTAGAGATTATTTTCATACCAAGAAATCTAAATTTTGTCCAGAAAATCTCACTAAATTCACAGAAATAAGTTTGGTTTACTACTGTAGTGATTTTTGGTCAAGGCCTCGAAAATCGACAGGGAAGCCGCCCCCGAAATTTTCCAGGTCCCGGTTTGTTTAATTCGACAATAAAAAGCTTGAATGAAGTGATGGAGACGTTAGCGGTCAAATAACAAGTCTAATTCGTACTTTACTAAAATTTCGGTCTTTTCCGATTAGAGCGCATATTGTCAAATTGAAAAAAGTGGGACCTGGAAAATTTCGCGGGCGGCTTCCCGGTCAATTTTCGAGGCTTTGCCCCAGAAACACTATGGTAGTAAACGAAACTTATTTCTGTGAATTTAGTGGGATTTTCTGAACAAAATTTAGATTTCTTGGTAGGAAAATGATCGCTAGCATCTTTAGAATCTGTTTTTCGTCGGAAAACCGAACTTACAAGGGAATGTCGTTCAGAAAGCTCTTCAGAATTTTCTCTAAATTGGCTCACATATAGAATCGAGTATGGGCTTTTACGTAGTCTCTACCTGCAAAAATCGCTGAAACTCGAGAAAAATCGATCTGAAATTATAGCATTTCCACCAGTCTCGTCGCCTCCCTTCTCCTCCCCTTTCTTCACTGCATTACGTGCAAGAGTGAAACATGCCTCGGTAGCCTACTGGCTAGCAGGGAGGATCACGAAAGCACACATGCAGGTTCGGGTCCTCGTTCTTTTTTTTTTTTTTTCAAACTTAAAAAGTCGTTTTCGAGGGGTTTGGCAAATGGGAAACACTTTTTTGAACATTTTCTATTATCTGCAATGATTTTCGAATCATTTCAAAAAAACATTTTTTTTGAAAAAAATCACCAAAGAGTCCCACACACTTTCTTTGACTAATTTTTGAAAATTTTTCCAGAAGTGCAAAAAAGAATTTCAAACGTTCAGAATGGATAAAAACATCATTCTCACAAAATTTGGTAGCCCGATTTGGCCTGTGAGCTCTGATAATTCTCAAAATATGATTATTGCTCAATTTTTCAAAAGTCGTAATTACTCAAATATTGCTCAAAATCGACTGAAAAGTACAAAAAAAAAGAAAATTTCATCAGTGCGTGATTTAAATAAAGTGAGCCAATTTAGAGAAAATTCTGAAGAGCTTTCTGAACGGCATTCCCTTGTTAATTGCGAAAGTAGCTTGAACGAGGCGAAAATCTGAAATATTAGGTTTTTGCAGCACCTTTTCGTAGATCAAAAAAGCTACGCCTTTCAAATTTTCAGGTCCCACTTTTTTAATTCGACATTAGAGACGCACACTTATGCAATCTATTTTCAATCAGTTTATAAAGGAGAACTCGTTTCTGGAAGTTTCTCATTTGTCATCGAGTGTTTCATCATCTTCCTCAGTTCTACACTTTTCGCGAATCTTCGTTGATTTGTGATTCATGTGTTTTCTCTTGATAACAGGCACCACTCCGGTCACTAACCTCTACTTCGTGAACACACAAACCATTTTTTCATGAAATGAAAAAAAATCGGAGCTCGTATTTCTACACCGGGATGCAAAAGAATTGTCGTTCCTCTATGGAGTTAGAATGCTCCTGGTAAATACAAAAACGAGAAGACAATAGCTCATACATTTCTTCATAAGAACAAAAATAATTAACACAATTAATAATCTTCGTAGCATTATTCTGAAAGAATATCAATTCACCCATTGATGGAACGAGTCGAGGGACTTTTCGCAAATTGAGTGAAAGCGAGATGTACATGGATAGTAGTAATTATAACTTTTGGCAGGAGATGAATAGAACGCGATGCAAGTAGCGACAGAGTTCTTCCCGTTGATTTTCTCTTCGAATGGTTCGTGAAGCCATTCTCTGTAATGGCAATAATTATGAATTGGGTGTTAGCAAAATGTTCAAGTCTAGTAACTCACAATTCTTCTTCAATTTCCGCATTGATCCAAGTGAAGTAGTAGTCCGGAAATAGATTTCTAATCGCTTCAAGCTCGAAGGAGTTTTCAAAAGTGAAGAGCGTTGCATCTTCTCTTTTACAGTTCTTAACTGCTTCCTCGAAGTTCAGAATATCTGGTTGGCGGGTGTAGCAGGTATTATCATACTGGAGCCACCCTTTCGGACAAGCTGTAACAGTCAACTGGTTGTTAAATAATTTTTTCTTTCAACTGAACTTACTTTTCAGTCCGAAATTCCTATAACAGGTAGCACCAGTCGCTGAAAGTGTCACTAAAAACAATAAGTAGATCATTGTCCGACAATGAAACGAATGACCAAATCACTACATTCCCATGCCCTTTTATAGTGGTTATGCACTAGATTAGATTAGATAAAGTTGTGTTATCTCGTTCGTTAGTTACCTTATGATTGATGGGTTATAAAAAAATAGATAAAATCAACTTCATTTGAATGTGGGATAAGTCGGTGGGAATCCGAAAACATATTAAAGTTCTAAACGAGATCCGGAATGTGAATAGAATGAATCTTGCAGAGACATCTTGCGTGGGCGTGGTACAGGTTGAATTGTGTTACTGATCACACTTGGACCTGAAAAACAAATTCGAATTTATTACAAAACCAATTTTTAAAAAACGTACCGGTCAACGAACTAAGTTCTGGAATTTTTGGTGGTTTTTTGAGAGCCAATGCGAAACCAAGGCAACAAAGACACAACTGATCAAACACCAAAACCATTCCTAAAAGATAGGGCCATCGTATTTGACATAGACCCAATTGGTATTTCCGTGATTCGCAGATTTCTCGGACGCGTGGGTTTTCCCAGCCGTATGGGTAAATGATGCAACCAGCTAGCATAAACGCGACTGAAAATCATTAGGTTTTTTTTTCATGACATTAAGGTCAATTGATATAGGTAACTGAAACTAACATGCGAAGAAATGAAGCCAAGAACACAATATGAATGCATGACGATCACGAAGAAGTACAAGAAGCTGAAAAAAACGTTATTGGTTTAGAAACAAATATAAAGACTAAGTTTACCAAAATCGAGAAGATGGCTAAGAAGCTGAGAACAGTAGCAGCTAATACCAAAAATGCAGAAATTTCAAACCACATGCTTAATGGACGAACTCTGAAAAACAGATTTTCATCACTTAATGCTATTTTCTTTCTACCGGAACAGGCTCCAGGGACATTCACTGGTACCACAGTAGTCATATAGTCCAAAGTATCCTCCTTCATCATTACCAATCCACGTGGGATGTATCAATGCGAGAGTTTGGAGTACAGCTAACAAAGTATTGGAGGATCATTGAAATGAACTGTTGGTTTCACTTACTTGTACATAATCCACACAGAACCCAAATCGCACCCACAACTCTCCAATTCCGAGTATATATCGAATGATAAGACAACGAGAACTGCTGCATTAGAAACCGTTTTCAAATTTTCAAATGTCCACCTTTCTTTTGTTTGTGGTTGTGATTACTGTGTGTCGGAATAAAACAAGATTACGGTGTTGAAGCATGTCGAAACAAAGGGAGAGACAAATATGGGTATGGAACGAAAAAGGTGAGAAGTGGTTCGTGACAAGAAGATTGCTAAAAAGTGCCGATAAAAAAGTGGTGGAAAGAAAACATCTAGAATTCAGTAGTTGAAGGAAGCAATGGGTTGAATCGACATTAAGTTTCTAAATCATAGATTCTTTGATAATATACAAAAACAATCACTTCAAACTGTTTTAGAAGGATATTTGAAAATTTTCAAAATCAAAAAAGATGACAATTCAATAAATTCATCTCAATCCCTAATTTTCTCTATAATTTACGAATTCAAATGTAACTAGTTTCTTAAAACTATGTTTCGAAATATGGACATCGAAATTTATCTTGAGACTACTAATCTCAATTATAATAGTTTTTATTCAGGTCATATTTAATTTTGATGAAGTGTTGGATTGAAGAATCGGGGATGGAATCGAATTTCTTCGATGAAAGATGGTCAACACACATTGGGGGGAGCAAAAAGAATACAGTTTTGGACACCTTTTCTCAGACGGGCGGGGATGGTTGACCGCCCGTAGAAAGAGATGGTCAACGAAAAGGAAGCTTTTGTTTATTTGAGTGCTGATGGAATGAATTGAAATTACGATACGCCTTTAGGGGATTGATAAAATCGAAGAGATAGAGTATCTGCTTTCGTTGAGGTTGACATATTGAACCTGGACAAATAATCTGATCCTGTGAGAACCTTTTCAATTAAAATACGAATGTTTTGAAACATTTATACCGTAAAACCTGTTTTAGAAGGGTCCCGAAGAGCTTGGAAAAATATTAGCTCATCCCCTCTAATAGAAGAGCCCTCCTCAAAATGTTTTATGCAAAAATCAAACATTTCCGTACATTTTTCCAATGAGAAATATTCCGTATATGAAAATATTTTATATACTCTAATAGAAAGGCCCTCTGAAGGTGCCTTGGAACAATAGATAAGCCGGCTCTTCTAATACAGGTTATACGGCATGTTCTTCTATATTGTGTAGATTTTTATCCTCAGAATTGCAGGAATACTCTAAAACTATGATTCAAAAATCTCTCAATGTTTTGCCACGAAAATCTTTTATTCCGAGTGAAAAATACATACGAAATAGGAATCTGACGATCTACTTTCCATCGCGAATGCTTGGCACGAGCGCCAGTTCTTCAATTTCGTGGGGATCTTCTTCTTTGCAGAAAACTCGAATTTGGAAACAGTTTATTTCAGACGAAATTCAGTAAGCTTATAAAATTTTTAATGTAATAAGGAACATCAGGTGATCGAAAGGATCATAAACAATGAGTGCAGTTTCCAATAGAAAATAAGATAAAATGGGACATTTCAGAGATAATTGTTACAACTTCAGAAGAACAGCTTGCTTTGGTGGGAGTACAAGGGGTGATTTGATGAAGTCGTAATGTTCACGGATTTTATAATCGGTGACATTGTTGGTTGTAACAGAGATTTCAGCCTTTGCCATGTCCTTATTTGTCGGAAGCAATTTGGAAGCTGGGGCAACAGTGAAGTCGACTTTTTGTTCAATTTCTCCGAAATTCAGGGCGACAACAAAAGCGGATCCGATAGCGGTGTTGTTTTCGTGTCGTACATAACGGGAGAACAAAATCACATCATTATTGATCAGCTCATCGCGAACAGTTTCTCCAACAATGAGAGCTTCATCACGTTGACGGAGTTTCGCTAATTTGCGATAGGTTTTGAGAGGAGAGTCAGCGATATCAAACTGGCTCTAAAAGAAATTATATGAAAGAAAAATCGATCGAGATATTATTACATTGTAGTTATCCATCTCCAACTTGTCATCGCTCTCTGGGAAAAATATAGGCACATCATTTCCACTGAATCCATGATGATTGTTTGAGGTCGGGTACCATTGCATAACCCCCATTTGCTTGAAATCTCCATTCTTACTCATAGCATCCTTCAAACCGTATTCTTGTCCATAATACACAGATACAGCACCAGGAAGAGTGAGTTGGAGGAACGAGAGCAAATGAGCGGCGGACGATTCAAAACGAGAAGCAAGTCGAGAAGATTCCGAGTTAGAAAATTGCCAGTGTGGCGTGTATTTGGCGACCTGAAAGAAAAACGAGGTTGTTCAGATTAATTTTTCATATCCTATCTCACTCTATGGCAATTCGTCTATCACAACCACATACAGATCTCTAAAAAATATGGCTACCATAAACTTACAGGTTTTCGATATTTATCCACCTGAACTCATTTATTACCACTCGTATTTTTTTAATTTCTCACCTCGTGTCTCTGGTAAGCACCATTGAGGGCATCATGGACACATTTTGCTACATGTGGCTCACATTTCTTCTCGTCCAAGTTAGCGAACGAGTTATCGATAACATAGTGTAAGAGTCCCGTTTCGGTAGCCTTGACGTGCAAATCTTCAACGTCCTTCAGAGAGGAGAACAGAACGCTGAAAGTATTTGTATTTTACGATTGTCTTCGGAAGAAAAAAGTTACATTTTTTTGTCAGCTAAATCTTCTCTTGATTCAACGTAAATTTGAACGGACTTCGTTAGTTCTTCTAGAACCTTCACAGCTTCATCATGACTTGGTTTTCCTTTAGCATCTACAGCTAATTGACTGATATGGTCAATATGGAAGCCATCTACTCCTAAATCCAAGAATTTCTCGATGGCTCTATTGATAGTTGCCTTGACATCCGCATTCTTCCAATTCAAAACTGGATTTTGGCTTGTTGGATAACCTAGATACTTGATGTTGTTTGCGCCGTGGAATGGGTAGAAGTTAGTCTCATTGAATCCGGGATCCGCTGGTCTTGCGATAACGAACTTCGCTTTATCTCTGTTTTCAAACCATGGATGTGCTATGTCAACTGTAGAAACTGGCATATCCATTACGAGATACATCGCTCTGTTGTGAACAGTATCGATTAGTTCCTTGAATTGTTCTTCGGTTCCGAAGCGTTCATCAACTGCAGCATGATCGACGACATCGTATGAGTTGAAGTATTCATCTTTTGTGATTTTTATAACTGGAGTTGGGTAGACTGTTGTCACACCAATCTTACGAAGGAAGTCAATTTTCTGGGAGATTCCGGCGAAATCTCCGACGCCGTCGCTGTCAGAGTCGTAGAATGTAGCGGTGAGGAGCTGAAAGAAATTCAATTCATTCTTCATTCGTATAATCTCTCTTTGACTAGTGGTTTCGAATAATAATGAACCGTTTGTGAAAGAGAAGAAGGATAAATGATTAATTGTCGAGATAAACAGTTGACAGGCGAGTGAACGAGGTCATCAACATTGGAGGATAAAGAGGACTAATCCGTCAGAGTATGTCGTTTGGGATGGAACGGGATCACGACGTTCAACAATTAAGAAATCTTACCTGGTACGAAACTTTGGTTTGCCACCAGTCTGGCTTCTGTTTCTCGGCGCATTTCGGAGAGAGAACAACGATTGCGATAGCAATTCCGAACATCAAAATCCATGCTAGCCAGAAAAGAGCAAAGAGAACAGTTCTGACAGGCTTCCAGAAAGGGTCATTTCTATACTTTTCAAGTTGTTCCTTAGTAAGACCAATTGGTTTCGGTTCGAGCTCAAAGTTGACTACTTCGGCATTCTGAAAATTAATCAAATTTTAGACAGCCGAATACTTCTCGAGTAATACTTTGTCAAAGGTGGCAATATCTCCGCTGTTAGATCCCCCGAAATTGTTACCTTCTTCGGCGATGAGGACGTCCTTTGTGGCCATCCTGAAAATAGATAGTTTACTGCGAGAAAGCAAAGTTTTTAAAAGCAAATAGCAAATATTCAGTATGAAAAAGAAAGCAGTCAGCCGGCTGTCAGGAAGAAACGAAAAACGGGCGGACGAAGTGTAAGAGAAAAAGGGCGGAGACAGAGAACATTGCTGCGTCTCTTCACTTCGAATGATGATTTTCCATTCAGATTTCATCACACATTAAATGTGTAGGAAGGAAAAGAAGGGCGCTGTAGATTATCTAAAAGAAAGAAAGGGCACCCATTCGGAATGATATAGTGGCGAATAAAAGAAAAGGAACAAATTGAATGATGGGAGAATGAGAATAGATGGATGATTTACTCGATTCAAATTTACGAAAGACAGAGAGACGCAGCGGGAGAACATTCAATTTTACATGGAACTGGTGGGGCTTTATTAAGAAGTTTTCGGTCCGATACGAATTTCTAGAATTTCTTCCTGTTTTTTCAAAGAAAAAGTCTAATAGTAAGCTTGTGCTACGTGACTATCTACTAAAGTTGGGTTTTAAAGTGAAACAATAATTTTTTTTCTCTCGAACAAACACCCTTCCGATTTTTTTCGGTCGAACAAACACAAACTCTATCAATTAATAGCAATGCGTCGCACATAACAACTGTCGATCATCATTTATTTTTGTAATGCAATTTGACCACAATATTTCGTCAGTCATCGACATAATAGCATGGAATCTGAGTGCCAGAATAGCTTTTTCATTTCTAGACTGCAGTGCGAAAACTTGCGCAAAGTAGTGATGACAAAACGAGGGAAAAATATATTATAAGGTGCTGAGCATGACAAATACAAAACATTTATAACTAAAAAACAAAAAATCTAGCTTGAAAATCATAGAAAAGCACAACAAATCAAGATTATTGAATAAGAAGTCTCTCAAGCTACAGTAGATTTTTGAAGGAACAACTGCTGTTTTTCATAATCGTCGCGAAACCAATGAAATGTTTGAAGATTTATACGGTAGAGATCTTCTACTTTACAATTTGTAAGTTGTAAATTTCAAAACAAAACATGTTAAACAAAAATTTAAAAAAAAACCTAGAACTAATAGGGTGATTCATATAGCAAAATTATGTTTTGAAATGCATGCATAAAAGTTTCGAGTAAAACGCCGCGTATTTCTATATTTACCTTTTCAGTTACATCCCGAGAAACTTTGTTGAAATTTTTAACTGAAATATATACGTATCGCGACACTGAATATTGCATAAGATTTCGGTGACATCGAGATGCATTTCAATACATGATTTCGCTAAATGAACAACCTGAAGAACTAAAAAAGTATATCAAAATCACATCTGAAAAATTATCATAACAAACAAAACCATTTTTCAAAACAAAAATCGTTCCTTTCTCAAGGTTCCGCAGTCTCCCAAAAATACTGATATTAATAATCAGGGAAAGAGGTGCGAATGGTAAAAAGTAAATACCAAAGGTTTTAATGTGACCCAGTGCTCACATATTTGCGTTTCGTTAGGTGGTGGCAATGCTACCTGCGCAATGTGCAGCTCTGGGAAGCACACACACAGAAACGTAAAGCGTTTGTAAATTTGATATATTTGAACAAGTGCATAGAAGCTGCGAAGAAAGGTATACGCTTCATTAAATTAGGAGAGAAAAGAAATTCACACGAGTGTTTATTAGCTGTAATTCTATAATATGAACACAGGGCAGCATTTCCGATTGTAGACGAAAGAGGAGGAAACTAACACAGAGATTATGTGCCAACGTCTATACGGACCATTAATCATGTGGGAAGTACGCGAAGAGATCGGGAAAAGAGAAAAGGAAGAGCGGATTAGAAGAGGAAGAACTGGGAAACCGATAGAATCGAGAAAGCAACAAAGAATTAGTTAGAGTTGTGTGGATCCCACGAAGAGAAGTTTCCAAATACAATTATTTCAATTTTTAGCTTCAAAAATGTTATGACTGGGTTGATAATATTATAGACATACCGTCGATTTCTCACTTCCGGGCTAAAACTCTTGGCTCCCGAAAATTCGAAAAATCTAAAAAATCAAAAACTCAGAAGTTCTGAATATCAGAATGTCCGAATTGGGAAGTTCGGAAAATAAAAAACCCGTAATTCAGGAAAGAAGAAATATCAGAAATTCAGAACTTCACTGAATCAAAATTACAAAAATCTAGATATTGAGAAATTCATAAATTCGGGAGTTATCAAGTTCAAAAATTCTTAAATTCAAAAATTTAATTAAAAAATCAAGAATCAATCAGGGACTCAATTTAGTTTTCCAGCAATTCGAAAGTTCAGGCATCTGGAAATTTCCAAAAATTTAAATTTTTAGAATTTCCAAAATATTCCCAGTTTCGCATTTTGGAAATTCTAAAATTTGAAAACTCAGTAACTTTGAGAACTAGATTTGTAAAAATTAGAATTAGAGCTTAATTATCACATTCGTGTGAATTTGAAGAAACTGTGATAACCGTACACCAATTAAATGACATTGAATCAGACAAACGACAGAGTATATTTGTCATAATCTCGACTTAAGTATATGAATCAGAGAGTGACCGCCTCAGTGCTGCCACCAGATTTGGAGTAGTAATCTGTCAACAAACACTTGACCATAAAAGGGTGACTCTCCCAGAAAAGAACAATAATATGGTAAGTGTTTGCACTTGACCGTTCATTCAGTGTAGTGTAACGTTTCTTCAGGCATAAGATAAAAGTTTTTTCAAAAATTTTATACAATTTCTGTAAATACTTTGGATGAGAAGTACGTTTGTGGTACTAAAAGAGCAATTTTAGTGTTTTTTTTTGCCTTTATAATATATTGGTACCAGTCGGCTACGCCGCGATCTCCACCGACTTCAGCTGGTTTGAAGGTATTTGGTAGCTTTAGAAAAACTTACTGTTAGAGTTTGAGAATTTCCCCTCTTTCAATTTTTTTTGAATGTAGAAACTTTCAAATGCTTTTAAGTTTTATTTTTCCTTCTCTTTCGATTCTAGAACGGTCTAGAACATTCTGGAAACGCTTTAAAATCAGTCCTATCTAAAGTCGGCTAACTATTTCATGAATCAAATTCACATGGAAAGTTTTGTGAAACCACCTAGAAACCCAACTACAAGATTTGTTTCAATTTCATAGATATTCTACGCGAAATTTGTCATCATATGAGTTTCAAACGAAAAGGTTTACTTCTAAAAAAATCATTATTTACCATCTAGTGTGCATAATTCTTCTTTCTGGAAGTTCAAAAAAGTAAGACTGTCTATATTTCGTTTCAAGCTTGAAAAAAATTCCAGACTTTCGATTTCTTGAAGTCTGGAAAAATGACGGCAAAGAATAGTAAAAGTAAAAACACCACTAAAAGAGACGGTGAAAAGAAAACAAAACTAGCAAAAAATACGACGACCAAAAAAAGGAATTCGACGTTGACAATGTCAAAGTATCAAACATCGACTGATCAGAAAGAAAATGAGAAAGAAAAAAAGAGGGATGATAAGAAAAATAAGGAAGAAAGAAAAGAGCCACCAAAGAAGGAACCTCCAAACAAAGAAGTTCCAAAAGAAACTGCAAAGGAACATTCGAATGAACAGTCAAAAGATCCACCGAAAAAAATTGATGGGCGGGCGGAAGAAGAAACTAATAAGGTAAATTAGGTCTTCGAAAAAAATTAAATAATGTCAAGCAAAAAATTAATAACTGTTTGAAAATGCGATTTTTTCTCAGCAAAACGAGCCAAGTGGAATGGATGTGGTTGTGAAGGAAGACGGAAAGAAGACAAAAATGGACGACGGATACGAAGACTTTGGCCCCGGCGCTCAGCAGAACAATTGAACTTGAAGATAAATAAATAATTTTATTACTGTATCTTTTAAAATAAATTTTAAGTGTCAAAAGAATCAATTGATTGTTTGTGAGAATGATCTTGGACCATTATTGTGAATGGTGGATGTTTGGTTTGTTCTGTATTTGTTTTTCGGGCGGCATAGAAGACTGCGAAACAGTTCTGAAAATTTTTTTTGAGAAAATTTAAACAATGATTTAGATTTACGAATCGTAGCGTTTCGGTAGTTTTTTATGATTAAAATATTTGGTAGAGGGTCAATAGCTGGATATAATGCAATGGTTGATGCTACAAATGAACTAGCAAAATCAAAATCCAAATCAAGCATTGGACAGAGAAAGTAAACTGTAATTGGCATGTGCATAAGGAATAACGGAATTGCTGTTTGCATGACCAATGCATAGAATAGCTGAACTTGAAGATTATTTGCTGCATTTGATGCAATCGATAGTTGTTTTGCAAGACGGAGATAACAGAGAGCCCCAAATCCGAAGACACACCCCATTGAAGAAATCTAAAATGAAAATGCAGATGCTGTACTTCTAAAGCTGTCCTACCACCATAAACCACATTTGCGCAACTCCAATCCAAGCTGGTGTATTAAAATGACTTGTGAGATTCCTCTTTTCTTGGTTGTAAAACTTCGCACCAATGTAACTGATATTCTCTATCCCAACTCCAACAGTTTCCATTATCAGATTTCTAGAAAAATTGTGTTTTGTTAACAGTATCTCGTTTTCCAACCTGGTATAGTCATCCATTTGAGTATTAGGCCAAAACCAGACTCTAACGACCGTTGACCACCACATTCCAGTAATAATTGGAATGAAAAAAAGAATGCTAAATTTACATCCAGAAGTGTATTTCTCGCCAAAATTAGTGGCTATTGAACCATAACGATAAACAAAATGCGAAGCGAAAAGAGCCATAGAGGCACCAAAAATTGCGGTATAGATAAGGACAATCCATGAGGAATTGTCGGAAGTAAGGAGAGAATCAGGATGGTTCACACGAAATACGATGAATGCACAACCGACAGAGTGGGCAATCGGAAAATTATGAAGTTAAACAAATTCGATTATTAAAAAAGTAAAGAAGTAATGCCGCTCATGTAAGCAATTGTGCGATCCCTAAAAAAATTAAACTCACTATCTCCGCCGGCAGGTCAAATAGTCCCCAGAAAATTTCGAAGCAAGTTGTGTACAACATAAGCCATTTGTATTTTCCAGTTAGTTTAGGAGAACGGGCTAAAATAAGCCAAACGAGAAATGAATTGAGTATAAATGAGATTATGGTACAAATTAGTTGATAGATGCTCATGTGAAATACTGAAGCTTTGTTCAAAGATAGAATGGAATTTGAGAACTCGAATGAGAAGAAGAATGGGAAGTAAGTAGAAGAAGGGAAAGAAAATAGAAAGGCTGTAATCAGATGATATTTCTGAAATAAAGGCAGTGATTATCTCCCTCGAGATTGAAGTAGATGATTTCATTTAATTGTTGATCTGAAATGTCTTGTCTGGTGTCCTTTCCTAATAATGATTCATTCAACAAGTATGCTGCCAAAGATCATAAAGACCATAATCAGCAAGAGTACAGTATGCACGTTCTAAATTTATTCTCGAAGAACATCTCTTTTCCCATTCCTGAGTTTCCCATTTTCTGGGTTTCTTGTCATTCAGCTATCTTTATGAAAATTCTAAAAAATTACCACGTTTTACTTTATATCTTTTATTCATTTTCTTTTATTTCTATACCTTTCTCTACTCGATTCCTGGCACATAAAAGTACACCAGTCTATTGTCAAAGAGCAATTCGTGTGATTATATTCCGAAAGTTGTCGTGAAGAATAGAAGCAAAGAGCATGTCTTCTGAAGGTCTGACGTCACCGACTCAGAGAAGAACTCCCACTGATTCGTCAACTGTCGAGGATCAGAGAATCGCCACCGCTATTGAGAAAGATACGAGTTCTAGAGAAATTGAAGTAAACGAAATTGATCCGTGTAGAGGAGCATGGGGAAATCAAGTTTGGACTCAATCTGAAATCTTGCTTTAACAACTATTTTTTTTTCAGCTGGAGTTTCTGCTATCAACATTAGGTATGGCTGTTGGTCTGGGAAACATTTGGAGATTCCCAACAAGAGCATTCAATAATGGAGGAAGTGAGCTTATTACAAATCAAAAAAAAATTGACAAGATGTGTTTTTTCAGGTGCTTTTCTGGTTCCTTATATCTGCTGTGCTCTTTTGTTTGGCCTTCCTGCTGTCTATTTGGAATTCCTTCTTGGTCAATACCATCGAACAACCGCCCCAATTATTTTTCGACGCTTTGCTCCGATTCTTCAAGGAGTCGGCTGGATGGCAGTCACTGTCTCATCACTTGTCGCAATCTATTATATCATCATTATCGGATGGAGTACTGTTTATATGGCAGCTATTATGATGGGGGATACTGAAAGATGGAATAAGTGTGACAATGCATGGAATAAGTTGGAAACATGTCTGGAAAGTGGAATACAGTTATGCAAACATTTCAATAGTACAGGAAATGAGACGATACCAAGCTGGGCGAATTTGAGTTTGCCAAGTAAGGACTAGGTCTTCATTGAAAGATATCTTCAAAATATGTTTCTAGATCGGGGTGAATTTTTTGTTTGGTTGAACTCCACATGTTATGACAAAGTAGACATTCCGCCAGGAGCAATGCCCGCCACAGAGCAATATTTCTTGTGATTCGAGATGTTTTTTTCATGATGTTTATTATTCAAGATTTCAGTGAATACGTCGTCAAGCCATCTTCGGGTTTTCTTGATTTCAATCATATGAATCCAAATTCGTTTATTGGTATGAATATCTGCTGGCTTATAGTCGCTTTGATTCTTTGGAAAGGTGTGGATTACATGGGAAAGGCTTCATACGTAAGGAACACTTGTGTCCAGCATAAGTTGGTTTTGATGTTCAGGTCATTGTCACTCTCCCCTATTTCATCATCATCTTGTTGTTTTTTCGTGGAATTACCTTGGAAGGGGCAGAAGACGGGTTAGAGTTTTATTTGGGACAACCGGATTGGTCCAAGGTACAACGTTATCAACTGCATCTATTAAAAAAACAAATTTCAGGTTTTCGAAGCAAAAACATGGGGAGAAGCTTTGAAACAGTTGTGCTTCAGTCTGGGAATCGGATATGGTGGCCTGATTGGAATGTCATCATTCAGTAAACACGATAATAACTGTTTCAGAGTAAAAACGAGAATTTTCGTACGAAAAAGTACTCAGTGATTTTTAGGACGCGTTGATTGTGATAATTGGAGACACTGTGATGTCAATAGTGGGTGGTGCGGCAGTGTTCTCAACTCTCGGCTTTTTGGCACATCAAAGAGGAACTACAGTCCCCAATGTGGTTCAAGACGGATTCTCTCTTGCGTTCGTGGCGTTTCCTGAAGCACTAGGCAAGATGCCTCTACCAGAATTGTGGTCGTTTCTTTTTTTCATTATGCTCTTCTTTCTGGGAATCTCGACCGAAGTAGCATATGTTAATGTGTTCTGCTCTTCAATTTGCGATCAATTTGTAAGCTTGAGAAAAAAGAAATGGATGGTTGTAGTAGGATGGTGTTTAATGTTGTATTGCATTGGAATTGTTATGGTCACTGATGTACGATTCATTTACAATGCTTGGATAAATTATTTCATTCTCAGGGTGGTTTCTATTGGTTCATTATGTTTGATGAGTACGCTGCTGGAGTATCATCTTGCTGTGCTGTCACTGCTGAAGTTCTACTTGTTGCTTACGTTTACGGTATTTCTAGGCTTTCTCTTTGATAAAAACCAGCCGATTTCCGCCGCCTGTCGGCGGCTACGATCTCCTGGCTTCACTAAAAGCGTTTGAATCTCCAAATCGGAGAGAATCAGAAGACGAAGTTTTAGTTGATTGTGTTGTCAACTTTCATAAACTGGAGGGACAGTCTGGTTATGCGCCTCCGGGGCTAAACCTTCTGGCTCCGCTTACAACAGCCTTAACCGATTGAGTTTGGGCTTGGACAGATAAATCAGAAATGTAGATCAGAAATGTGTCTTAGTTGATACACGAACTGTTCAAAATTTCCAAATTTTCAGAACTAATAATTTTTCTGAATTCCCGAATATCTTGAAAGTTGACAACTTATAATTTTTTCAGAAGTTTCGAAATACAGGAGTCCTGAATTTTCGGAACTGCGATTCTAGAACTCAAAGATTTTTCTATTAGAATACTTCATTTCAGAACTCATAATTTCTGAAAATTTGTATTTTCGAGTTCCCGTTTTTCCAATTTTCCGAATTTCTGCATTAGAATTTTAGAATTTCAGAATAAAACGAAAATGTTTGAAGCATAGGAAAGGTTAGAAATTTCGCATTTTCGAAAAAAAATAATCAAATTTCGTGAATCTCTGAAATTCAGTTTTTGAGAAGTTAGGGGATTCAGAAAGTCAGAATTTTAAAGTTTACTGAACTTTTTCTTTCTCTCTTCTTTCAAAACTAAGGCTAAGTAATTATTTCCACAAAATCACCTTTTTGTCAGATATAACGTGGATAAGAAAAAAAGAGGGGGTTGGGCGGGAATGACGTAAATATTATTTTTGAAAGATTTGCACTGTAGAAATAGAAGAACGTCTCCAGAAGGCGTCAAACTAAAAATTTCGAAACATAAAATAGACGGGCATCATTTCGCTGCTATTTCGGATCATCTGTGAAAATTTGAAAATTTTCGGTCTACTGGGGACTTCGCTAGGGTCGTGGAACCGGGAACAAACGGACACACAGACAGAATTTGGTGATTGTTAATAGTAAAGATGACCTGAATTTCAGGAAGACGAAATCAGGTAGCTGATATGTTAGAACTGTTTGGACCAGCCAAAAACAAATTCACCAGTTGGTTGGGACCACATTCACCATATTTCGGATTCAATTGGATGTTCATTACACCAACTTTAGGATCAGTGAGTTTCGAATACTTTCTCAGAAAAAGTTATATTGAATTTTTTCCCAGGTTCTCATTATCTTGGCAAGCATCCGTTCATACCCATATCAAGACAAACCAGAAATATATCCTCTTGCTTTTGATGTATGAACAAACAAAAACTTTTAAAAATTGTTTATATTTTAAAGATTATCGGATGGATTGTGTGTCTACTCCCAATGGCAATGGTTCCTATTTTTGCTGTGTTCGCATACTTTGAATTCAAGAACAACGGGCACGATTTAAGAGGATTGTTCATGAAACAAAGACAACTGAAGTCCTACGCCAGAATTTACAAAAAAATGTCGTTGAAAGATCGTGTCAAACAGAAAATTCTACCAAATCGGGAACCATGGGACGAGAAACCGTCTGGATACAAGTTCAACGTAACTTCAGAAACCATGTCAACATCATTTGGAAATTCAGCAAGCTCCACTTATGGGGATACTTATGGGGATGATGCCAACTTATTGAACTCTGCATCTTTTTCCAGTCATAGTAAATCTCAATGATCTTGAATAATAGTGTTTTTATTTGGAATTGGGGGAAAAAATTGAAAAAGAGTTTATTGCAAATGTTCTGGGCAATTTGTAGTTTTTCCTTCTTTGCAATCAATTCTCTCCAAAGCGTCGTAGAACTCACTGAAAATGGAGATGTTGTTTTAAAATTAACTAACTTCATACGTATTGAGGCGGTATCCAGATTTAGTGGTGGTACCGTAGTAAGACTGAAAATTCGTCTTTCATGAATTTTGATACTCGAAGAAAAAACCTACAAACGCTCCAAGAAGGAGAAGAGCACAAACGACTGCTGTGGCCACAAGGGAGATCATGATTAGTGGCTGAGGTTCAACAGAATGGAAGCTTGAAAATTGGAAATATCTATGTGTCTCATTTTTCTTAGTTTCTTGGTATTTTTCTTGAGTCAGGTTTCATTTATAAAAACTTTGCGTGTTTCTGCGTTTCCAGCAGATTGTGGTGATGAAAAACCTAAAAATGAAGGATATCGCAAATTGAACTCAAGATCAGCAAACCAAGTATAAAAACCAAAATTCTTTTTTTTTTTTCGTTTCAGATGTATATTTTCAGCCTTCACAAACCATCCTGATCATAATGAAATTGTATAGAGATGTTACAGATAAGCAATAATTGTAACTGTTTGTATATTCATTCGGTCCTCCGTTCATTGGTTCGACTACTCAAATCGGTTTAACACCGAAAGCTACACGAATGAGCTCATATAATTGTTTTAGCTCTCTATCATTATTATGACTAAAGAATCAATAAACAACTCAAGTTCTTTTTTTTTCAAATATTAGGTTGAGCGAAAAGTCTTTGTAATTTTTTTTGGACCGTCATATCTCAGCTTTGATTTAACTTTTTATCATTCTGTTTTTCCTATAGTGTAGTACCAGCTGTGCACTCTTAAAAGATTTGTTAAAGTTACCGACGGCGTTCATAAAGACCGAGAATTCGCCCAGAGACCACCATGCTCTCAGGAGTGTTTTTTTTTGTTCGGGTTTCTCCAAGGTCACAAATGCAGCGTAGCTTGTCGTAAATTGTGTACAGTTCTAGGCCAAAACTATATGTCCTACACTACAATAAAGTTTTGGTTCAAAAGATTCTCCGAAGAGATCTACGATCTCGAAGGTCTGGCCTACCATGTGTTGATCTCAACGGGGATACCTCTAGAGCGCTAGAAGAAGAACCAAGAGCAACGTCACGCGAGCATGCAGCAAGTCTCAACCATCCTCACAGAACAATAATTGATCATCTTCACGAATCTGGAAGGGTACAAAAGTTTGGTCAACTCGCCCCTCCCGTTTTGACGGATTCACTAAAACCATTGCGTTGCGACTTGGCACATTCTCGGCTTACTATGAAACGTAGCACCAATTGGGTTGAGAATATTATCACTGGGGACGAGTAGAAAAAGGCAAAGGGTCCCGGCCGAGGAAACCGCTAAAACGGGCATCAAAGGAGAACTTCACGAGAAAAAGTTATATTTTCCATTTGGTGGGGCAGTGAAGGCGTTATCTTCAGAAGACTTCTTCTAGACGGCATCACTATCAATGAGGACCTCAACAGCACTCAAACGGAAATAGCATTCCAGGCTTATCGATTAAATTGCCCGAAAAATTCCAGCTTGTTGATGATTCATGACAACGCAAGTCCACCCACTACTTTGAAGACCCGTCAGAAGCTCCAGATGCTCGAAGTCAAGATCTTCTGTCATTCATCGTATTCACCAGACCCGGCCCTAACTGAATAGCAAATAATCCGTTCCTTGAAAAATCTCCTTGTTAGGCAAAAGTTCCATGATAGAAAGGATGTAAAAAAGTGGATGGATGACGTTTTCGCTGCCCAGTCTACCGAGTTCTACGCTAATGGAACCGCTCCATTTCCATCGCGTTGGCAAGTAGTCATGTACACTGTTGGTGAATATATCACACATTGAATTCCGTGTTTTTTGAATAAATTTTGTCCCGAAAAAATTAAAAAAATAACAAATACTTTTCGCTCAACCTAATACTCTAACATACATACTAGCAATAGTCTCATTGATCTTGAGGATGAAATGATGTAAAACCAGAATTTCTAAAAAAACAGTTTTGAAAGATTTCTGAATCTGTGATTAAAATCTCTCTCAAACAAAACAAAGCAAAGGGCTCATTATGTACTAAGAACACCTTTCCAATAAGTTAACACCTGTCATATGTTTTTACTGTTCATTTGTTCGAAAGTTGTACTTTACTTTCTGAATGCATAAGCTAGTACTGAAGTATGAAACTCCACGGAAATTTCAAGTCAAAATAAAATCCAGAGAAATAAATAATTAAGCAAACAAATCACATCTCTTACGTCATCATTACTGATAATGGAAGAAGAGAAACCAAATCGAAATTTCTCTTATCACTTTTCGCTCACACTTTCCATGGTTACACCCTCCTGCCTTACAGTTTTTGTACATCTTAAATGACGATGGCTCGTTCTTTTTTGAAATTTTAACATTAAAATGCTTTTTTTCACTTCAAGAAATGGAACATTTACAGGCGATGAACCGTAGGTTAACCCTGTTAATAGGGGTGCTTTCGGTGGTTTCCGGTGTGTTGACCGATGATTGTCCTTCTTTTTTCAATAAGGATGCTAAAGGGAGCTGTACAATTCGGGAATGTTTGAATGGAGGATATCCGGATGATGCAAACAAAACGTGTATCTGTCCTTCCGGTTATTTGGGAATTCATTGCGAAGCTGGTGAGTGAAACATGTTGCATTTAAGGTTAGAACTACTTTGCAGTAAAAACATCCATGCCACCTGACAATCACTTCAAAGCTGGAGGCACTTCGTTTAACATAATCAACATCAACTTGTACACACAGTATTGGGGTTTCAAGACTTACGACAACATAAAAAAGGTTCTAAATTTTGAGAATACGTGCATGAGTCAATAGTTTGATTTAAGGGATTGAGCAATCATTTGGATTCTTACCCAAATGGATATGATAACTACAATTTGCTGGAAACTACAGGAAAACCATATTTGGATATTAGTGATCAGGAAGTTTTTGGATCATGTAAGAAACTACGTTTTCCTGACTAAATCAACGGTTTTTTACAGACAGCTTCCAATCTATTCTAAGCTTAACATCTGAAACATTTTTTAAACTGGACAACTGGACTGATACAGGACTCTATTGGTGCTATGAAGTCCCAATATTTGATCAACTCATTCAAATGATACAGCAGAAAAACCTCAAAAACACAGTAATCACCATTCTCACTCAACACCCACCATCAAATGATAGACATGATGAAGCAAGAGAAATAGCAGTTTCATTTGGAATTCGAGTTAATGTGTTATGGATCAAAGATGACACATTTAACAGATGTACAAATGAGAAGATTGCCCAGTTCAAGACATTTGTGGATATTACAGGAGGTTTATTTGTCCAATTACAGTCTGAGCTAAACGATTCATCAACAGTTAACGTGAGTGGGGAGATATAAAATCTGTCCGAAATGAAAAAAATGAATGTATTAAATCCTCAAGTTGACCAATTAACTAGTCAACTTCAATTTCAGCTTGTTTCACAAGTCTTTTTGACACACTACAAGCCACAATACGTTTCGATTCAATCATTCAGTGACTGTTCTACTCCTCAGCAAGTTCCTGTTGTAACTGACCCAACAGTAAACGGACCATATAATTTTGTATTTTTGGGAGGTAGGCTCTTTTTTTTCTAGCAAAATAAGTTTGAATCAAACTTTCAGAAAACGCGAAACCGGGTATTGATGGTTTCCGAACTTGCAGTCTTCTTCAACCACTCCGCTCAGTCGACAATAAGCTTGCTATTTTCCAAAGTCTCAATCCAGTCTGTTCAAGCATCACTATTCAAGCATCTAATGACTCTTGCACTGCAATTATTTTCACTAATGCCAATGCAACTGTTGGACCATTAGACTTGACCATTTACGTCACTTACGTTGAAGATCAATCGATCGATGCATCTCGTTATGCTATTGTAGAGGGAGTTCCATTCTATCCTGCTTTTCATATTGAATCCAGTTCTGAAGCATCTACAACTTTGAATTCCATTTCTGCTTCGTTTGACATTGATTGGAGAGTGACTCCTCAAAACCGTAGCCCAGCGACATTCGAATGGATATCAAATGTTCGTTCAAATCAAAAATTGACTAAAATTTGAGAGATAATCAAACTCATATTTATAGAAAACGATGCAATGTGATGCATCTCAAACATACTCTTTATATTTGCACATTACTGTTGGTGACACTAATGTACAACGTGCTGTCCGTGTGGCATGTGTCCCTGCACCTATCGCAACAACAGTGTCAGTAGTTTCTACAACTGCCGTTCCAACTTCCATTCCAACAACAGTTTTCACTTCTTCATCAGCTGCTTCGACCATAACTTTCACAGATAGTTCAAGTAGTACCAGCTCAAGCGTCACACCTAGTAGTAAGTCGAACCAGAGCACTTTTTGGGAGTAAGTTTGATAAAGAAGTATTCATTCTAGCATGCCCTTACACCCAAAACTACGCAACTTTCTTGTTCGCCTATGCCGCTGATTTCAACCCAACAACTTACGGAATGGTTAGTCGAACGATTGGAAACTTGGTCAAGAAAAACTTTCCTAATAATCAAACATTGGCTAACAAACTTATCGACTTGGAACAACCGCAAAACATCAAATATACAAATAACATAGTGTAAGTGTTGTGATACTTATGCGAAAGATAAAATAATTATTTTAGAAATTTCACGACCAACTGCGACGTTGACATACCGAATGCCACTCTTACAGCTACAGATATTAAGGCATCTGATGCACTGGATGCTATTAAGGTTACATTCTCTATCGATTGCATATTTTTACGTTGTTAATTTCAGAGCTTCTTGAATGATCATCACTCGGGACGGTTAGAAGGATCTGTAGTGTTTATTTTGTTGAATCGTTTGCCTAAAGATTTGTCTTCAGCGGATAATGATCTCAGTCCTGAAGACTATGATAAGTTAACCAATTTGAATATCAAGGTAATCGTCAGTTACACGTCACTTTTAAACATTCTTTCTACTCAGGTCTTCCCAATCATCTCAATTAGCAGTCTTGCTAAAGGAGCTTTAGCAGGAAGAAGTGGAGCTGTTTTCAATAAAATCGCTGCCCAAACCAACGGACATTATGTTATAGCAGATGATTCGATCGGACCAGACACAAATTCAGATTACAACAAAATTGTATCTAACTTCATGAATACTGCTTACAATCAGAATTTGCTATTCACTAGGAATATGGGAGTGAATAGAATTGGAACGAATTTGGGTGTTGTAAAAATCCCGAAATCAGCTACTGACTCACCAAATATTACTGTCACTATTACAGTATCATTGTCTGCAGTAGATGGTATTAAAGTTATAAATTGAAGGATTATATTTCCTGTTTCCAGCACATCAGCCACAACCTCCGTCTAAGCTTGTATTGGGAATAAAACCAAACCCGAACTTTACCAATACCAAAGGCATCCTCATTGACTTCAACACCACACTACCTAATCAATTTGTAGGTACTCACCCAGAATAGGCTGTCGATGTTACTTTTCAGAGCAACTCCAACTACTATACTACAACTATTGAATTGGAAGCTGGAATAGAGAGAGAGTTGTTTTTGCAGTACGTTGCGGGTTCCGACAATAATGATTTGCTAATTCGTATGTGGGCAGCGGGGTAAGTTTATTCTTAATATATGGCCCATAACATTAACAACTTCTCTATCTATCAGAGACGCGTTCCGTGAAGCAACTTACATGAATTATAACGAGAATGCTGAACTACACTTTACAAATAATTCGACAATTAACGAGGATTTCGGGGCAGCTTTACAATTCCAATTCAGTGGTGCATGTTCTCATGATAAAACGGTTTGGTACCTGTTTTATTTCTATATTTTGTCAATGTTTTGCTTTCAGGCCACTCTTCTCATAACGGATTGTAATGGAGTCGTTAGTGCAAAATACGATTCCGATCAAGTGGCTTCAACAAGTTCCGGATTTTATCAATTCATTCCATTTTTCTGTTCTTCCCAACCTACTCCTGCCACTTGCATTTCGGGAGCAGAGAGCAAGTATGATGCTCAATTTGTTTCTGATAGTTTCTCAATCACTCAATCGTTCCAATGCCGCCCAGGTGGTGGACCAATCGATACCTGTCAACGGAAGGATGCCAATGGGAATAACCAGTGTTCCGGTATTGCCCCGTTCAAAAGAGGTCCTCATGCAAACCTTTACGATTGTTCTAATCATGGCCATCTGGAATACAATGACACGACCAAGTTGTTTAGATGCAAGTGCGACGACGAAAACTTTAGCGGACAATCTTGTGAAATAGCCACTTGTTCTACTAAAAACTCAGATCCATTGGCAACCGATAACAACTATCACACATACACAGTAGTTGTCGGACTGGAACAAGCAAACGGTTTCTTAGTTTTAGATGATGCACAGAAACTATTTGGCTTAAGTTGCTTAGATAGCCTGTCGTACGTCTGGAAATATCAGTTGTTGACTGTTTGTGCTGACGGAAAATGTAGGATAATTTCCGTTTTCTAATTCATCTCCTGATTTTCAGATGATATGTTGTATTCTGGAAGTAATTTGAAAAATTTCAAGGACATGTTCTTCCTTGCCTCAAATGATTCAAAAGTTGCAAGACCATGTAACACACTTGCCCAAGATGGAGTTCATGATTTGACGGATATTTATAAGCAATCTGTGAAAGGTATAATCGAACAGTAGATAATCAACAGTGTATCCAGTTACCTGAAATGATGTTATTTTAGGAATCGGTAGAAACGTTAAAGGAATCATTGTATACTTCTCTGAAGCTTCTAAAATGATTAATGTGACTCTCGAGGATTTCATCACTGCATCACAGCCTTATCAGCAACAATTTTTTGTATATGCTATCGATGAAACTGAAATCTTTCCTTTGACAGGCGGAGACAATATTGTTAAAGCTGCGATGTCAACCGGAGGATTTCTAATACAATCTTACATCGACAGCGATTCGCTAGATCATATTGATGCAAAAGTATGGCAAAACTACAAAACGAAAATCAAAACAACCCGTTTACAGTTCCTGCCTGATCTTCTGGGTTCTTCGTCATCAATTTCTTGGATGTCAACTGAACAAAACAGTGACTTCGTGATTTCGACAAGTTCACCTGACATCCAATCATATTTGATAACTTATGGGACTGGAGGCGATTTGTCAAATCGTGAGAACTTGCCGCACAAAAAATATTAAATCTTGTGTTCAGAAAATAGCTTGAACTTGACTTGTACAGATTCAGACGACACTGCCACGATGTGTCAAATAAAAGGACATACAAAAGTTTGTTCGTTGTTATTATGTGAAATCATAAAAATGTTTTCAAGGTACTTGGACGAGTGGACAAGGGACCGTACTACGTGGCTGTTTATTCTCTAAATGATGCATTAGTTCCTAAAGCTCAAATAATATCCGATCTAGGAAAAGACTCTTCGGATGCTGTATCCACATCATCCTCAGATGCCAGAACAATTCTGGCAATCATGCTCAACAATACTTTTAACATTGTAGCTAATAATGGAGATGGTGGAATTACTAGGTAAGTAATTGAAATTCACTGAACAGTAGATGCTCAAATTATTCAGGAATGCTCAAAGAAACGGGTGTACTTTTGGTTGGACATCCTACAGCGTTTTTTCGGACAAAAAGTACGAAACAGGGGTGAATATTGCCCAAATCACAATTGAGGGACCTGGCTCAAATACATACACTAGATTTTTCCCATTCGGAACTTCCTCTTCTCCTGGTTTGTAGTCTTTTCAAGTGGGACCCAAATAAAATTAAATTATTACAGCCTGCCACAACGGAGGCACTTCAATTACATCTACTGGATCCTGTAAATGTCCATCCAACTACCAAGGACCAGATTGTTCATTAGTGAATTGTTCTGGAAGCTCGAAACCGAATGCGTGGTCTGATGTTTGTATTTGTGCTAACATCGATGATGTTGTATGCGCTAACCAATATACTTCAGTGTTCTGACTCAGAATTTTCTAATCAATGAATACTTTTTTATTTCAAAAACAAACATAACTCTTGATTTGACAAACAGTGATAGGCACTTTTATTGGCTTGTCCATGACAACGTTCCTTAATGTTTTAATTGTAAACTGAAGAGGAGAGATAAGAAAGCGTACAGAGGGTTCGCATGCCTTTTGTCGGGATGTAGTTATCAGAAACTCGTTTTAGAAAATGTTACACAGAATTTTTTAAAAATGTATCTACAATTTCATTTTAGTAGCTAATCATGTCTGATTTAAGTTTTCTTTTTAAATTGTTTTCTAATTCTCTAGTTTCCCTCTTTTTTCTGGCTTCTCTATTTCATTGTTGATCCTCCATCTCGTTTCTGGTTCTCTTAATTGTTTCGGATCCTCCAAACTGCAACAGAGCCAATTATTTTTGAGTTATGATAGTCTTCGTTCTAGAACCTCCAGCTTCGGTCCCCAGCGTTTCTCTTCCACAGCTACGATTTTTTGTGCCAGAATAATAATACTAATTGATTATTACTTTTCTCACCAGATTCAACATGAGATTTTAACTACTGGAGTTTCCGTTTATGAGTCAATAAGTCATTTTTTAAAGTATTTTTCTAAGAACCTTATAAGGTCTGCTCAATTTATATGAGATATGTCTGAGGCCTCTCGGCAGTCTTCGTTCAAAGTGTACTCGTTGTCCAGAAGAGCGCGTTCACATTCGCCCTTCATCTATTTAGCATTAAATACAACTTAATCGATTTTTTGAATGAAGATGAATGGATCTCCGAACTGGGAATCCTTGCAGTTCGGACAACAAAAAAAGTATTTCGGCTTTTAGAAATTATGTTCCAGAATATTAATTTTCAGAAAATCAAAAATGATGTTTGCCCAGGAAGATGATATAAAAATGTGGAACTTCATTGCAGAAAATTATCAGATGTATGGCCCTTTCGAAATTTTCACAAGAATGAAAGAAATTCTAGAATTTGAACATGCTGAAAAAAGTTTATACTACAGGTAGGAAGAGTACCACGAGTTCTAATAGAAAATCAACTAGATTCTGAAATATTCTAGATTCCGAAATATTCTGGCTCCAAATCTTCATTTCACCAATTTCGATGTGGAAACTAAATTAAAGATTGCAAAAAAGTTTAATTTGATTTTGAATGCCGACTTCATACAAGAGTAATTAGTTTTCGGCAGCTTGTTCTTATACATATTCTTTCAGACTGAATAAATCGTGGGATTTGATTTTCGATGCGGTTGGTTGCGTTGAGGAGTTTTCCTGGAAGTCTCTCACCGATTCGGAGAATAGAAAACGAACTTCATCTGAGGATTTCGCTAATGGAAATTCGAAAAAAATTAAATATAATTTCCCAGAAATGGAAGATTATCAAGCACCGAACACTTCAACAGATGCTTCATTTTATCAAAACCTACAGAAAATCATATCAAATACAATAGAGACTGCTAATAGAGCATTAATAGAAGAATTAAAGTCTCAAAAAACCGAAATCGTTGTTTCTTCGAAACCACCAACTTCAAACGGACTAAAACACTATTTGGACGGTCTCAGAGGTTTGGTAAATCACATCGAATCTTCTGAGCTCACAGACATTACGAAAAGAATAGATTCTCTTGAAAAAAGCCTCGATGACACAGAGAAACCCCTTCCGATTTCTCATATTCGTGCAATGCTTGATTTCGGGTTAAAAACTATTGGTGGGTAAAAATATGTTTTTCTTCTGATAATAAACTCAATAAACTTGTTTCTCATTATTATTTTTTTTTTGAAAAAGTCGAAACAAAATAAGAAAATATCAAACCGAGCACTGTTTGAAGGACAACTGTGATAAATCTTCCAAAGGTTTCACAGCGGCATCGTTACAACAGGCGCGCTCCTTTAAATATACAGTAAGCTCGATTCAAACAAACTAAAAAGTTCATCATCTTTTCAGGTCAAACATTCGGCCCAATAAAATTCGTTTATTTCATTGAATTTCTATAATTTTTTATCAGAATTCTCGAAACAATAAATGTCGCCAAGCGGTAAGCAAGCAGAGAATCGAGGAACGAACAACATTGCGAAGGACAACAATTATAGTGATGAACAGAATCATCTAATACGGTCCGATCGAAAAAGTCGTTTATGGAGTAAAGAAATCGCGAATTATCAATATTGTCAGTTCGATTCAACGAAACAAACTTAATCGTTCAAGCTTTCAGTTACTTCCACGAAGCATGTTTGCAAAATTTGCAAAAATTTCATCAAAAAGGAGCTTCTGGAGCACATTAAAACCTGGTGGGAGCGGCAGTTTATTTTGGTGGCCTTAGTCGCTAGCGGAAACCGAACCAGAGAGGAAGCAAAGCGAGAATACCGAATTTATGCGAAAAACTTCAGAAAGAGATCACACGGTAGCTTTTTCTACATATGCCGGGATCATATAGCACATGTGGGAAAGTGTTGGCTGGATATTCTTCAAATTAAGAGTCCCGATGATGTATTCAGTGCTCATTCAAATGGAATTCCGATGCGAAAATTATAATGAGTTTTTTCGACGACAAATTTAAATTCAAGACAGAAAAAGCTTTTTTGGAACATTGCGATCAGTTTATTAGTTATGGATGGAATGGTGAGATGTTTTGCAAGTTGTATGTTTGATTTTACTTTTTTCCAGAACTGCGCAAAATGTCTCCGAAGTTCAGAGAGCCGGAAGAACCGACAGCGAAAGAATTGGGAAGACGTGTTGTCACACTCAAATGCGATGAAGACGCTATTTTTCCTTCAAGTGTAACAAAATATACTCACAAAGAGTCGGGTAGTAAAGATGGTGTTAAAGAACGACTAAAAGCAACTGAAGTCGCAAGATCGCAGGCGCCTATTGTTTTTCACAGAACAGAAGGAGAGTGTGACATCTGCGGACAATTTTTGACCGATGGTTTAGAACTCGTAGAAGTATGGAGTCGTCGCATTCTGCTTTACATGTTATTCAAGGCCAAAACTATCAAGCGAGATCGGTGTAAAAGAATATATAATACAACGGAACAGCTGGTGGTATGTAGAGAACATGTCAAACAGGCAATCGAGGAAGTTTTCGAAACCTTCGGAACGCAACATCCATCTCAATTCCTCTCGATGTTCCAAGATCCGACTCACAAGCCTATTATCAATAGAATGTATGAAGATTTATGTCGAGTATACGATTTGTGGTATGAGAATAGGGATACCTTGATTCGAGCTGCTAGGAGCTTTGTGTTGAGCTGTGAAAAAGGTACAAAAATAACCGCAATTGATTTAATTAATTCTTTGATTTTCAGGACCTGCGACTGAAGTACCTAATCAAACCAATTGTCTGAAGACTCCAACATATTCTACCAGGTCAAGACCCAACACTGAGACGTGATTCGACACCTCCCACTTGTTGTGTTTTCTAGTCCGCTGTCACTAACATCCTAGACCTGCCCGATAAAACTTTTTATGTTCATTTTTCTCTTCCATTTCTCTTTTTCTATTTTGTAATTTTTTTCTCGAAATCTAATTCATAACTATTTTTTTCCATTGAAATTCAGTAAATGTTATCAAAAATATATAGCAGAACAATGACACAGATTTCGAATGCTCACCATACTGTGAAATTGCAGACTTGCCATTTGGATGCCCGAACTTTTCAGTGTAATGCCAGTGTGGTCAGCATTATCGAACTAATTGATTTCTTTTAGTTTTACCGGGAAGAAATAAGGGTTTATTTGAAGAAAAATCAGTTTTTAGATTCAGTGAAAATATTACATCGCTCTCCGAATTCGCGAAGATCGTTGAAAATTTCATCTCGTAGTGTTTCTGGAGCAAAAAAATTTTGGAATCTGAAAAAGTTTCGTAGAGCCTCTGGTGGTTGTGGTTGTGGGATGTCATCAGGGTTCTAGAAAGGATAACGTTGCAAAGTGATCTCCAAACTGTAATAGCTTACCATATTCCGATCCCAAATTTCAGCCAGATACGGATGTGACAAAACCATGAGAATATCAATCCGATCATCCGGATTTATTACTAACATTTTGAATAAAAGATCTCGAGCCATTCGACATTCTTCTGGTTGTCCACTTAGTCCACCTTGAAAAACTTCATCAGGGAAATGACTATGAATATCAGTGGGTGGTTGACAATTCTCCAAAAATTCGCGATATGTATTAAGGAAATTCCGAGCTCTTTCATTCATCACGCTATAAAAAAGTTGGTCTGCATTTCCGAGAAAACGGACCGTTAGTATAAACTGATCGACATGATCTCTTCCAGGAAGCAATACTCTTCCTGTTAGAAGTTCTGCCAAAATACATCCCAATGACCATATGTCCACTGAAAACTGGATGGTTTATTTTTTGAACTTTTTGGTTGACTAACCACTAGTTCTATTGTTATCCATAGTCTCGCAAATTATTTCAGGAGCTCGATAGTATCTTTGAACGATGTACGGAGTGTTTGCGTTAGGATCTTCCATATTTGAATGTCCAAAATCACACAATTTCACATCACCATCTCTTGTCATCAGAATGTTCTCCGGTTTTAGATCCTGAACGAATAGTTTTCAATAGTTTCGACTGAAAATACTCACTCTATGACTGATATTCATTGCATGAAGATACTGTACCCCACGACAGATATCAAAGAAAATTGATTTGACAGTTCTGTGTTCTCCGAATGTCGGAGGCGAAAGCTGAAAAAAGCATCAGAAAAAACGACATCGTTTCACTGCTTACATTCTGCATGGTGCCTTGCATATGCTCACGAACAATGTAAAATTCTGTCATTTCTTCTCTTGTTGCTGCTGGTGTAAAGGCACTGTACATGTTCACAACGTTCTCATCTTGTATATAGAGCATGCAGAATAGCTCACGCTGAGCTCTTTTCCATGGTTGTCTGAAAAATGGGTTAACACTAATAAATATAAGATTTAGCGCAATAAGGAGTTTCACATGTGGTGTCTTGTGAGATTTACACAAATTTTCTAACTAACCTGTCAAGAAAACTATCCGGAAGAACGACTTTCTTGATGACCACATATCTTTCCATAATTCGATCAAAGGCTTGTCTGAAGAATCATGATAACTTCGTTAAGAAGAAAAATCAAAATAATGGGTTTCTGCCCAACCGAGCACAATGAACTCACACCACGAATGGTTTATTCACTTTGAACGGAAATAAATTGATATATCGATCAGGAACAGTAAAATAAGATCCGTTTGGTTGCTGGATTTGGTGGAATCCGGGTAATACCCGGTACATGTTCCTTCTGAAAATTGGGTGAGTGATGATAAAAGTCATTGAATGATTATATGAAAATGCGAGCACACTCGAGATTATGAACTGCGTGTTAGATAGCAAGTACTTCTACTAATAAACTCGCCAAGGAAAATTTCCATTTAGCTATCATGTTTTACAAAAAGGTCAAATAGTCGAATTCTAGATTTTGCAAAGTGTGCGTAAGTGAGGAGAAGAACTAGAGGCCGAGAATGACTTTTGACTAAACAAAATGTCGTTATCAATAGAAAAATTCTTCCTGTCAACTGATAGCACTCCAATCCTCAATAACTACTCTCACTAATGTTCGCTTTGCAGCGCTCGAGTTTACGTTTTTATGTTTTGAATGAACATACTACAAAAACACCAGCTGCTCAAATTCCAATTTTCATCATCACAATGATTCACAGAAAACATCCGTATTTAGCAAGCGTTCGACGCAAAATTGAAATCAAGCTCAAAAATTGTCGTCGTACTGAAATAAACAGTTCTTGACATATTTTTAAAACTAATTCTAGGCTTTGGAAATGTGTCCTTCAGTTTGAAAAACACTGAAACTGAATTTCCCAAATTCGAATAATCAAGAAAAAAAACTCTACAATTTCAAAAGTTTAGCAAATGCAATTTTTTGAATATCTAGTTAGATTTCTTGCCGGAATTTGAACGATCTTCTAAAAGTCCAAATCGCCCATTTAACACAGAAACCTCTTATGCTAACACAAATTTCCCGACAAGATCTTTATGAACGGCTAGCCGATTTCGATTCTCATAGGCGAAGTGTGGTCTCCTTTCATTCTTACCGAAAGTATGGCTATGATAATACGCTTGCTTGCTGTTTCTTTAGTAATTTTCGCATTGGCGAATTATTTGATTTTTAATTGGAAAATTTGTGAGTTGAATACAAGTTAGCAATCAAGAATAGTGCTACGTACCAGATTGGAATAGAGGAAACACAGAGTCAATAAAAGGGATTTTTTGGAGTAAAGTTTCGAGGTGGCTATGGATGAGATTAAAATTATCTAACGAGGTTTGTTAATGGAATGATATTAACATTTTTCTAAATTTGTAGAGTCTTCATAACAACACGGAAACATCGATATTCACAGCATACCTTTATCATAATAAAATATCTATCACAATAACATCCCAACATTTGGTACAACAAAAAATTTACTGTAGGTATTATGATTGCGAGACGAAAGAGATTCCCGGGAGTTCATGGCATGGAAGGGTGTTCCCAGAGTCTGTTGTAGATTGTCCTAGAAGGTATGGAACAGAATTTGTGTCAGTTTCAAAAAGCCTAGAAGAGCAAGCACCTGCCCCAGTAAAACTCATATTAGGCTCTACAAAGGTACACTTTTCTGAAAAAAAGTTTTAGAAGCTTTTCTTTTGTAGAACCGGTTTCTGAGTTAGCAGTTTGTTTGAGTCCAATGTATGGTAAGCAAACGAGTTGGTTGCCAATTGTGGATTTCGTTGAGCATCATAAACTGGAAGGAGTAACCCAGTTTTATTTTTATGTTGGTGAAATTAGTGTTCACGATGAAAAGATACTGAATGATTATGTTCGGTGAGTTTAATATGTGCAAACAATCAAATTCGGAGCTTTTCAGAACGGGAGAAATGGAAGTGATAAAAATGCAAGATAAGTACAAAAGGGCAGTTTTTGGAAATTCAGGTATGTGGTGTTGTTGATTTAGTAATGAATTCGAAATACTACCAGGATTGTCTCCTTCGGAGTAGATATCATTCGAAATGGACTGCTTTCATTGATTTAGACGAGAGAATTTCCACAAATGGTCAAAGAATGGCAGACCTCCTCCGATCGATTTAAGACCCAGGAATTGGAGAAATTCTGATCCAAGTAATGAGTATTGTGAAAGATAAGGACTACCCAGCAAAATATAAAAACTCAAAAGAACTAGAAAATGAATTAATATTCAAGAAATACAACCAGAGTCTCACTCCAATTTGGAAAGGGAAAAAAGCCATCGTGCGATCGGATAAGGTACCTAGGTTTCAAACCGAAATTTTATTATTTTTTCTATTGAACAAAGATTTCAGATAGGAATAATGTCGGTGCATTATGCAATAGCCAAGTATCCTGGAATCAAAACCTTGTTTGCCAATTCTACGTTAGCTGTTCTGAGGTCAGTTCCAAGAAAAACAGCGAGCTTCTGGTTTTAATGAAGCTCCTTTTGTAGACATCTACGCAGCACCAAACATCGAATCAACGGATCGGCTTGGCACCTGACTCCAAATGAGAATGGAACTCTTCCCATATTCCGAGAAGTTCCACTTCCTCCAACGTTTTCGGAAACATTGCGAGAAGCCATTATCAAGCGCGTTCAATTTGTGTATAAAACGATTCCAGTTAATCGTTCAACTATTCCCTCCCACTTGGCAAATATGATTAATCACCCTGACCCATGTTCTAAACCATGGCCGGATTTTTAAATACGTCACCGCGGAGTTCCTAATTGATCTCATTTTTTCTCTGTGATTAGAAAAGTCCTTGAATATCAAATAAAACAGTTTCGCTATGTCAGGCTAGCATTCAATATCAAAGTTTTTATTATTGAGAAATAATCCAATTCTTCGATCTTTTGTTTTCGTATTAATGTTGACTTTCAGTTTTGAAGATGAAAGGTGTGGCGTATTTCTTTAGCTTCTGAATTCAAGGCGTAGTCATTGAGTTCAAAAAAGAGAATAATGAAAAGATAATAAGATTTTCAATATTCGACATTGATTTTGTAAGATGAAAGGATAGAAATGGAACAAATATAAAGACAAAAAATATACCTGAAGTTCCCAATGATTAATTGCAAAGCGGTTTATGACTAAAATGACGAGAAATTCTTGACTATTCAAGGAGAAGAGACGAACCTAATTGGAATACTTGTCGACATTTATATTATTTATTCTGGAAGCAGCAAAAACAACACTTCATGATTTCAACATACAGAAACTCTATAAAAAATTACGAAGAGATTTGACCTGAATTGCAGTTGGGATGATTCTTCAAAAGTTATAAGAAGCGAGGTTCCTATAATACAGAAAAGTTATGATTATTCAAGGACACCCGTGTTGAAGAGAAAAAAAAATAGATAGAGCAGCTAAGTAGAAAGAAAGAGAGGAAAGAAAGAACTTTTGGGCGGGGGGAAAGAATAGATTTACAAATTGAAAATCATCTATTAAGTTTTGAGACATTATACAATTTAAGCATGCATTTGAGCGGCAAAGTAGTTTGTGAAAAGACGGCCTGGGAGAACTGGAAGCAAGAACTGTTCAGCGTTTGGACGAAAACGACGAGTGAATGGATCAGGGGAGTTTTCCTGCGAAAGAATTTCTTTGCCTATTCATTAATGAATCTCCACGAACACTATGAACATTTTTCCTTTTACTTATGTTAACTGAATAATTATTTTTTTCAAAGCATGGTAACTAACTAGAATAACAGTTGTGTCTGGGATTTCATTTCTCAGAACTGCCTATTTTCATTCCGATGAATCTTTCGACTGATTGAAACAAATTCCTCTCTTTTTACAATAGCATACCTGCAACAGAGCTCTCAATCGATGAGAGAGAAAAACAAAGTCGGGACGATCTTCTGGAGTTGCACGCCAACAGCATTGCATAAGGTCATAACTGCAATGAGATACATGCAGAATATACGATGGATATATTGCATACGCTTAATTCATACCACTCCGTCAGAATGCGCTTTTATTATGCCGTTCAATTTATTATCTCAACCGGACATGTTGAAAAAATCCTCCAGATTCTGCTTCCGATACTAATCTTTTAATAAGTTTTTTTATTTCAGTCGAACACTGGTGAAATCATTGTAATAAACTTTTTCAAAAATTACTATGTCATTTTCTTTGTTTTTCTAATAAAGAATGCACTTCTATCCATCCGTGAGCCTTTTGGACTGCGCTTTAAAAAAAATGTAAATTAGAGTGTATTTTAAAGACATGTTAGCTCAATTAACAAATTTAAAGTTACCAAGAAAAGAGGTTCTTGTGCAGTTCTTGAAAGAGCCTTTCAAATAACCCAAAGCCATTTTTTAACACTCACATAATATCTGGACAGTGCGTTGGTTGTGGTAATCTCATTCCTGTTTCCAAATAGTGCCTGACTTTTGCATTTGATACTTCACCGTATGGAGATGCGGCTCGAGTAAGCAATTCCCACATCAACACTCCAAATGACCACTGAAAATGATTTTTCTGATGTTTCAATATATTCCTAGATTGCAACTCACCACATCAGTTGCAGAACTGAACACCCTTCGATCTCGAAGACTTTCTGGAGCCAACCATTTCAAGGGTAATCGCGCAGGTCCTTGAAAACTACGGAAGATGATAATGATTCTTATAAAAATGACGTACCGGTCTCACTCTCATCTATATAGCTCTCTTTGTCTAATAAATCCACTGCTAATCCAAAATCAGCAACCTTTACTATTCTCTCCGCAGAAATCATACAATTTCGCGCCGCCAAATCACGATGAACAAAGTGTTGTGCAGCTAAATAACTCATTCCTTGAGCAACTTGATGAGCAAAATCGAGAAGTTCCAAAACACATAGGGCCTGAAAATAAATGTTGTTTTATATAATCGAATTAGTTTTGATAATGTTCGAATTTGAGAAAAAAACACTATAGTAAATCAAAAACTCACTCTGTTTGGATCAGCGATATACGTTTTCAGATCTCCTCCTTCCATGAAAGGTAGTACTACCCATGGGTTTCCAGCTGGTGAAATTGAAATTCCAAGAAGGGATAAGACATGTGGATGGTCCAAGTGTTTCATGACAACACCTTCGCGGAGGAATTTCTCAATATGAGCAATGTCTCGTGCGCGTTCTCCTGATAATAATGGCTTACATTTCATTAAAAAATTTTTTTTCAAAAAATTGGTAATTTCTCGGATTCAGTTAGTCCATGGCGGCAGCAATTTTTGTGAGATTAGATTTATCTCAAGTGGTTGGTCTACACATTATTTGCTCGTAAGACAACGGTCGCAAGATAATTTTGATTACAGAGGAGCGAGTTTTCATTGATTGATTTATCGATGTCATTCTGTCAATCGGAATTGTATCAAGCTTTTTTAGAATAAAAATCCTTCTAACGACTGCGTTCTTTGAGATTTTTAAATACACATAACTTCTGTATCTTTTGTATTGAATTCGAAAATCGATTGAAGTCCGGGCCGAAACAGGCCAGGGTGAGAAAACAGACCAGTCCGGCCCGATGCAAGTATGAAAATTACCTTTCAAGGTTTTGACAGCTACAGGAATCAATCTTCCGGCTGGATCACGCATTCTGCCTCTGTAGACATTGCCGAAGTAACCTGTAAATAAAAACAATCCATATTTTCAGGATCCTTAATTTTACATCTTGAACTTTTCCTCTCTTTTCCTTTTGGCTAGGCAACCTGGGTGAGAGGTAAAACAAATATCAGAACGCTCTTTTTTCATATGTGTGCTCAGGTTGTGATGATGGCGCAACAAGCTTGTTTGAGCATAGAAAAAAGGGAAAAATGTTATGTCGGAATAGGAAAAAGGTAAAGGAAGTTAATCAGGAAGTGTTAAGAACTTCAACCATTTCTTAGAGTTTTATTGTTTGCTAGAAGCTCAAAAATATTATCAAAAATGGAATTTTTGTATAACTGTTTCAATGTTTTGTATAGGCTTTCTCTTAACCCTTGCCTCTTTTGGGTAGACTTTTTTTCAGCCGAGATCAATTGCCAAAAAACGACACACAATAAATAATAATAGTATGCGCAGTTATGCACCCGCCCGCCACACACCGAGAGTTAATGGCGTCAAAAAAACAATAGAGGAAAGATTTGTTTTTGAGTAACCTCGATTCTTTCAGGAAGGTATACATATTTTTCAGTCTCAGAAAGAGAATCGAGAAAAAAACACTCACCTTTTCCAACAATAGTCTCCAAAACTACAGCTTCTGATGGCAATAGAAGTCCTTGGAGTGATTGTCGAAGACCTGATCCAATTAGTTGGAGAAGACTTTGGGTTGAGTAGGTAGAGGAAACTGGAAATGAACAAGGTTATTACATAAATCGGAGAAAATCTCACTTCTTGGAATATTTTTGATTTTCATTATAGTTTCAAATTTATATAAGATTGTATTCAAAATGTTTTAAAAAATGTTTCAGAAATCTTTTATACCATTTGAAAATGTCTGAAAAAGTCTGTTTGACTTCGAAGGTGCATTCCCATTTCTATTTCCAGCTTCAAAAGTTCCGCTTTACCAGTTATGCTTGTTTGTTTGCCCTTCCTTCATACACTTGACACAAACGAATTCCAAACAGTTTCGGGGTGATGTACTATTTTTAGATTGTTAAGTGAAACGAAACATTATTGTGCGAATTTTCCGAATAGCACCAAAACTTCGAGGAAATCAAAGACATAAAAAGCATTTTTAATTTTTGACAAGTCATTTTTCTCTAACTATTGTGTTCCCTTATCGACAAACTATACACAATTATCTTCTCCAAATAAAATCCCTAGCGTATTTTCCGCATCTTCTGCTCTCCCGACATTTTGGTTTTTAATGGCGTGACCGAATAATTTTGGCCGTTTCACTAGAAAATGATGACTGCGTGCCGAAGCTCAAAAGGAGAGCATTAAACGATTCAAAAATGAGCTTTCTCGGAGTGTTTTATATATGTTTTCGGAGTCAGAATAAGAGATTAGTAGTGAAAAAAGATCGAACCAAAACATGATTTTTGATTTGGAACAATTTCCAGAACTTTTAATTTTGTTACCAACCACTAGTAGATGACTGCTGTCTTGATGAGGATCTGGGAAGACTGGATGGGTGGGATGGTGATCGGTACCGACTGGATGAGCTTTGCTCAGAATCCGAATCGGATAGGTCCAAGAACACTGGGTTCATGAACACTTCTCCCATTCTTTTCTAAAGATATAACGATGAAATTGAGAGCATAAACAAAAGCTAAAAAAGAAAAGCGAAACGAAGATGGAGAAAATAATAGCTTAATTGTGTATTCATATTTCTTTTTCTATACATATCCTTCAAAAAAATTTTTTGAAACTATTCGTAGGGAGGAAAATCACAAAGGGAGTTGTTTCTTTAAAAAAAGACGAAAAAGAGACAAAGTGGACATGTTGTTTTATTGCTAGAGAGTAGATGGAGATCCTGCAGACGAGAAATTGCAATTGTTCTCTTTTTTTTTCTCCCTTTTTTCATTTCCTTTTTGGGTTACTATTGGTTACCAAGGTTTAAAAGGTATGTTTCACGAAGAGAACGAATTCGAATAAGATGTTTAGAAAAAATCTATTGAAGCGTAAAAAATATCAAGCATTGTCTGCTAGAGATTGCAGTTCGAGGTAAAGTATGCAAAAAGAAACTAATGGGGAAACATTGAACTGGTAGCTAGCAATTTTACCGGTCCAACTAAACTTTTCAAAAGGAAAAACTGGCTAGTTTGAAAGTTCTCAGTGCAATTATCATGTTGTGGCAACAAAAAAGGAGAACTTTTGAAAAGTTAATCAAAAAAGGGGAACAGGGAGGTAGAATTCTTCTCGCAAATCTTATGATTGGAGCTTTCTCGTATGAGCAAACGTGTGCTGCTCACGCGGTTGTACACACAAAAGTCTCCCTTTATGAATCAGTCAGTTCACTGATGTGCATTCACAGACAGTCCTACGAGACTTTGAAAGTATAAGGAAGAGTGAAGAGGATCAGAGAAACAGATCCACGGCCGGCGCCTTCGGGAGCTCCTGTAAGCACACACAAAGAAAAAGAGCATCCATGAGGCGTTTGGAGCACATTTCCTTCCATACAAAAGAAGCAGGGAGACACTTTTTAGTTTTCGCGCGTTCGGTGGCCTCCCAGAAAGTGGTAATGTGGGAAATATGTCACTGTCAAAACTTGACTGGCAAGACTAGTTTTAATAGGTTTTTATGGAAAGCTTCTGTGAAGTCTAATTTACAACTTAGGGTGATAAGACAAATGTTTTAGAAGGCTAGGAGAACCATCAAAAAGATGGACCACCTTCTAATTATAAGTTTTTAGTTTTGCGAAAAATCGCTTGAAAATTTTTAGACTTCCTGAACATTTCTGAAAAGGTTGAAAAAATCTTGGCATAGATAGAAAAAATGTTCCAAAGAAGAGTATAAACTCTTCACAGGCTAAAGATGATTTCCAAAACTAAAGCCAAAAAAAAAACAAACAAGCTCAAAAGGATCGATTTGATCAGTAGGAATTTTCTTTCAAACACTCTTCGACCTACATACATAATCTGGAATTCAAGAGATGTTTCTACCAATCAGAAAATTTGAAACATAATCTTCAGGCTACAAGTTTTATGAGCCCGCTTAAATTTGGAAGCAAGACGGTGAAAAATGTAAAAGATAACAACGATTTTCAAAAAACAAAAAAGGTGTACTCGTGAGTCAGAAACGGATGTAGTTATAAATCGGGACACAAATGTTTGATGGAGGAGGAGTACTCTTTGACTCTTCAGCCAAAGTCACCCCCAACAGCTAAATGAAAGTCGCCTTGAGCTGTTGAGCTCTCCTCCGCAGAAAGTGGGAGGAGTTTAGAGGGGCGAAAGGACTTGTCGACAACAAAAAGTCGATGGCTAAAGAAGATTATGGACAGAGAAATAAAGAGAGCCAAAAATTAAAATTTTCCTGTTTAAGGAGTGAAGCGAATTTTTTGATGAAAGAAAATGAATGAGACATTTGTGTGGAAGACTGATAAAAACCAGCGAATTGAGAGGGAAAATGCGAGAACTCTTGAAATAATAGAAAAAAAAAGTGTTCGTTTGTTAATGTATTTTTCCGCTTTCATACAAGAGGTTTTTTAAATGATAGTTTTTTCGTTTTAGACTCTAATGTTTTTTTGGAATTTTATAAATTTTTTGAAAATTAGGTTACGGTATGATCGAATTCAGTCCATGGCTTAATTCCTTTTTGGACGATGCACCTAGACTGAGCTTTCAACGAAAAACCAAGTGTAACATGGATTTCATCGAGACTGTAAGGTTAAAAACTTTGTACAGCAAAGAAAAATTATATCATTGCTTAAAAGAAGTTATTCAAAACTTTCTCCTCAACAGCCTATTTTCTATCAAAAGCCAAACTGACCAGTACTGCAAGTTGTCCATTGAGAAGGAGATGTTGAAAAAGATTTGGGCGATATGGCTCCTGCACTTCCACTACTTGAGCCTTTTTGACAGTGATACTGAACAAGAACTGCTAGAAGGGCAACTGTCAGAACAATTAGCTGAAATTGGAGGGTTCATTTAAAAGTAGAACTGGGATTTAAAAAAATTTGGAAAACTTAATATCAACAAGATAAATGTACTCACAAAAAGAGCGGCTATGAGTGCCAAAGAATGTTCGGCTAAAAAATTTAATGGAATCTCAGCTGCTGAATTGCGTTGTAATACTGCAGATGAAGTTGTCGTTACCTGGAATACGGGCGGTTTTCTTGACCAAAAATGTTGGGAAACAAAATTCGGCCAAATGGTTTACAGTCCGCCAAAAAGTAAATATTTTACCTTCCAATAAGTGTCAATTGCATAAAAGCGGTACATTTTTTCGGAACTGAGAATTCGGAAAACGTTTAAATAAAAAAAATTCGGAATAGTTTCTCTGGAAAGATTTCTACAGAACAGAAATGGACGAATGGTGCTTTTGTTCTACCCGCGAAAAGACATAAAATGAGTTCTAAGTACCTCTTTGTTCTATTAAGAAGTAAAAGAGGGTGAGAAAAATGACAGAATGATGGTTTTGGGGGGAAATAATGGAAATGGTGTTTGGGTCATCTAGAGAGAACAAAAAAGGAATTTTTGCTCTGTTTAAAATCCTAATAGTAAGTATATGCACAAGAATGGGATTTCTGAGCAGAAAAAAGGTGTAGTATGTTTCAAAAAAAAAAGTTTAGCTTGTAAATTAAACACACTCACCTCTTTCGGAAAAAGCCATTCAAGTTCGGGTCGTAATTGTGATGGAGGTAGTGTTGTAATACCCATCACTTGTTGTTTATTCGCATATCTCTTTGTGGGTGAGGGATAATATGACGATAATAATGTAGAGGTAGATCTGGAAGAAACTATCAGAACGTTTCCAAAGCCAATAAATATGAGATTCTAAAGCCCATGCAACGAAGAAAAAGTTTTGAAATGAGATTTTAAAAATAGTTTTATGATATACAACATGATATTCCATTCAGCTAGAGGGTTCTCAACTGAAGACAATCTTAGTGGACAAACCCAATTTTGACGAGTAGTGTTCCTCACGAAAACACAACCAAACACCCTGGTACTCTCTCATGCATCTCCCTCTAATATTAATAATTTAAAAAAAAATCGAATCCACTTTAGATCTGACCTTCGCCCCCATCACACATCTCTCTCTCTCTCTCTCTCTCTCTCTCTCTCTCTCTCTCTCTCTCTCTCTCTCTCTCTCTCTCTCTCTCTCTCTCTCTCTCTCAACACAAATTGCCTGGGGGCAAGTGGAAGTCCGTTAGCGAGTAAGAACGATCTGCGAAGGGCATCTCGGACGGACAATCAAAGCAAAAAAAGAACGGATCGGAACGGAGGGATAGCATAACACATAGAAGTATTTCAAATTAGTGTGTGTGTAGGTATGTGAGAGCTTTTCAAGGTTATGAGGCAATTCAATTCGACTAGTACCGTTCATACTGTAGAAGTAAAGTAGGGATAAAAATGAACTGGGTTGCCAGGAATCCCATAATCAGGAACGGTTGAAAGTGATAATTAGTTGTGCTTATATAGTCTTATAGTTAATAATCTCTAGAGAATGAAAGCGAGTGAAATCAGGGTTGACCTCTTAAAGTATATAACCTGGTTAAGGACACCTCGTCATCAGTCCTCTTAACCCAGAATCTGGAAAAGAAATAAAGGAGGAAGAGAAGAAGACGCGCAGATACCTAGGAACCTAATCATCACACAGTGTACTTTTTCAAGGGGAAAGAGAAAAGAAAGTGATCGGTTTATGGTTTGGAACGGCGGCGCCCTTCGTCGGCAAAACGAATCCATGTGTCCGTTAAAAAAGCTGATTAGCCACTGTCACCTGAACTAACCAAGAACCGCTTCTTCTTCTTGTCCTTCTTCTTTTAGAGGTGTATAAAAGAAAAATAGAGATATGTGGGAGGGAGAAAGAAGGAAAATGATGTACGGGAGAAGGAGGTAAAAGAAAAATAAATGGAGGCTGATTCAGAAAAACTACGATTTCAAGAGCGTTGAAATGAGAGATCAGAATACACCAAAGAATCAGCTTTGGTCAGTACATGAATTCGGGAGAAAGACTGAAATAGTTCAGAATTCGCCTTAATGGTTTTCTGCTTTTCGATATGCAAAGTTTTCATTCATTTACGGTGGTGTATGAAACCACGTGACAATGGGATGCTCAAACTTCTTGCTTCAAAATTAGCTGAAGAAGTACTCATTCCTGATCCATCTCTTTTTTTAGTACATCAATGTTAGAATTATTAGTTGAAGTACTGTAGTTTTGATGCTCATTGTTCATAGAAATTCAAAAATGAAAAATTCAAGGAAACGTTATAAATTGACGAATAAGGAAATAAAGTAATCGAGTGTGTGCAGATTCGCACGAAAGTGAAGAGGATCGAATAACGACTAAATGAACACACAGACAACAAGGGACACCTGAATAGTTCGGAATAGTCCTTTTGTGTTGAAAAGTGGGAGACAGACTGTGTTTGTAATGTCGCTGGCGTTGTGTGGGAGAGGAGGTAAAGCAACTAGCCGCTTACGACTTCATGCACCGCTGCACACTTTGACAACCCAAAACCGCCGCCCATCTCATATATTTTGAGCCGTATTTGTATATATATCACTCGGTTTACGTTTCTTCGGGCTAAACCTCCTGGCTCCCACTTACAACACCCGTAATCGCATGAAAATGATTTTTTGAAATGTAACTCATAACACTGTGATAAAGTAAAAGACATCCGAAAAAAATCTAAAATTCAAAAACTCGGAAATTTAGAAGCTGGAAAAAAATTAGAAATCATAAGCTTAGATACTTGGAAACTCCGAAATCTTAATTTTCAAAAACTCTGAAACACTGAAATGAAACATTCTGAAATTGTAAAAAAATTCAAATATGGAAAATTCGAAAGAAAGCTGGGAGTTTAGGAATTCCAAATTTTCTGAAAATCAGAATTTCAGAATATGAGAAAAAATTTGAATTAAAACAACTCTGAATCGAGAAATACATCAAATGGGAAGTATTCTTCATATAAAATACTAATTTATTGTAGTAGAAAACAAAGTTATGGCTGTAAAGTGGACAAAAAAACGGAGAAAATACTATTCGCGACTCCTCCCATCTCCTTTTGTGGGCAGCTAAGAGGCTAACAGAAAAGAGGAAAAGAGAGAGAGCGATCGGCTTTTCGACTTTCTTTCCACTCTCTTTTTCCTCTGCGCTTCTAACCAATTTAACATTCTCCAGAAGCCTCAAGAACTGATTGCGATAGGTGAGAGACAATGCTGAATCACAGAGAGACTGGACATGAAGCTTTGAAGGAAAGAAAAAGAGAGAGAGAGAGAGAGAGAGAGAGAGAGAGAGAGAGAGAGAGAGAGAGAGAGAAACTGTCTAACTTCGGAAGCATGGAAGCGGTGGGGAGGGACACAGAACATGTCTAGTGATTATAATGTAAATGTTTCTAAAAGTTGAATCTTTTAAAATATTTTGATAGAGACCGCAACGAAATACTCGAAGAAACTCCATCTTTTAGAGCTTTTTGTTTAACATAATTTCCGTAAATTTTTGTAATAGACCTTGAAATAAATTGTAATAAAGTATGAAAAATTACAGAAAACTATACTAAAGCCCGAACAGTTGCAGATATGTTACAATCGAACTAATTTCTGATAGTGAGTTGCTACCATCAGATATAATAATTAGTTTGGACTAAAATTAATAAACTACATCCACTTTCTCAGAAACTTACAAATAAATTAGAAATTAAGATAAATGCGAAAATGTTATATCATTATCACACATAAGCCCGCGGAAAGCCATAAGAAAAAGAAGAAAATTTTTGTTTAAAAAAGCAAAACTCATTCGAATGAAAACCTGAATTCAATAAATAATATTATGTATTACGACAATAATAATAATTAGATATGAAGTGTCAACGGAAAGGTGGGGCATGTGTGTGTTAGAAGGACACCTTTCTTATCTCAAAATCTATAGATGAGATTAATGGAGAAGAGGTTGTAAAACGGTAAGATCTTCACTAAATAGCTGAAATCAAATAACGAACGAGGTCAAGCACTTTACTCGTGAGTTTTTAAAAACATGCTTCGCCAAGGAATCTTTTTAAAGACACATATTCAGAAATTGAAACTTTAAGCAGTTGTTACTTTAAAAATCTCCTACAGACACCAAAAGTACATTTCCATTTCTCAGACGACGTAATAGATTTTGCCTATTTCACCGTAATCGTTGAGATACACGAACAGAGAAGAGATGCAGATATTCAGACAGTTTCCTCAATTACCATCAAACTATAATCGTTTTATCGCTTTAGGTTAAGCTTTAGACAAGGTGTGAAAAAAAAATTGAAAAGAAAAAACTGCTTTATTTTTCACGAAAAATATTCCAGTATATTTTGGGAGAACTGTATCCAGAATGCGCAGAAGGATCGGCTACTAAATCTTGTTTTCACAACAGTACTACATAGAAAATATCGTTCGAAACGAAAAGTTAAAAAGACCAACTCCAAAAAAAAATATATTGAAATGCAATTATATCTGTACACATATATATTTATTTGGGGTAGTAGAAGAATAGAGAGAGTAACAGATGAAACAAGTGGATAATATGCGCATCTAGTACATACAATAATAACATGCCAAAAAAAAAGAAGTCGACTTCTTTTCCCCTCTTACTTGTAACTAACGCATCGAACCGGTAATGCTTATTCTATGGAGGAAATAAGAGACAAACAGAAGTTTTTAGAAAGACGGTAAGATGGATGGAATCATCCAGAATTTTTATTCTGCAAAACTTTCGAAATTTCATATGTCTGCATTCAGAAAATCATTCAAATATCCGACTAGTAAGTCTAGTTCTCATAGTGAGCAGTAAGATAAAAACAATCCTAGTTTTGTTCAGAAGATAATTCAAAAAGAATCCAACACATACAATGGTTGACCATGTAGATAGTTCTTATAATATTTTCAAGTCTATTTCTCCGGGGTATTGAAAATCAAGTTATTACTGTTTCTAAGGAATCGTGGTGGCGTCGGCGCATGATGATCCCTCTGGTACATAATTGACGACACGCTAAGCAAACAGACAAATTCTAAAGTTTAGACTGTCGATTGAGATGAATATTAGTTCTGCATTCACAGGAATATTCTAGAAAATCAATGCTTCTCATAGGATTTTGAAACATTTTAGTGCTGACCAGGATTCTAAGTCAAAATTACAATTTCAGTGGAAAATGGTCGACTTTGGATGTACTTGTTCATTTGGTCAGAATATTCCAGGAATTTTAAAGCAGAAAATGCTTTTTCTATTTTTGTAGTTTACAACTTTTTCGTACAGTAGCCTACTGATGAGATACATCTTGTGAAGCAGAATACACCTACACTTTTAAAAGATTATGACTGAAATTGTTGAAAAAAAGAGGTCAAGTGAGAGCACAAACAAGTTGGCAACTACAAAAATGAAGTTCTATATTTCATTTATGATCCATAAAATATTCGGAGTGTATATTTCAAAAGTGTAATTTTTCCACTTTTAAGAATCGTATTCACTGTTTCACATTAGCAGATGAATCTCTCACCTAATGAATAGAAATGATTTGAGCGAATCTAAAAACAGGAGAACAGAGTAGTAATTCTTCGATTGTTCCATCAGACAAACTCGGTGTCCACAATACAAATTGAAATTTAGTTTAAAAAAATTACAAAACTAATGAGAAAACTGTAACGTTTGAATCAAAAAGACTAAAATTGAAGAAAATTAAAAAGTACTAGATTGCAAAGAAACTTCAGAGAAAAAATAAGAGTCGGTCGTCACAATGAAAGCGGTGTTTATTGGAAAATGAGAAATGTGGTGAAAACTGCAGTAATCCTTGGTTTTGGCGTACGGTTAATCTTCCGCGCGGAAGGTAACCCCCGCAGAGCAATATGAAAAGTTACCGGTCGTAATCGGTTGACAGAAGGGCAAATACAAATATATGCGCCTTCTCTTACTACTGTTTGTCTGTGAAAGAGCAATTCAGAAACTTTGGTGAGACTGGTAAAAAATGAAATGTCAATTTGAATTTGACAGGTGGCGAACAACTAGTCAAAAAACATCTATACTTCTTACCATGGAAAGTTCCCGGTATGTATTTTTGTATCTTTGATAGGACAGTTATAAAGTTGAGAATCGACCATTTCAAAAATATGCTTCAACTGAATAAAATTTGTTAAACAAACTACCCAGATACGAATTAAAAAATATCAGATTCCTGAAAGTCTAGAATACTAATTGGTGAATGTCGATATAATATAACGTATCGAGAAGCGAGCACATACTATCTTTCTAAAGAAACGCCTGGCAGTCTCTACAAAAAAAGCCTGAAACCGGCTAGACAGCTGAGCAACAGAGCGCAGTGACTCTGCATTTTTCTACAGTTCTCTGTTATTTTGTTTTCCGATTAAACACAAGAATTAAAAAAAATAGAGGAACTGAACCACAAAGCGGCTTTTCCCGTTTTGGTGTGCTCTTGACCCAACGCAGCGAAAAGTTCCAATTTTGGAGAAGCTTCTGTTTAGATGCGGGATGAGAGAGGGAGAAAGAAAGTGGGAGTATATAAATAAATACTTTTGTGATGAGAAATGTTAGAGAAATAGCAATTGTAAACAATCGACAAAAGAGTGCTCTCTCGAGAATTCATTTGATATCAAAACAATCAGTAAGTGATACCTTCTGAATTTATACGGTCTTTCTATAGTTCACAAACAAAAGTCAACAGAAGTTTGAATGTTGAAAACCAGTCCCGGAAAACTTCGTAAACTCATCCAGACAGTGAGAAAGTTTCTGAACCTCAAATCGGTATGACCTAGATTTGACCCAAATTACATAATCACGAATTTATCTTCTTTGAAATGAAAGTAACTTCAAAACGCAAAGAAAATAGAAAAATTAAATATGACACAAAAATACACTTTCAAGACCTAAAAACAGAGATTTCAGTAAAACACTGTCTCTAACAGTAGAAAAACGAACGTTAGATTCAATTCTGATCTTCCTTGAAAAAGTTTGGTTTGGTAGGTCTGGAGCGCAATTTTCGCATTTTTAAAAATTTAATTTTGTAAAAATTCAAGAGGATTCAGATTGAGTTTTGAAAAAAGGTCTATTTTCAGCATACTTGCGGAAAAGACGGCCGGGCCGAGTTTTTTTTGAAAACGGGCCGGAAAAAATAGGACATGGCTGGCCCGCTTTTTGAAAATTTCGAAATTTTAGAGCAAATCATCATTTTTCAAGATGAATCTTCTTCTTATTAAATGAAAATCCACACTAGAGGCTGATTCTGTTGAAAAAAAACAGTTTTGAGGTCGTAATTAGAAAAAAATTTCACCCTTGGCTTAATATATATCAAGTTTGATTTTTTTGCTAAAAATTCAATTAAATTGACTGTTTTGGATGGTTGTATGCATTTGGATTAATATTTGTGCTATTGAAACTATTTTGGCACATTTGAAAAGTAACATTTTCGAAAAGTTGGGCCGAGCGGGCCCGGCCATCCACATGTATGATTTTTAGGAAAAAAATTACCGGGAAAGAACCATACAGGGTTCTATAACCTCTGAAAAATGCCGCAAAACTCATTTGATCCATCTTCAATCTTTAAGGAAACGAATAAAACCTGCTGAAATTATGCTCCACACCTTCCACACTAATTTTTCTCATGGTAGATAATCACAACTAAATTAGCAGTTCGTATTCCTAATGTGATTGATTGTGGAGTAATGTGTACAGTAAGATTATTCGAGACTTAACATTCCTGCGATCATGTCTTCATCTTGATGTACCTCCTTCTCTTCTCGTTGCCCTCGAAAATGCCATACCGGAACCTCTTCAACGTTTTGCTTTATAATCTTTTCAAGAGCTATTCACACACACTGTCTTCCGAAGAGACTCGATGTGAAAAAAAAGTCAATGACCTCAAACGCCATCAAGAATATCAGAAAAATGTTACGCAATTAGTTTTTCATTGAAAGGGTTTATTGGGGTAAGACTAAGTCTTGGCTGTTATTATGATTATGATTGGTTACACGCTGAATGGGGGACAAATGAGGGAACATGTTACGAAATAGATCATAATTAGCAAATTAATAAAGTTGTTTTCAGAAAAAAAATTAAGAAGAGTCAGTTCTTTCAGTGTAGATATTCTCCAGAAGAATTGCCGACTCATTGATGCAATCCATAACATTTCCCCATGGAAGAGAATTGGACATATTGGATGTGTGATTACGCGAGAATCGTTTATAGACTTTTACAAGTTGCCCAACCTCTTCCTCGACAGTTCTTGATTCTTCATTATTTTCGTACTCCATCTCTCTCCATTCTTCATCGTCACCACGTTTTTTAACAATACCTGAAAACGTGCCAGCAGCTCTGACGATTTCAGAAAGAACTTTTGAATTATCAATCGGCCACTGTTTTTTGGTATGAGCAGAAATGAGATTTCCACAGATACGATGTAAAATTCGAGCGTCTGAAAAACAGTTTTTGTTTGGATGAGGTTAATGAATAGATTAATTTACCTTCCAAGAAATCATCAACGTTTGGAAGTTTCCGCTGGAAAGCTTTTTGTGGACTCGCATACTCTTTCTTGATTTCTTTACCAATAAAGATCGGAGCCAAGCTCTTATGAGAAACACCAGTTGATCCTTCTATCTTCAATGGTTCACTTTTCGAGGCTGACGTGGCAGTAGACATTGGACTAACTGGTGATTGCGATGCTTCAAGCGATTTTTCAATAACTTCTACAGATTCTTGTAGAGTCGGACCCTCCGTTTCAACTGGTGGAGAAGCGGTTGGAGCATCCGCCGACTGCGTTTGAACTCCCTGTTTTGCTTGTGAATTGGTGGTGGGAGCATTTTCAGGTTCCACGAACTCTGGAGATTTTTCACCAGTTACTTCTGAAACTTCTTGAAGCTTCTCTTCTTGATTCGCGGAAGTTTGTACTATAGATGATTTTTCTTCTACAACAACTTGAGCTGTAACTTCTGAAACCTCCTGAAGCTTCTCCTCCTGATTTTCGGAAGATTGTACTACACATGATTGCTCTTCTAAAACAAGTTGAGTTGGCGCTTCTGGGACCTTCTGAAGCTTCTCTTCTTCGACAACCGGAGCTGAAGCTCCACTCATATCAACCTCATCCTCGCCTGATTTCTTATTCGAATTCCATGTCTTTTCGTATTGTGCCAACGTACTTTTCGCTCCACTGACCTTCCCCTTTATCCAGGTCAACTTCTCAATCTGTGACTTTGAAAGTGATGCAAAGTCTCCGATAGTGGTAACACCGAAACTCGAGAGTGATTTCTTCGCAGAATCTCTCATTTGTTTGGATAAAATTGTAACGAGACTGTTGAGGATCTTGTCTACTTTGTCTTGACAACCAACGAGAGATGGGAAGAATGCAGAAGTATCAGTGCGTGAAGACATATCGAGCAAGCTGTTGGATCTTGATTCGATTGTTGACGCGGTCATTGGTCTGTTTGGACTCTTGCTCTCAAATGTTTGTTTTCTACGTGGAGTCATTGAAGAGGATACAGTATCTTTTGGAATTGAGTCTTCACCGAAATGAACTCGGTTTCTCTGAAATTGAAAAAGTAAAGTTTTTATTTTTGCCTCTTTATTACCTTTCTCTCTGTCATTGGAGAATCGACAGCTTTTTTGGAGCCTCGCAAAATCGACGGAGTTCTAGGAGTCTTTGGTGGTGACTTCACTGCTTCCGGAACATCAAGATCATACATTGGAGCAAGAATGGCAAAGGAATTATTAGGTTCTGCTGAATTATGTTCTCGAAGAGCTTCCTGGCTCTCCTCGATCGGTTTTGCGACCTCCTCTAAATCGGTATCATCAGATTTGGACATGATAATGGTATTTTGAGAATCGTTGGATGATTCGGAGGATGTTGTTGTTCTTAATTTCTCCGCAGATTGTCTCAAACTCTTCCGCGACTCAGCTGGAACACAGTGTCTGGGAGTCTGAAATAAATTAAAAGCTTGAAAATTGTTTGCAATAAATTTCTCACATTCTTGTATCGTCGTTTTTGTTGAGAGTCTCCTATTGACGATTCAGACTCATCAATTTTGACTCGCTTTCTTTGCGGAGACGTCGCCTTCACTTCCGGTTCCTCATCTATTTGATCAAAACTGGAACCATTGGATGAAACAACGGGTAGGGCCTTTATAGGAGAACTGAATAGGCTCCGTTTGATTGGTCTCTCTTCCTTCTTTTTATCGTTCTTCTCAACCTTCTTGGGAGATGGTACACTGACACTATCCTCTCCTATCTCGAAATTAAGGGCTCTGAATGCGTTTTTCATTCCTTCCGACTTCTGAATACCACTCTGAGATTCCTCATCCATGTAGTTTATGGAAGTTCGCGGGCCTGACATTTGAGCGAGTGTCTCTTTTTGTCGATCCGTTAATTTACTTCTCCGACCGGATGGTGGTGTAGCTGTAATTGGAACGTAGTCACAACTATCTTCATCAATCAGGGAGATTCTTCCAGTGCGTTTCCGTGTTGGTGTAGCAGTTTTGGAGGGCACTTTCGGAGGGTCCAACTTCTTATTATGATATATGAGAATCTTATCAGCCATCTCATTTACAGCAGGCTGTTGAGAAAGTTGAAACGAACTCTGGCTATCTGGAACGTTGTCATTCACTTGATTAGGTTGTTTGAAATCATCGGATTCTTCGGAAGAAAACGCCAAACCATCCATAGCATCATCATCCGGGAACAAAAGTGGAACACCTTGAGACCGTTTTGCAACAGGTGGGAGACTGATTCCGAGTCTTTTAGGAAGCTTCTCGAGAGTTTCTCTGTAACAAAACTACGTCAATGAAAATAGAGATGTAGCATTAATACCTCAAACCAATTGGCCATTGCAGTGGAACTTTAGTTGAGCCGAACGTTTTCTTCCATAGTAAGGCTCCATTTTCTTTGAACGAGTTGTGCTTCGATGTTAAGAAAGCTTCAAAAATGGGTCCCCATACATTCAAAACGTCCGAGTTGAAAGGCTCTTGCGCGAGATCAGCAACTTTCTGTATAAATCGAGCCATCCTACGGAATAGGTTCGCCAATTCTGGAGATCTTGTGTCGTCGGTACTTTTTCCTCCGAAGATTACAATCAGTTTTGAGAACGGAATTGCGATTTCACCGACTAGAGGCTGAATCTGAAAAGTTATTGCATTCTAAATGCTGCGATTCAGAAGAATTTTAAATTACCATATGAGCATGACCATTTGTCACTATGTCTGCAAGCCCTTCCATTACTTTGGCGAACTTTTTCGTTTCTTCTGCTAATTCTGCACCCTTCGGAGTGCTCTTTTCTTCAAACTTCTGAAGAATTCCTTCCATTTCTAGTTTTAGCATTTTCAGGGGTTTATCCTGTGACCCGAAAGGGTTGAATTGTGTGCACGGCACCGACATTTCTGCAATAGGAAATCGGGGATAAGGATAATCTTTAGAGGGATTAACGGACATGATAAAAGGTTTCTTAAAAACACATAAAAACATAAAAGAGCTATTTTGAGAAGGGGTATTCTTTTTTCTAGAATCTAGAAGGAAAAATCTATAGGCGAAAAATCTATAGGCGAAAAATGTATAGTGCGCGAAAAACTGCGGGCATTCAATTTGTATTTCGCGCGCGCATACACAGAATCTCATATTACACACAATTGTTTACCGTATTCGAAATTTTTATTAGGACAAGACCAGAGAAATGTGATTGTTTTGTGAATTCGGAGATACAACGTATTTTTGGATGGGGAAAGTAGAAAAAAAAGAAAAATAATTTATTAGAAATGTTCCTCGTCCTCTGAAACTGAAGTAATCAATCTGACGGGCATCAAAAGACCACACTCTGCTCGTGATTTTCCAAATTCCCGCTCAAACTTGCTTTTGATCAGCAACCGATATTGTGCTTGTGCAGAATTGCGTCGAAACGATTCCGGTCTCAAATTATCTTTAATGATTTTCTAAATTTTTTTTCCATTAAAATTTAGGCTTCATTTCATGGAATCGACTATTTAGGATACTCACCCTGGGGTTGTAGGTCGTGGAATTGGGAATTCCTCTTCTTCGCAAAGAATATGCTCAAATACTGGGCTTCGTGTGCACAAACGACGATAAACGTACATCATAAATATCACTGCAAGTGTTTTCATTAAGCTATAGTCCATGAGATATTTACTTTGCTTATTGAAAACATTTCTAGAATTTTCAGTCTAGACAATGTTCCAATCTCAGGAGGCTCATTACATATTTTATGCCGCGTTCAAAGTAGACTCCAGGAACTGGAAATTGCGTCCAAAGCTGCCAATTTTTCCAGGTTTTCCAGGAGCACGAAACTTCGATTTTCCGCGTTGTAGCTGTGTTAATTTTTCGAGGTCCGCTGTAAATTAACAAGATACTTTCTTTTTTTGGACCTCGAATTAACACAGCTACAACGAGGGAATTCGAAGTTTTGAGTCCATTGAAAATCTGGAAAAATTGACAGCTTTGGACGCAATTTCCAAATCCTGGAGGCTACTTTGAGCGCGGCATTACATAAAATTTGATATCAATATATTTTTTAAATAAATACCTCTTCTCTGTCTATCACTATCATGCCTACTCACCAATTCCAAACATCAAAAAGAAGCAGAATACAGGAATAATAACAGAAACAACAGTTTGTAGGCTGAAAAACGGTGTATAGTTGGGTGGGAAAAGGACATCCTCATCAACTGGTCCACCAGCCTCAATGTTATCTTTCGGATCCCACATTTTCACACGAATTCGAATTCGTTCAAGCAGTTTGGACTGGAAAATTAATAGAAGAGTGGGATGAACAGGAGAAAGTGAAAGAAAGTGATAAAGAAGCTTTTCATGGATGGGGATGTGCGTCTCTCATAGCAGCTCCACCTCTTTCTAGATAATCTCGACCACACCACTAATCGCCAGTCTCTCTTTCTTTTCTCTACTATTTCAAAATGAGACCTCGCGCATCCTTGTGTCTTTTAATCTTCTCTTGATTCACTGGCGTGCTCTCTTCTCTCTCGATAAGCTAATCTCGGAATTCGAACGCTACATCATGATAAATGAAACTTTTGTTGTGTTATTGAAGATGCGATTACTGTAGGTGGCACAATCGAAGATCATTTTTTATTGTTCGGGGGCCAAATTTAAATGGCTTACATTCTCGTTACATGGAAATATCGTTTTCTTCTGTTCCTAAATCGCTTGGCTAGACTCAGTTTAAACAATCGGTCAGAAGCAGTGCAAAACATGCACATCTTTCGAATTTCCGTTCGAGTGAACCTCGAAAAAAATGCCAAAATGAGCTTGAAAACAGGAGCAAGAATAAAAAAATGCTGTAACGGAAGTGACGGGAAAGCAGATTAAACCGCCCATGTCTCAACACACCCCGACTATTACCTCATTTAATGAGACGAAAACAGCCGGAAATTCTCGTTGCTATTTTCTTTTCAAAAAAGAAAAAATTCGAAGAAAAAGGAGACGTTATGCTAAGAAAACAGCATTGAAGTCTTTTTTGATCGTTGTTCCACTAGCCGTGTCTGGTGGTGGTTTTAAGATCTTAAGGATCTTCTAACAGGATGCGAAAATTAATTTTGGAACAAACTTGTGAGTGGTTGATAGAAAACAACAAATAAGGAGAAGCACATCTCTTGAGATTTAAAAGATTATCGGTAAAAAATTTTCATTCTTCGAAAGCAAGCTGATATTTAGCTGCTCTTGTTGCTGGATGACACAAAATATACATACAATTAAACATCTGGCAATTTGGAAAAATATACAAACTGGGGAAAAACTGGCAGAACTTTGGTTAGCATGAAAGGGGAGGAAGCATATGGGGTATTGTGACAAAACGGGTGACAAAAACCGGGTTAAAACACTCTCGAACGACGACCATCCACATTGAATATTGTCAGCCAGTACTGTACATCATGATTTGAAATTCGCGGGCTCTCGATCTGAAAAAAAGTTATTAATGTAAATCTTTCAGGGATATCAAAGGATGTTTAGATCCAATAAACATTCAAGTGTGTTTCTGATCTTATTTATTTGGCTCTATGCCAAGAAGCCATATTAATATAGACAACAGGACGTCAATGTACTTTTGGAATGGCTATTAAACTGCGTCAAAGATTGACGCTTTTTTCGTAAAACCTTTTGAATCTTCGATGAGAGGGCTGTTCTATGGGTGAACGAAGATTAATCTGAGCCTTTCAATAGAAAAATGACGATAAATATACTTACTAGGTTCGCAATGTGCTGCTCACTGCTCAAATGCATGATCATTGCATCGACACGATCAATTGTCACGTCACACAGATCACAACGATTGACCAATCCAACTGGGAAACTTCTGGCTGCCAATTGGCTCAATGTGCTTCTTTGGTGACTCGAGAAGAAGTTGTTGAGTTTTTTAGAGCACACGTTACGAAGACGTTGTAAATAGAACTTCTTCTCTTTCACATCCATCGGCGAAGACGTTCTTTTCGATTGTCGGAACAATGGAACCCTGATCTTGATATCCAATGAACATAACAAGCGACGAAGATCATCGTTTGAGACGGAATTCAAACGATCGAGATGACATTTGTCGTGAAGAATATGTCGAAGAACACCGTTCCTAGTGAAAAGATCTGTACGACACCAACGACACGTAGTACGGTATTTGTAGTCGTCGAGAAGATCGAAACTGGCGGCGATTTCGTCGCTGACATATTTTAGCACTGGTTGCATGTCTTTGCCTGCAAAGAATGATTTGTATTCGTCTCAAATTAGCTAAATACCGGTATAAGAGAAATCTCCTTCAACCCTTCCAACTGGCACGTAACACAACGGGAAGTCAGATTCTTGAAGAGACACTTCCACGCGATCCTGATGTCTGACTCTCTTGCAGTTTCCATTCATAAGTGGTTCCATAAACGACAACCAGTACTCCATATCAGCACGAGAGACTCCATTATAAAGTGCATTATCGATATGCTCCTCAGAGAACAAGTGTGTTGGGAACGACTCCAAAAATGTGGCATCGAATTCTACCTTACAATAGTTGCACCATGTCTTGCCAGTTGGACCAAATCGGCGACCTCGAAGGGCTTCAGGCATTCTTTTGTACTTTTCTTGAAAAACCCGTAAGAATACAACAGCTTCGACATCTTGAAAACGGATATTATATTAATTAGGTGAACTGTCACTCACATCCTAAAGTGTCAAGTGTGTTACGTGGAGGAGAAAGCAGTGGTACGCCTTGCGACACGGCAACCGTACTTTTCAGGCTTTCGAAAGCCGTTAAAATGTCGAACTCATCAAAGAATGACATTTTTCGACTTTGGAAATGGACGTCATCTGCTAGAAAGTCGAAATTTTTGTCTGCATATGACATCTCGACTTCGTATATAATTTTTCGAGCGCAGTATAGATCAATGTAAGAGAACGTCCCGCCAGTTTTGTAGCTCTGAAATATGATATAAATAGAAATTGAAGTATTTCAAATTGAAAACAAACCCGCTGAATATGAATGACACTTAAAAAATGCTCAAGCATTTCTTTGGAATTCGAAAACTTCACATCGCAAAGTTGGCATGGATGAGGGTAGATATTCAGAAAGTTCAGATATCCTGAGATGATTCTTTCATCGAACGTCTGAACCATGTTGTGAGTATGGATTGCTCCGCGCAAAGCAACGTTCATTTCGATCGGCTCTGGCACCCAATTATTCCATGTATTCTCGAATGGGCAGTATGTGTCTGGGAATCGACGTCGGCGGTTTAGAAGAGCCCGCTGTTCGATGTAGCTGTTGATCATCAGTTGATTGAGAAAGCATGGTTCTTTCTCATACTCGAACCCACGACCAAAATCCACTTCGTCTACACCGCCCTCCAGTTGAGTGAAGTCTTCACTTGACGACGTCGTGTTGCTCAGCTCAGGACTACAAAGATGAAGCGTCACATCTAGGTTCGTTCGATCAAGGTTAAAAGTGTCATCGTGGAACATGACTTTGGTCCGCGATTTCAGAGATCTGTTCACAACGTATTCTGAAATTTTCAATTTTTTGAATTTATCAGGATCTAGATGTATACCAATGAGGAATGGTTGCATATACTTGTCGTAAACCAATGTACCAGCTGGCAAGTATTGTTTTTGGAACCATTTTTGAAGCGCGGAGTTCGAATACGGGCCTCTGGAAACACATTCACTAGAACTTTTGAAGGAAGCTACAAAACTCACTGCAAGACGTTTTGGTCGTCATAGTAGTAGTACATTTTATTAATTATTAGTAAGGAACAGTAGGGTAATGGGTAAAATGAGAGAGAATCACAACTGAGTGCTCTTCAGAATAAGAAAACACAAACAGAAAAGAAATACAACACTGTGGGGTAGATTGAAAAAGTGGATCAAAAATTGTATTTTTAAAAATTATCATTCAGCAGGTCTATTCAAAAAAATAATTTTGTAAATTGGTAAAAAACTTAAAACAGTTTATCTCAGCTTATAGCCCATATTTTTAACAAGTTTATTAAATAAAAATGTAATCAATTAGAATCTTATATCGTGGATAGGAAGGTATGGAAAGGTTGTCAATAACAAAGTTTGGCATAAATTGTGTGCATAATAAAAAAAAATCTACAAAAGTTATTCATCTTCGTCTTCGCGAGATGACAGCGCGAGAACGACTGTTTTGAGAATCATGCTGAGCGTCTTGAAGGATATGCTCTGAAAACTATTTTTTTAAATTTTCATCTATTTTCTAACATACTTTGTCTACAGTTCTCAAATCTCTGATTGTTGTAGTAATTTCTTTTTGGAAACCACTCAAGGACGGACAGTTCATGTTAATGAGATTGCAACAAAGCAAAACCAGCACTTTACGGAGACTAACGAATTTTTCAGATATTTTATAGGGTTTTGCGTTCTTGATCAATGCGAGGAACGCTGTTCGAAGACCCATGTTTACTTCGCTAGTGTGATTCACCTGAAAAAAATATCTGAAATTTTCCGTTTTTTTTGAAGACTAACGATATTTCTCTGGTTTCTCCCTCTCTTCAAAATCAGCTTATGAACTTTTACGAGTCGCGGGGAGTTCAAAGCGTTCACAACATCACGGAGAACCTCGAGAGCGTTCACTTCTTCTATCTTATCCTTCTTGATTTTGTGTCTAGTAGCTATGGTACGTTGTGTTTCTGGCATTTCATCGACGTTTTCGAAAATTGCTCTGCGCAAATGTTCATATGATACGGATGAAGATAAATCTGGAGTGTGTTTGGTATCAGTTTCTGGAACATTTTCTTCGGAACGCTTAGTCAATTTTCTACATCTCTTGATTTGTTCTTTTTCGACATCTACATTGAGTATTCGTCTTTTTGAGTTCTTGCTGTTATCCTTATGTCGGTCTTCTTCAACAACGTCCCTTTTGATTCTACGATGAAATAGGACATTCATCGTAGAACTAAAGTTTATAGAAGGAGCATCTTGAATCACAAGCTTCCTCCCCCCAGTGATATTTATATTAGCACTAGAGACGAAAGTTTGAACAGCCGAGGGAGATGTCTTTTTAGAATGAATTGCCACGTCCGGATGTCCAATGTTTCTCATAACTGCCGGCACATTTGTTTTCACAGTAGCACAACTTTTTTTCGGCCATAATCGCCGATGAGATCCTTTGAATTTTATGTTTCCATCATTTGCTTCGTAATGCGTGATTCGGTTTTCTTTATCGATCTCCACAATAGCATCCTTACGAAGTCTGGAATTTAACGAAGAATTTCAGGAAAATCAAATAAAACGTCTTACTCCTTCAAAAAGTCTTCACTGACCGCAGTGCTCGATACAAACATCATTTTAGCTTTGGAGGCTGCATCATAAGCAGTGCATGAATGAATTTGAGAAGTAAGAGCTGCATATCTATAATAAGCTTTTAAAGGTGGGGGGACAGGAGATTTTACGGGGGATTTCTGGGGCCAGAGTATGCATTCTACCGTAACGGTGTACAACGCTTAATGTCACTCTGCGTGCAGCTGTCGTCCTCGCCTTTATGTATGCAATCGGGAGTGCGCTTTTTCTTCGCCCGCGTGGCTCAGTCGGTAGCGGCGCCGCACCCTCAATCATCGCCCTCACAAGTTCAACTCCTCGAGGGGCATCTTTGAACGGAATTTCGAGAACATTATTTTTTCATGTCCCCCCACCTTTAATCTAAAGAAGACTTTCTCTCCGTACCGATCTCTCAAATAAGTCGTTGCGGTGCTCGATGTCGCTTTCGCGTAGCTTCTGACGAATGATGATCCGGAAACTGGTGAATCAATCGTTTTTGAAAATTCAAAAAGAAAATGTAGGATTTGTTTATCTTTGTTCAGTTTATCTCGATTGAGGCTTGAAAACTGAAAGTTTCATTTACTTGAAGATTGAATAACAAATCAGAACTCTCACATGTGTTCCTTTCAGTTTGAGATCTTTGCTCTCAAACGAGACTATACGATTTTGCTCGTCCACTTCCACGACCGCTTCTTTACTTAACTCCTTCAGAAAATTCTTGTCGACAGGAGCACTGAGCGCAAACAACATTTTCATCCGTGTGATAATATCCAAATCGGTCAACTCATGTAGCTTGTGACGAAATCGCTCGATTCTGAATATTCAGTTTTTATGTATTGAAAGAAACAAAAAAAAATTGCCTTCTGCACAAACAAAAGACTGAAAGATTGGTTTTCTTGATTGATTTGAAATCCGCACACAATGGTGTAATCCTAAATGGAGTTACGATATTCTTCGATTGTTTTGCGATGAATAGAATCAAATCAGTATTTTCAAAGTACCAGACGGGAACATCGTTAATTGCCATCTGAAATTCAAAAAAAATGTACATCGAGAGAATTATTCTGATGCAAAAAAGAAACGCCGGTGGCCGTCGCCGTAACGCACGAAATTTGGAGATTCCGTAAAATAAAAATAGTTTTAGGTTACGGAAGTTCTTCGGCATTATTTACAGCTCCGATTTTTGTAACAGAATAATCGCTCGAAACTATTTTACCGACTTCTAAAAATAGGAGAAAATTGAAACTTTTTAATCTACCGTAATGTTTCAAAGGAACATTCTTCCTTCAATGGTATGGGCTCTCACCACGGTTTCGCTAAAATGCTGTGAAAATGTGTTTTTTTACGCAGTTATGCCTGCATCTGAATAAATAGAAAAGTAAACAATATTTACAGAAAAAATTTATTTGGATCAAGCTGAAAAACAGATTGCGCATTTTTGCGTAAGGCGGTGTGCACCAATCTTTCGGCTACAGTAATCCCTTCTCGAATTGTGATTTGTGAATTCAGTTTCCAACAAAGATATTGTCGGAATAAAAAAAGTGAGACTCGGTGTTTGCGTACTTTGATTCCCTCCCAAATTGGAACGCTGTTTTGTGTGTGCGTTCATGCGCGCTCTGTTGCAGGCAGCGTTCCAATTTAGGACAGTTCGACTCCTTTCCAGTTCGAACTTGTAACAGTTCGATTCTGTCTGCGTTCTGTTCTGGTACGTGTGCGAAAAAAGGACTGTTCTGAATTGAATCAGTTCGATTTTAGGTCTGTTCGAATTCGTCGTACCCCCATCTCATTAAATCCGATGATCTCCAAGTGGCGCCAAAACACCACGCCGCACTTGCAAAGCGATGGGCGGAGCGTCGGTGGGGGGAGGCGGGAATCAAAGTACGCAAACACCGAGTCTCACTTTTTTTTAATTCCGACAATATAACTTTGAAATACCCGAAATGAATGCAAAATTAACTGTCATTATTCATCTCATCCTCCTCGTTTCTCTGTAAAATTGGTACTCTATCTGTTTCTTCTGCTCGAACGAAAGCGACTTTTGGGGAGTGTAGATACGAAAACCTCAGTTCAATAAAAAAAGTGATGATGAAGATATGAAAACATACTGAAAAATGAATAACTAATGCTAGTTAAGACATAGTGCTCTCTTACTTGCTATAATCCATAGACTGGCTTCCAATAGCCATGGAGGGGATAACTTTTCATCGTCTTTAACAAATCGATCTGGAATATCTTTTTAGATGACTGGTTTTCCACTGAGAATGCTCACAAAAAACGAAAGCAACACTCTCTACAAGAACTATCATGAATCTGAAAACACACACTCGTAGAGTGCACATTCGAGGTACCAAAGACCAAGTGAGTACCGCCTGTGCCCATGCATATAATAATCCAGCAGCGAATGCGACAGTATCTGCCCACTCATGTACAACTGCGAGCTCAGGATCCTCACAATGAGCAATGACTGTGATACAGAGGGCTGTGAAAAATCCTACACCCGCAATTACAGTGGACATGACTCGCCACATTGAGTTCTCCCAACAAAGACGGTGCGAATAGTACTCAACTGTTTGACGGTGACGGATATAAGCAATCAACATTACTACAAAAAATCCGCGTAAATTCAATGATCTAGAAAACTCACAAAGAAACGCCGAGTAGCTGACAAAATGGGCAAAAACGCATTCTCCAAACAGTGAAGCATCTCGAGATGCCAAAAATGGCAAAATATGTGGATATTTTTTGAGTAGAGACACAAAGAAATATCTGTAATGTTTCTTGCTGAACAAAAAAGTGATGAATCAATGATTACTTGGTCGCTGTTGCTGATATCGCACAGAATCCGTAAAAAATAGGGATCAGCCAGATTTTAGTGAGAACCATGACCTAAATAGGAATAACGAGAGTAGAAATGATGAAATAGCAATGCTAAAGAAAGAGGAGCTTCGTCTTTTTCTGTGTAAATAGTGATAAGGAATAGGGTTATCAATTTTATTGAAGAAAAACAACGGGGAAAATAGGTAAAAATGAGGGATTTTTGTCGAAAAGTATGCCCGTAACAGTGAAAGTAAACGATTAACAAGCATGGATTCTTATTATTCAAAAACTCGTTTTTGTATATAACTTTATGAGTTTCTGATAATCTATTCGTTCTTTTTGGTTGGTGAGCGCTTTTGAATGTAAGCCTTGTAGAAGAATTTCGCGAAAAGGAACAAGTAGCTGATGTACATGAGACCTCCGATGGAAAGAACATTCCAGCTAACGGCACATCCTGGAACAGAGTTGGCGGATTTAATGAACACCAAATGTCCGAAGATGTAGCAGGAAATGACGAATTGAACGATTTGAATGGTAGTGATGAACTTGGCGACTGGGCGTGGGGTCTGGATGTTCAAGGCACGGACGGCGAAGTAGCTACAAAATTTTCGGTTCAGCATTAGAAATTTGATTTTAAAAAACTTACAAGTACATGATGGTGTGAACGGCAAGATTAAGAGCCAACGACCAACGAGCCCAGGCTTGATGCTCGGAATAAGTGACAACAGCGTAAACGAAAGTGAGAGCATGATGATACCAGTGCATGAAAATAACTGGCTTCTTGCGAAGAACCAAGAACATGGTGTCTCCGAGTTCTGGAGCCTTCGACATTACGAATGCCCATCCCCAGAATCCGGTTGATGGATCGGTGTAGTATGTCTCGTTCTGGCAGTAAGAAGCAACAAATCCGTCTTTCATGAACACACTGACAAGTTCTGGGATAAGTTTGTAGGCGGCAATTCCGGAGAAAAGTGAGAATCCAAAGTTCCAAAGGGCAAGTGTGTTCTGGAGATCGAATGGCTTCCGATGAGCCATCAGTTTTTGTCCAAAATAGATGGTAATGAGATAGCCAACCATGATCTAAAGCTTTTCAGAGATTGCTATTTTTAGGGAAAAAGAAAGCTTACTTTATAAGAAAGTGGAACAAACGTTGACATGTAAGAATCGGTTTGATCCAGATTCCATGGCTTCGTCAAAACATCAGATAGCGAAGCGGCTTGGCTAGTCTGTGCTGACATTGTTATTACCTGGAAAAAAAAAATATAGAATCGGTTAGGCTAAACGAAAAAAGTGAAACGAAACGAATTGATAAACGGACACAATATATACACATCTTCAGATTTTTCTTATCATCTGGCATTCCGCCTGCTCGTTTTATTCGCAAGCCTCACGCCATTTCGGAGGTGATAACAGATCGACAAATTGATAGTTTTTTGAAGTTTATGAGCGAAAAGGGTGATTAGAGAAAAGTGGAACAAAAACGAAGGAGAAAGAGCAAAGTTAAAGCTTGTCTAGAAACTTTGCGGTCAACTTCAAGCGAATAAATTGAAATATACTACATTTAAATCGCAATTTTAGGCAAAAATGACTCAGAAAACTGCTAAAAAATTTTGAAACAAAAATGGCGACCGCACTGGCCAGTCGAATATTTGTACGGAGTGCGCAGAGAGTGCACAGAAAGAGAGAGTTGAATAAATATATTGTGCACAGATGGGAGAAGAAAAAGGGTAAAGTGCATGTTTACGACATGCGTTTCACCAAAAGTTGATTATGCGAAGAAGAGGAAAGTGTGCATATGGATTGGTTATAACATACTCTGATGAATCGGACATTTTATTGAATAAACGTTCCGATCAATTGTTCAACATAAAAGAGAAAGGCAGGATTACTGCCAGCAACTTTAAAGGCGCATGCAGCTTTAAAGGCGCATTCAACTAGTTGGGTCGTCGACAGCTCCTTCAAATACTTCAGCCTACTACCCCTCGCATTCTCCAACTTCTTCATACTTCCTCGTCCAATACTTTCTCCTTCATTTCATTTTGCATCTTTTGTCAAGGAATCGTACGAGAAGTGGTCTGATAAGATAGATGGCGTGTTGAGAGAAAGAGAGAAGTAGAAGTGAGAGACCTTCGCCCCTCGAGTTTCAAAGGTCGAAAATGGAAATGAGGCGAGAGGGGGAAAGGAGGGAACATATGATCTGCTCACTCATATGAAGAAGAAGAACTTTTTGGTGTGGAGTTTAGTCTTGTCGCTTATTAGTTCTTTGGTTTAACATCAATTTGGAAGCAAAAATTATTTCCGAAGTATAATTTTTTGAGGATTAGATTGTGTATTATTTTTAGACTCTTAATGTTTTTCTCGTCGTTATGAAAAAGTTTAAATTTGTTAAATAATCCAGATTCCAACATTCCGTTGAAATCCGGCACATTAACTAATCTTGGCAGATCTAAAAATGGCTTCAAAGTTGATTCAAATTCAACATTCAGTTGTTTTTTTATTGAAACATTATGGTATTTACTGATTTTGAGTTGAACAATACTGACTCTGGAAGATCTGCTGTGATTGACGCAAATTCAGAAGGCAGTTGTAGTGACTTCAGTGAAAACTCGAATAATTAGAACTTGAGTCTATGGTCCATCTGTCAATCAATTTGATTTTATAAACAGTTATTTCAGTTCTTTTCAGAAGTTTTATCCCAAAACTTCTATACTTTTTTAAAACCTTGAAATCTTTCTGATCAAATTTTGATGAAATTCACATGTAACACCTTTCTTATCAGTACGAATAGTTACAAATAGTTAAAAAATGAAAAAATTTGTGATGAAACAAAATGTGAAAACCGGTAGAATTCAAAAATTCCTCTACATAGGGAAACCTTGGCAAAGAGATTAATGACACATTCTATGAACTATGGGGAAGGCGGGGGATAATGTTACGAAAGGTGTAGAATAGTGGAAACTGGTTTTCAAGTATTCTTTTTCACTGGTTTTTATTCTGAAACTTTTACACAGTTCAATGATTACAAAAACATACACAAAAAAATAATTCAAGATAAAAAAGATTAAAGTAAAAGAGATCATCCTTTAGAAGCTCCACAGTCTCCTGCAGCACACGCAATTCCTGCTTTCATCCCCATGAATACTCCATCACTCAGGAGCTGAAATAAATTTCTCCAAAATTGAAAAACTAGTGGGATGTTATGAATAAATGAATATGAAAAGCAAACAAAGAGTACTAAGAATCAAATTTCCAAATTACCCACCATGTAATTGACATAACCAAATCCTTCAATAAATGCTTGACTAGTTCCACTTGGCTTTGTGTCAGCAGTTGGAGAGGTACGGAACACCTTAAAAATTAAAATCTAAGAAAATCAGATACACAAAAAAAACAAACTCACATCTAGTTTAGTTGGTTTCATGTTACAAAACATTCCAGTAATATGAACTAATTGCGTTTGTCCATCTGTGTCGAAATGATAACTGAAAATCAAACCATATCACTGTACTATTTTCTAGACGTATTAACTTACATCGGACTTTTTGTATTATTGTGAAATGTAAATTGAGCATAAATTTCATGAAAGGTTTGGGAGGTCAGTGATGCAGTTATATCACATCCAATGATTATTGATGGAACCCAAATAAGTAGAAATACCAATGAGAAATTTTGGAAAATAGTCATTTTTGAATAGTCTGAAGGAACACGAAATTTCTTTTATATGTCTTATCTCGATCGGTCAAAGACTTTTGATCGGTCGCAGTCATTAAAGTGACGGATACGGGAGAAGCGAAATGGATGAGAAAAAATTGTTTATTTCAATCAGTTCATACAAGAGCCTACAACATCTGGCAGTGGAGAAAAAGCAAAAAAGAACAAAACATGTAAAAATTATCGCTGAGAATGTGTTGGTTTTTTATTAAGAGCTTTGCACGTCACCCGTCGTTCATTCTTTTCTTAAGCTCTATATCCGGCATCTTGGGCTGGAGCCTCTGGAGCAGCCTCCTCTTGGGCAACTGGTTCTGGGGCTTGCTCAGCTGGTTGTTCTGGGGCTGGCTCCTCAGCAGCTGGGGCTGGGGCGGCAGCGGCTTCATCTCCGTAGGAGTTTTGGGCATCACGTCTGACTCTGTATCCGGCATCTTGAGCTGGGGCTTCTGGGGCGGCTTCTTCTTGGGCAACTGGCTCTGGAGCTTGCTCAGCTGGTTGTTCTGGGGCTGGCTCCTCAGAAGCTGGGGCTGGGGCGGCAGCGGCCTCATCTCCGTAGGAGTTTTGGGCATCACGTCTGACTCTGTATCCGGCATCTTGGGCTGGAGCTTCTGGAGCAGCCTCCTCTTGGGCAACTGGTTCTGGAGCTTGCTCAGCTGGTTGTTCTGGGGCTGGTTCCTCAGCAGCTGGGGCTGGAGCAGCGGCGGCTTCATCTCCGTAGGAGTTTTGAGCATCACGTCTGACTCTGTATCCAGCATCTTGAGCTGGGGCTTCTGGAGCAGCTTCTTCTTGGGCGACTGGCTCGGCGGCTTGCTCCTCTGGGGCTGGCTCAGCAGCTGGCTCTTCGGCGGCTGGAGCTGGGGCAGCAGCAGCCTCGTCTCCGTAAGAGTTCTGGGCGTCACGGCGAACTCTGTATCCGGCATCTTGGGCTGGGGCCTCTGGAGCAGCTTCTTCCTGGGCGACTGGTTCAGCGGCTGTCTCGACTGGTGCTGGCTCAGCAGCTGGCTCTTCGGCGGCTGGAGCTGGAGCAGCGGCAGCTTCATCTCCATAAGAGTTTTGAGCTTGTCTCTTGGATCTGTATCCGGCATCTTGAGCTGGGGCTTCTGGAGCAGCTTCCTCTTGGGCGACTGGTTCCGGAGCAGTCTCGGCTGGTTGAGCTGGTTCGGCGGCGAAGGATTGTTCTGGAGCAGCAGCAGCTGGGGCAGCTGGAGCCTCATCTCCGTATGAGTTTTGAGCTTGACGCTTCACTGAAAAATGGTAAACTATGAAGAGGACGAAACAAGTGCACAACATTGGTAATTTTGTGCTTATGCGGTACATAGAAAAAACCTTTAATGATGTAGTGGAACATTACATCGAAAGTTACAATATATACCAACCTGGATGAGCGAAAGCCACAGCAATGAGAGCAGCAACGATGATTATTCTCATGGTTACCTGAAAATTTGGATATCACTAACTCCAAAAGTACAGTAAGCCGAGAAGAAATGAGAACGAATCGCTAGAAGAAGAACACGGAGAAGAGATGTTTGTGTCGTTTCAACCGTGACCAGTCGTCCTTATAAACGGTTGAATGGTGCCGTCGTCAACGTCTTCGAGGCCGATCCCTCCCACAAACCTTTTTTGTGGGAGTTTCTGTTTCCGTGATTTTTTTCCCGTCTCTCTTTCATCGTCTTCTTTTCTCTTCCAACCCCTCTTTCAATCGCTTTTTGGGGTTGCCAACCGACCACAGAAAAAGTTTACGTTGTCTCGTTGCGCAACCGGTTTCACGGTTCGAGATGAAGAGGTCAGACGAATGGAATAAAGTGAATGAAAGATTAAGAGACGGAGACACGGAACATTAGAGTGGACATCAAAAAGAATGTTTACGTATACTCTTTGGTTTGGCAACGGAAAAATAGTTTTCTCGAAAATTTGGGATATGATTCTAGGTACCCGGAACCGCCTGAAAGAAAGTAAGGGAAGGAATCGGAGACGCAGAGTCCAGTTCCAAGGACAATGCACCACTTGAAACCGCCACATAAACTCTCACACCTTACAGCTTCTCAATGACCTTTGAGATGGGAAATTGTTTGAAATTTGGAAGAAGAATAGAAATTAATGGTCGGGAGTGGAAACTTTTTGTTCTGTTCAAGAAAAAATCATATTTTTCCTGAAAGTTCAAAGACGGAAAAATATTTGTTCCCTATGCTGTTTGATTTGGTTCTGGAAGGAGTTCTTGAAGGGTTTTTCAAAACTAGTATTATTTAAATTGCCGTAATCCCTTGTTTTCCTGATATTTCCAATAACCTCAACTTCCCCCATTTCTCTTGTACTGATCTCATCCAAAACAACAATTAACGTCATTTTCTTTTGACAACTATCATCATAAATCCTTTTTCTCACTATCACGAGTTTACTTCTTTTGAATAGGTTCAGGCCCAAAGTATCTTCAAAACTACAGTATCTTACGCATATCACTTCTTTTCTTATATCAATTTCATCAGTCTTTTTTGTTTTCTATCATCTTTCAATCTCAAGAATTTAGTTCCTTTTCAATCTTCAAACCAAAAAGTATGACCTGAAATAAAAGTTTAGATCAATCATTCTTTTTTTTTCTCTGATCGTTTTGCACTTGTTTGTTCTTCTCTCTTCTTTCATCTTCTTTTTTTTCAATTTCGAAAAAGAATCGAATGACCTTCTTCAGTGTTCGTTCCAACTAAATAAGACTGCAAATACTATAAACGCAGAGAAAAAGGTTTGTGATCATTGAGTGAATTTTTCCGTAGTTTTTTTTCTTCCCAATTTCTCGAAGACGTTTCCTAAACTGTTATTGGTAATGTGGCTTGTCAAGGTCATTCTTGATCCATTTTCTAATGATATTTTTCGGGTCATCTTGAAGATCGGCGAATTGAACTGTTTCCTAATTCGAAAGGATGAGATTAGATATGGAAGTAATGGAATCCGTTTGTTTTGTGATGCTGATAATGATAACTGTGTAACTTATTTAGAACCAATGTTGTTGCCAATCAAACGAAATCGCTATGAACTTTGATGGCTGAGTTATTGCAGAATATTTCGTAGGCTGTTTCGTAGTGGATGACAAGTGAAGTAAACGGTTTTCAAAAACGTTTTGCTAGTCAGGCATTACCTGGAATGATGTTACCTGTCAGTGTGTCATAAAATGAAATAGCCCAATTGATGTGAAGTTCATAGAACATTGAGAGTGTCTTCAAGAGATTGAAACTGTCTGGCTTAACAAAAACAGTAACCGTGAAAACATAATATGTATTTGCTTTCAGAAATTGAACGATTCGACATTTTTCAAATGAGGAAAAGTACAACTGCCATTCAGTTTTCGAAGTTCATCAATCAAGACTGAAATATATATGCTACTTTTTTAGTTCTGCGGGAAATGTACATGATTTCACATGTGAATTATCTTGTACCATAAAACCTGTAATACAAGGATCCCATAACTTTCAAATTTGAGTCAATTTATCTCGGTTCCTGTTTAACATTCAAAAAAATTGTTAACTAATACATTGTTTATCGTAATATTAAAAACATTTTATCAGTTGACACATTTCTTATAACTTGCATAGGAGCCAAGATAATTGAGCTCAAACTTGACAGTAATGGCCCTTCTTTTACGGGCTGTACGGCACTCTGTACAAAAAAATCCACCAGAAACCTGAACAAGTATCAATATGTCAATTTCAATTCTTGGAAACCGTTTGGATTTTCTTTTCCAAATGTTCTTAACTAGGTTCTTTTACACTTGAAAAACTTTGTTTCAGTACTTCTTTCACTCTTTTTGTTGAAAAAAATTCCTTCCAATTTTCCGAATCTTTCCCCACCTTTGGCAATTAAACGGGCCAATTAGTTTCACTTTTTTGGGTCATGTGGAAAGATTGGAAGGAGAAGATTCGAGATCATTTATTACACAAAAAGTTAAATGCAAAAAAAAAGAGGACAACAATAAAGTAAGCGAAAAAATAGAAATCGGTTAATTTGATTTCGCAATCAAAGAGAAAGAACAACTTTTAAATTTTCCTTCGTGCTATTAAAATTTAATTTGAATTGACAATTCATTTTCCAAGACGACATTGGCCCCAGGAACAAAGCATCCCTTGGGCTCTGACTGCAGCTGGACCATCCTTTGGAAATATTTTATAGTACATTGTACCTCCTATTCCTTCCAGATGAGCAGATGTTTGACCCACTGGTTTTACTCCTTTCTTTGGAAACGTTTCCCAAGACTGAGAAAAAAAATTTGTTGGAAAATTATATTTTTGTAAAACTCACTTTCAAAACAGTCGGTGCCAAATTACATAAGGCTCCAGTAATAGTGAGGTTTTTTGTCTGTCCATACTTTGTGAATTGGAAAACCTCCGATTCAGTTTTGTTGTGGAATGTGAACTGACCCCAAACATCTCTATCCGTTTCAGATCTTACTTGCACATTGAATTTGCATGAATCCGTTATTGAAATCAGAAGATGCAGAAAACAAATAAAAAGTAAACGCATTATAGTCCCTGGAATGAAATGAGAAAACGTGACGATAAATACGGAAAACAAGGATAGTATCTAGGTTTATAGGTCGAAATGATATCATATAACATGCCTGAAGAGGTAAATATGGAATTAGAAAACAATAGAATGACATTTCAAATTGGAAACTCTGACAGAACAGTATCTATGATTAGTAAAGTTTGGAAATTGAAATTCATGATCTGTACAAATGCATCCCATACTTCGTGCCAGTGGGAACACTCGCTGCATAGTATCCATTGACGTTTTACGGATTTCCGCAGGATCGGATGTAGTTTTGGAAGCCTGGAAAAAATATAACATAGCTGGAAATGTTCAAGCTATAATTAAAAATGTCGGGTCAAACTGATTAAAAAAATCTATTTAACCAAACCATATTAAGTCTTCTGATGTCTATTAGTCAGCCCTGATTTGAACATTTTGGAAATTCAAGATTATTTTTCAAAAATTGGGGCCTTAAACAAAACACTTAGCTCCAATAAAACCTAACCACCGGTGAGTGTTCCTGAATCAATAAACCACTAAAAAAGAATAACTAACTCTTTTGATGATATCATACAAAATGACATCGTTACATTTCTCTCCATCCATCATCTCCTCTTGACCGGATACCAACACCACAAAAAGCAAAATAGCAGGAAGAATATGAAAGGTACACATTTTTTACTTGATAACTCAAATGAACCCTGTTCACCTTTCATCTTCCTTTTATAGGTACTTGTAATACTAGTACTTATTATTAGTTGTTATTATTACTACATAGTTTTGGTACCAAACGCGTTCCTTTCGAAAAAATGTATCATGTCAAAACAAGACTACAGTTGATTTATTGCAGTTCTAATTTTTTTCGAGAATCTTTCAAAAAGACCGATCACTTTTTGTTTTCCCAACAATAAAAACATTACAACATCTGTCGATCCATCAAGATAAGAATCATAAAGAAGAAGAGACACAGGACTTGTGAGCAACTGACCTCTTCAGTCATTCCCTCGCGAGATTGAGTTTCTGACCAACCATGAGAGAATGGAAAGAAGTTATTTGGATATTGTCCGTTTTTGTATGTTCAGGTTAGTTACAACTATTGAAATCAATTTTCGAAATTGAATAAAATTCCAGTTCTTTCCTCTCCGTGCAATTCTAAAATCTACGATGGCGCATTTAAAAATTTGGTCTGCGTCTGCAATGCTACTTCATGCGATGAAATTGAACCAATTGGAGAGATTGGTGAAGGAAAAGCAGTGGTGTATAGATCAACATTGGATGGTGATAGACTTAAAAGAATGAGTATGAAAATGGGACAAAAGTTGGGTAAAGATGAAGTTGGTAAGTGGGAATTAACATTTATTGGAGACAGCTGTTAGATTATAGTGAATGTAACAATCTCGATTGATGCGAGTGAACGGTTCCAACAGATTTTTGGATTCGGAGGAGCTTTCACTGACTCCGCTGGTGAACAGCTTTTTGCGGTGTCTGAAAAAGTTCAAGAACAAATTATCAATTCATATTTTGGAGAGTATGGACTGGAATATAATGTTGGCAGAGTTCCTATAGCTAGTTGTGATTTTTCAACTCATGAATATAGTTATGATGATGTTGGTGAAGATTTTGAATTGAAACATTTCGGATTAGCAGAAGAGGATTTGAAGTTGAAGGTACCTGAATTCTATGTTTCAAGCTTCATATAATTTCTTTTTTAGATTCCTTTCATTCAAAAAGCAATTGAGAAGACGAAGGGAAAACTTCAACTATTTGCCAGTCCTTGGTCAGCACCCGGATGGATGAAAACAACAGGAAGGATGAGAGGTGGTGGAGCAATGAGAAACGATACGCGAGTTTATGAAGCATATTCGAACTATTTTATAAAGTAGGCTATTTCTGAAACTAAGTTGATTAATGTAGATTCATTCTTATCTTTTTTAATTTTCAGATTCTTCGAAGCATACTCATCTCATTCTATTCCATTTTGGGGACTTACAATTCAAAATGAGCCATCGACAGGAGCCGATATGACATGGAGATGGCAAACTATGAACTACACAGCCGAAACTATGAGAGACTTTTTGAAAAACTATTTAGGTCCAAAACTGAAAGGAAACAAGTTAACAGAATCTTTGAAAGTAATGATTTTGGATGATGGAAGAGGATTGTTACCTGGATGGGCTGATACCATTTTCAATGACACTGAAAGCACTAAATATGCCGATGGAATTGCTGTACACTGGTATGGAAACTTGTACTCTCCAGCTGTATTGCTAGATATTGCACAGAGACATCACCCGGATAAGTTTATTTTTGGAACCGAGGTTCGTATTTGATCTGTTTCTTTTAAATAGAATGAGCATTGTTCTTAACCTTTAGGCATGTGCTGGTTATGCCATTCACCATGGTCCTATAATGGGCGATTGGTTTACAGCTGAAAACTATGCTAGTGATATAATCAGTGACCTAAATCACCACTTCATAGGATGGACCGATTGGAATTTGATACTTGATGAGAAGGGCGGCCCGACTTGGGTCAACAACTTTGTAGATGCCCCAATTATTGTGAACCATACAGCAAACGAATTTTATAAACAACCAATGTTTTATTCATTGGGTCATTTTAGGTATGTGCATATTAATCTCAGTGGTGCCGCCCGTTTCATTCCCAGTAAAATTTCATTCGGTTTTGCTTTCCATTAATAAATCCGTATTAGCCGTTTCCAGGCTTGCGCTGGCTATTTCGGCCATCACGGCCCAATCATGGGCGACTGGTTCCGAGCGGAAAGTTATGCAGATGATATTTTAACCGATCTTAACCATCACGTCACTGGATGGACTGATTGGAATTTGTGTCTTGATGAAACGGGCGGTCCCAATTGGGCATACAATGTGGTTGATGCTCCGATCATTGTGAATCGTACTGCGAAAGAGTTTTACAAGCAACCCATGTTTTACGCATTGGGACATTTTAGGTTTCCTTTTTCGGTTACCACATAATAAGGATCTAATTTTTCAGTAAATTCCTGCCACGTGGATCTACTCGAGTATTCACAAAAGTGGACGGAAACCTAGCAGTATCTGCAGTGAGTGTGGTGATTGAAGGAGGCCAGCGTGTTACAGTAATGCTGTCAAAATCTTCAAACTCTTTGCTCACTCGTGTGGTGGATAGCGCAACTGGATATTCTCTTGTACTGACTTTACCGCCAAGATCTATTCATACTGTCATTTGGAATAAAAGAAAATAAACATATTTAATTACTTCCGAACTTTTCCGAGGCAAACAGGCTGATATTGAACAATCATTTTCATTCAACGTGCAAGATTAGGGAAAACATATCGTTAGCACATTAGTGAGGTTCTAAACTTTAGGAGTTCAACTATTGATACCAAAGGAATACACCGGCTAGGAAAAAATGAAGAGAAATTCCCTAAAAATGGGACCAAAAAATGATGTATTTTCAATTTCAGGCCGTAGGCTGGACGATGCTAGTCGAAATGTTCAGAAAAAACAGAAAAATCCGCAAAAAAACCAGAAATTGATGATACAAGAGATCAGACAAAAAATCTATACGATAAGAGAGCAAGAAAAATAAATGTAAAAAAATGCCAATTAGATTCAGTGCTTTAGTGGTAGATTACTGTAGTTGGAAATTGTAGAGAATTAAATACTGTAGTTGAATTTCATAAGGTTATTGTAGTTTAAAAATGTCGAAGATTCCTGTAGTAAAGAAGTAAAAGTATTGAACTCGGAAGTTGGAAGTTTGAAGTCCGAAGTCAGTGTGCTCAAGTAGATCCTTCTCTGCTGCCAGAAAGCTCAGCGTACGCTATCTACTGCTATTTCATTTTCTTTTAAAATTTGATTTCGGTCATTTGGTAAAAGGGGGACGTTCAGTGATAAACACCTAGCCATGAACCCCAAACAATGGCGACACGAGGTTTTTTAGTACTTTTTTTACATCAATGACGTCGATCAGTCTTCAAAAAAAAGAAATAGCAATAAGTAGTGCATCCGAAGCTTCCAGTGAGAAGCATCCTCCTTTCAGCATCCCGCATTCAGCGTCGTTCTCCTTGCCGATCCTCCGCGAATCCCGGTGATCCTCGTCGAGCTTCGAAGTAGAGAGGCCACTTGTCGTCGCAGGATCGGATCAGATCCCTTGCCATCCTATCAGATCTAGAGATAAGATAAGCAAAGAGTTCATGAAAGTTGTCAGCACACGAGGAAACTATGGTTTTTTTTTCTAATAAAACAAAACCAAAAAAATGGTAATTTACGTTGGATTACTGTAGTTTCCGATAGAACCCTTTCAAGAATCCAGCGTGACCATCACTATGAAAAAATTAAATAAAAAATTGAGAAAAAAAAATCAAAGAAAGATTATTAGATTATTGAATCAGTTCTCAATTTGAAAACAGCACCTGCTTGGTAGCGAAGAGTATAACCAACGTCTTCGAGAATGAGCGCAGACGCGAATAACAATAAACCAGGATCGGTAGAGGGTAATTTTTGGAAAGCCTTAGCATATAACACTCTTAAAATTGACAGAACCGAAATCCAAAGAGACTCCGAAGTTCGATCTGGCAAAAGAGAACCCTCGCTGTGCCGAATGGATGGATGATTGCATCAAAAGACTTAACAGTAAGTTCTAGAAACTAAATCGAAAAGATGTATAAATTTTCTAGGTCTCTACAAGGACACCAGCATCAACATTTGCGGTGTCATGTCTGGCCATGAGATCATTGCCATTATCCGACTTGTTGAGAATATTTTCATGGAGGAAAGCAATCTTTGTGAAGCTGAAGCTCCCATCAAAGTTATCGGAGACATCCATGCCCAGTACCAGGATTTGAATCGTTTGTTCGATTTGATTGGAAGAGTTCCAGAGGAGAAATTGATGTTCCTTGGTGACTACGTGGATCGCGGACCACAAGGAATCGAAGTCGTTGTCTTGCTATTCTGCCTCAAAATTCGTTATAGAGATCGCATCTTCCTTTTGCGTGGTAACCATGAAACTCCATCAGTTAACAAGGTATATTTCAAATGCATTGTTTTCACTTCAATTTTTAATGTTTAGATCTATGGGTTTTACGTCGAATGTCAGTACAAATACGGTGTTGGGTTGTGGTGGGATTTCCAAGCTTGTTTCAATCGTATTCCTATGGCCGGTCTCATTTCGAAAAAAGTTCTTTGCATGCATGGAGGTCTCTCTCCAGAACTTGTGAATCTTGACACCATCAGAAATATTCCCCGTCCTTGTGAACCACTTGATCGTGGACTGTTGATTGATTTGTTATGGTCGGATCCAACGAACAAAGGAGAAGGATGGTTTCATTCTATTCGAGGTTTTTGTAATTAATATTTTAAGTTTCTATAATAAAACTTCTAGGAATCAGTTATATGTTTGGAAAAGGAGTTGTCGAACAAGCATGCAAATCTCTTGATATCGATCTGATCATTCGTGCCCATCAAGTTGTTCAGGATGGATATGAAATGATGACTGGACGTCGCCTGATTACGGTGTTTTCGGTTCCAAACTATTGTGCTCAATTCACTAATGCTGCTGCCGTTGTTTGTCTCAATGCAAATCTCCAGGTATGTTTATTTTATTCATGATTTTAAAGACATAAAATAAATGTTCCAGATTTCATTCCAACAAATGTTGCCACCTGCTTTACCGGATAGTTGCAAAGCCAAGGCTGCTCCTGCGATTGCTGTTGATCTGAATTTGGAAGCTGCTCGTGCTGATAAGGAAACGATCAAGCCGTTTGCGAAAGAAGGCAGCAAAGAAGGAGGAAAATCGTGAATCTGATAAACGGCACTAACTTTGGATGGAATAAAGTTTTTCTGTGTGCCTCAAATTTTTTTTGAATTGAACAACGAAACATATGATGCTAAATAAAAAATATTTTGTTAGCAAGTTGTACGAATGTTGTCAACTTAATAGTGTGGAAGAACAGTTGGAAGTTTTGAGTAATAGGATCCAACTTTTTTATCAGATAGACAAGAAATGGTTTTTATAATTGATTATGTTATATGCGCTAATCTAACAAATAAAGGCATAACATTTATTCGCATTGATGATCTTGAAAGAAAAAATGTTCATGTAACTATGCTTCCTTGATAGCTTCCTTTGATCCACTTTCTTTGCTTTTCTCGTTACTTTTACTCCCACTAGCTCCTTGATTGTTTCTTGATCCCGGCTGAGCAGCCCCTCCAGATGTCCCTTGATTTCCTATTTGATTCTTCTGTTTGCTTTGAATGGCATAGAAGCCACCAACTGAACTGGCAATCGACGAACAGATAACACCCAGCACAATAACCGCTAGTATGAGCCATGCCCACCATTCTGTACCTTTCTCTGTATCAGGTTTGCTGGAGCTTGCGACACTGTTCGAATTAGATAATATTGAGCTGCTAGGTTTTGAGAACTGACTGGGAGTTGGCGAAGGATCAATGTCTTTGTTCTATAATGCAGAATGTAGAAGATCTTCGCTGACATATTTAACGATGTACTTACGAAAATGATTTGATGCATTTCCCTTAAAAAGCCGAGGTTACTACTCATTATCTTTTGTTGTCGTCGCGATGTATATTTTCTATTGTTTTTGAAATACTTTTTAGTGAGTCAAAACAGTTAATGTTATGAATTTTTGCGTGGATTAATAAAAATGAATTTGCCGGAATAAAAAAGGAGCTGAATCCAGGGATTTTCTGAACAGAAAAAAAACAAGTTGGATACAATGAAAACTGACTTTTTTTGTAAAACGGGAAAATACATTGCTTTCACAGTGAAAGGGGTGGGGAATGATTGAAAAATAGAGCAGCAGAAAGAAAAGAATGATAAAATGTTTGAAAAATTGAAACGATGTCAGTAAAAGAGATCTGAAAAAAGCATACTTGTAACGGGCCGGGCCGGGCCGGGCTTTTTCCCGAATTTCGGAGGCTCGGCCCGGCCCGGCTCGGCGGGCCTGTCATTCCACAAGTTTTGAAAATTTCAAAGAACACATAAGGGGGGACCCTCATGTGATTTTTTTCGAGTTTTTAAAAATATTTTTTGATCAAACAGACAAACAATCCAAAAAGCACAAAAAATATATAGAAAATTGTATTGAGAGCTCAAAATTCGGTTCAAAATGACAAAATTTTTGCTACCGGGCCGGGCCGGCTCGGAATTTTACAAGTATGGAAAAAATAGGAGGAAATCCCGGGAAAAAACGAAAGAAGAATTCGAAAAAAATTTTACTTCATTGAAAGCTCATTTTGTCATAAGGATCAAAAAGTTATAACAGAGTCCAACAACGACAGTAACCTAAAAATATTTGTATTTTCAGAATTTATTTTCTCCACAAAAATCAGTGAAAACGAGAGGACTTGGTAACGGTTGTTGTATGTAGATGTGAGAGCAAAATGAGTAAATGTTCATTATAATGATACACCATTGAAAAAGTAGTTCGGCTAAATAATAAAAACACAATTTTTAAAATTTTCAGAATATGAAGATGAGGCAGATGTTAAGTCTGAAAATCTTTTATGATATTATGAATTGGGTGAATTATATAGTAATGTTTCTTTATTTATTGCATGTTTTCATCATAAGCGAGTTGAAAGTTTGTTCAACTTTCAATAAATTATTACAACTTTTACAACTTCAAATCAAAGAATAAAATCTAATCCCAAGACTCTAGACAAATCAAATATCACAATTTTAGATACAACACCAACTTCTTTTCTTGTAATTAGAATTAATGTCTAACTTCAAAGCCTCTTCCAGATGATTATCTTCGCGACGTTGCAGACTTCTGGAATAACAATGATAATAAAGACAAAATGATAAAACACACTCAGCCATCTGACGCATGCAATTCTCGATACCATATCCTGTGTAGGCACTCGTTTCGTAGAACGGGATTTTGAATTCCTGAAATGTTGAACTTCCAATTCACTATAAAATTTGATCAAAAATGAATAATGCTGCAAAACACACCAATGCTAGTTTTTCAGCAGCTCGATAAACTCCACTTCTCGCAATATCACTTCCAAATAGGTCAACTTTATTTCCAACGAGACACATAACTGTTGCTTCGTCTACGCCAGCTCGAACCGAGTCAATCCAGTTTCGAACGTTGAGAAAACTCTGTTCAGAAGTCACATCGAACATCAAAACGACGCCATCTGCCTTACGGAAGTATTGTTTTGTGATTGAGCGGAATCTGAAAATTGTTGTTTTATCTCGCTATCAACGAATGTTTTCTAACTAATTTTTATACCGTCACTTTGACCTAATTTATATTTTTCTCGAAATATGTATTACTCGCGGTAGTATGATTTTGTTAAATGGTAGTTTTCAAAAAAATGTTTTACATGACCTGCAATATTTGAGGAGATAGTGTTTCAATACCTTTCCTGTCCAGCAGTATCCCATAATTGCATGGCAATAGCACGATTTGGTGCAATCTTCATAGTTTTGACAGTAAAATCAACACCAATTGTAGCATTGAAAAGGGGTTTGAAACGGTTGTGGCAAAATCTGAAAGTACCAATTTGGGATTTCAAAAATATATTTGATGACCTACCTGTGCAAGAAACAAGTTTTTCCAACTGCCGAGTCTCCAACAAACACAACTTTGAAAATTCGATCCGGTTGAGTGAGTTCTTCCTCTTCTTTTCTTTGTGGCACTTTCTTATCAATTGCGTTCAACTCCTCGGCCAAAGAAGAAACCTTCGGGATAGTTGGTTCTGGTTGGATGGGACGGTACAACGGCTTCTTAATCATTGTATTATTGATTGCATGCTCATTTTGAATTTGAGAATTTTCGTATCTCTGAATCTCTTCCAATTCTTTTCTGAAACATTTAAAGATGATAATTTTGTTTAGATCCTAGATAGTCTTACTTCAAAATCTTGGTTAATGGATCATCCAAATAAGATCTGTTCTGTTCAATTGCGCGCATCTCATCTTCCAAACTGGACTCTTGCAAATACTGATTTTTATCAAATGCCGGAATCTGGAAGAATATAAGTTCAAGAACCACAAAACCGTTCTGTTGAAATCTAAATTCGTCTTACCTGTGCTTCAATTTTTGCCATTTCTTGTTGAAGTGCCTGACTGACGATAGCTTCTGAAATGAAAAAAAAACAACAAGTACAAAAACTCATTTTTGTATTTTCTGAACACTCACTAAGAATACGACAAAACGCTGGCTCGTTCACTTTCTGTTCGCCAATAAAACGAGAAATCTTCTGGAGATCATCTGGTGGAATCAAGTCAACGAGCACATCTAGATCAGCCTGAAATACAGAAAAGTACAAAAGTTATATTTCCAATCATCTCTCTCTCTATCCTCAATATGTTCTCCATTCGACATCGTAGGCTAAAAGCTCAACTAATTCTTCTCTATAAATTTTTAAATGGCTCCGCCTACTTTCCTAACCTAAATGCACATGTCAAATGTCACTCCTCCTCCCCTCGTCGCCCTATGAACTTAATTATTGTTCAGCCCTACTCCTCTGACTATTTTTCTTCAATTGTTCCCCTGTGGAACGCCATCACTTCCCAAGTTACCCGATTTCTCCTACCTTCCGAGTTTGAATCCTTAATTTCGTCCAGTATTACCCGTTATTGATATATTTGCTCCCTATTTTTCTTTTTCTACCGGTTACATCTTTCCTGTGTCATATCTAAATTATCCCGTTTCCCCTCCCCTACTCAGATCGGCCTCGTGAGGGGCATTTTTTCTGAGTCTTTCATGTTCTGCCCTCTAATGTTTTATTACACCTGATCAATAAACAAATTAAATTAAATCATGTTTACCTTTCCAATAAGTCCAATGTTTTGAGCGTCACATAGACGAAACAATTTTCGAGTCTGGAAGAGAAAAATGTAAAAAGATAGAGACATAAAGAAAGGAAACTAAAAATTCCTCAACATGATCCGATATCCGACAAGAGAAAAGGAAATGGAGAAGAGGGTATAATCACATTTCACTTGTTAGGAAAACCAAAAAACAACTGGAGAAGACATGCACAGAATCTTACTAGAAGAAAATAAGGGACTTTTTGACCTAATTGAAATTATCAAGCCATAACTGAAATGTTTGACATCAAACTAAACAAACTCACTTGTTCGTGAAAAATGGACTCTTCGGATGACGAATTAGTCGCCGACTCCATCCTGCTGAAATTAAGAAAAATATGAAAAAAAGGAAAAAAAAGGAAAATTTATGGAAAGAGGAAATACGGGTTTTGAGTTCAATTCGAATGGAGATGAGAAAAAATGGAAAATTGGAAAAAGGAGAGAATGGGAAGGAACGGAAGATAATTAAATTTCTAGGATAGTTTTAGAAAATACACTTTCAATGAGGAAAGCTTGCAAAATCTTACAAAAATGGAAAGATTTTAGATCTCAGAAATGATATTTTAAACCACATTTTTTCCGGATTTTCTTAAGCTTTAATTTTACTGTATGTTTGCGAAACTTACATCATTCTGTGCCACATACTTAGTCCCGACATTTTAGGTTCGCAAAATATTCAGAATCTTTTTTCAGGTCGTTTGGCTATAAATTCAGAAAATAACGAAGAATGAAGAGTCAACAGAAGCGACACCAATAGTTTTATGGGTATAGAAAGAGAAGAAAAGAAAGGAAAATCGAGAAAAAACGGTATGGGAATTTTCAGAAAAAAACGAAGATCATTTCGAGAAGAATCGATGACATAAATGCTACAATCCACATGGCAGGGGTTGTTTCGTAATGTGTGTTACTTCATTCAGAAACAATTGACAAACACAGGAAGAAGCTGTTCAAATAAAATAAGAAGAGAAGATGGGGGAAAAGTATTGGGAGAGAAAGGAAGTATTGATGGAGAATGGAAAAAGAATGAAAGAAGAATAGATAGCTTTGATTGGAGTTCCCATAGAATATGATTTTCTTTTTTCCGTTGTTCTATTCTCGCTTCCAATATTTCCCATTTTATGTGTTCCTTCATAAAACTGCGAAAATTTCGAGAAGGAAAAAACGGAGAAGATGGAAAGAATTTATTTTTGTAAATTCTCCAATAGTTCCATAAAAGTTTCGAAAATAAAAAATTGCCAAAAAAATTGTACATGCCCTGACACATAAACAGAATACACAGTAGGGGGTAACCACTCTCTCATTCTTTTATTCTCTTGTCAAATTGGATACCAGCAACAAAATGAAAACATGAGAGGACGAAAATGAGTGAGGGAGAGATAGAAAAATGAATGAGATAAACGAATTTGGCACCTCTCTCCCTCCTTTTTTTGGCTTTTTAAAATTGTTGCACCGCTGTTGGCAGCTTTCAGACGTTCAATTTTTTCAAAAAGGGTTCTAGTCATACTCATACATAGAAAACATATTTCATTTTAAATTCAAATGTCTGTCGGTTCAAAATGTATTGTGAAGTTTGGTATTGTTTTTACATCACAGTAAAAAATTTGAAAATTACTGTAAACCCTGTAATAGGAGGGACCCTAACTTTTAACTTTGAGCCAATTTATCTCGGTTTCTGTGAAATATATTAAAAAAGTAGTCAACTGATAAATGGTTTCTTATAATATCAGCAATTTTTGTTTGTTAACACATTTTTGATATCTTGCATAGGATTTGAGATAATTGACCTGAAACTAGACAGTGTGAATGCCTCCATTCACAAGAGATCGCTCTACCAGATCAATGGTCTTTTTAAAAAAGCCTCTGTGGTTATAATTTTAACGGTTAGCAATAGTAATTTTCAACAAAGAGGAAGGGATACCTAAAGAAAGAAAACCAAGATTACTCAGATTGAGGTAAGATATTCATAGAGGACCTTTTCCAGTAGTGACACGAAACATAAGACATAGGGGAAAAGGAGAAAAAAAAAGATAAATGGGAGAACCTAGAGAGAAGGGTATGAACGTGAAAAGAGGTTACAAGAAGAAGAAGGAGATATCATCCAAAAAAAATTTAAGAAGAAGAAGACATTTGAAATTCCGAATTCAAATGAGCCGACTTCTTCGTATGAAAGCGTAATTGGGCATAAATTTCGCCCACTTTTTTCGTCATCTTTTATGATACCCAAGAGGATAAGACGTTTTTAACTCGGTAAATGTGGGCAACTCCAGACGTTGTCTCCTAATCATCTGGGTCTTCAACTCCGAGTTTCGATTTGTACTCTTCCCACGTCAAATATGTTGAACACTCCGATCTCTTCTGCAAAAAGTTGAATTTTAGCTTTGATGTAAAGAATATTAGTCATCTCACCTTGCAATTGACGAGAATCCCATTTTCTTGTCAAAATGATAAGTGCGAAGAAGTTGCCTGGAAATTATCTATTTTTGAAGAAAATTTTTCTCCTCTCAAAATGAAACATAACAAATCTCATCATTTTCTATGCTCACTAATGGCTTCTCGTTTTTTTTTTCGGCTGACACGATTCCACTCATCGATGAAACTCATCCTACTGTTCAATCGTTGAAAACTGAAAAAAAAGGATAAGAAACTAACAGTATTTGAAAAAAGTCAGATATAATCGTAAAAAAATTCATAGAAAACGTATGGAAAATATGTTTAAAACTTATAACCGTTAAAAAATTTTGCATCACCGCAACGTTCAGAGCTTCTGCCCAGTATCTGCCCAGCATTTGCCCCTCTGCGCGCCGTTGGACTTTTGCCTAACTTCTGCCCAGCTTTAGATCAAAATCTGCCTGCAGCCCAATTCACCCAACTTCTGCCCCAAAGTTGCCAACATTTACCGAGTAAGGGCAATTTGTCTGAATGCACTCTGAATGTACTTTTGATATGAAAGGATAACATAAATAATTTATTATCATAACAAATAAATACTCTCTTTTGCAAATATACAAATAAATCGTTTGGTCGTTTTTTTCTGGAATCACAGCTTTAGACTCGTCATGGAACAAAGAAAAGAAAATAACAAACATAGAATAGGTTAGAAATTATCCCGACTTTTTGATTTTCCTATCACCGGGACAATGCTTGCACGTGAATGGACAGTATGATTTCATGACGAAGAAGAAGGACGCTCGAGTGCAATATTGAGCGAAATGTGGACAATCGGCAAAGTGGTCGACACATTCTGGAATACAATTCGGTCAATTACAGATTTTTTTTCTAAAAAAATGGTAGCTAGAAATTATTCTTTAGCTATTGATACAAACAAAACATAATTCCTTTTTTTCCAGATGATATCATTTTTAAGGTTGATTTGAGCAAAAGAAGTTAAAAAAGTAACATAGAATACTTAGAAACTAATAGTAAGTGAAGAAGAAGGCAGTGAATTATTATTTTTCTATTTAAAATTTGTATAAAGGTGCGGAATGAATTGTTATGCTTGCAAACTTTCGATATGTCTTTTTCTTTTTGGGTGTTCCCAAACGCTAAAACTTAAAAAAAAACGGACAAGGAGGTAATTTGATTTCTCAAAATTAAAAAAAAACTGACTCTCTCCTGAATCGACAGGCTTCTTCTCTCCGACTTGGGGAATCAATCTCCTTGGTTCTTCAGTCGTTACTCTCATTTTCTCCTTCTTCTTTGCCTTGCATGAGTACAGTTTGTTGATCTAAAATAGTCTTAATTTTCAACTTCTTTTTTTGTTTCTTGCCTTCACAATATCTAGTTCCGACAAATCTTGATTCGTACCAATGACCTGAGTGAATCCATCTTCTACAGTTTCGATTGTGTTCCGACCATTTCGAGAGAACGCAGTACTATCATAATGCATTATAGACTTGTAATCGTAGTTTTCGCCTTGTAGATCCTGCAATATCAAGTACAGTGACTCATCATCCCTCATAAGTGTAAGAGCATCAATCACTTTGCTCCGAACAGGTTTCTGATGCCCCAGCGGGATCAATTGATCTTCCGATGGCAGTGTACAAACAATCTTTCTATTTGTGCGTTCACACAGAAAAGAATGTCTGACAGTGATTTTTTGTTTGCTGATTTGATAATTATTTTTTGATATATTTTGAACATTTGATATGTTAAGAGACAAGTAGGAATACAAAATGTTCTAGAATTACCTGTAACACTGCCGAAATTTTGTCAAATTGTGATTTCATTCCGGGCAAGATATTATCCCACAGTATCTTTATATGATCGTCACGATCTGAAAAAAAACAGGAACTACTCAAAACTTTAAAGACTCTCTGCCTACCAGCTCTAGAGTGTTCGTGCCAGAAACCAACGGAATGCATCAACTCATGAACAATAATTTCATGGAAGAAACAACCTCTTCCCAGTGAGATTTCTTGTTTTCCTCCCGTTCTTCCAACTTGAGAATAGCATCCGTATCCTTTGACAATATTTAAATAATCAGTTTGTCCTTCTCGTTTCTCAAATCGAATACAGGTATTCCTTCGGTAACTGTCGAAAGCCTTTTCCATAATCTTCACTTCATTCGGTGCTGGAAATTGAAGAATCAGTAGGGAAATGAGACTTTATTGAATATTATCGGACGACTACTCACTCACAGAAAGCCGTATCCATTTCGTAAGGGATCACTCCATTCTCCCAGGTGAGTTGTTTATTTTTAAGGGCGTTGAAGAGGACTGGACCTTCCTGAAATGAAGTATGATAAGTTACAGTAATACCAACTGGTTCATTTCTCAACGTCATGTTATAAAATTCTTTACTGCCTTCTGATATGACCTAAATGTATTTGATTCAAATGAATGGTATAAAAAAAAAGAAAACGTTTGCGGTGGAAAGTTTGGCATCTCCTGGTGAAACTGGGATAAACAAAGATCAAAGCTAATTGTAAGCTTCCACAAAAATTAGGAACTAACAAGAATGTTTGCAATAAAAAATCTTTTGTTAGCTTACAGATTTTCAGAATCTTCTACAAAAACCGAGATAAAGATGTTTCAATTGTTTAACTTACTGGAAGTTTCAGCAAGTTCCGGTCCACACCATCAATGTCTCCTTGAAATTTTCCTAAAAGATCATCGGATATTTTGAAAATCTAATTTAACCTGAATTCTGCAAACCTGAATTCTGCCACTCATGGTGTACGACTCTGTGTTCATCGGGAATATACCCGGCAAAACTACGGAAAACATCAGCCGAAGGTTGTGACCTGACAAGAGTTGTAACAAGATAATAGGTAAAAAGTAGTGAAGGACCAAACATAACTTTGAAAAGAGAACAGAGCCAGATGTGACGTGGCTGTCAGAGCAAGACAAGTGAGAGAAAGCTTGCTCTGTTCTCTTCAAGAGGTCTCCAGTGCAGAGTAAGAAGAAGCCAAGGGAAGGGCAACCGGAATGGCCGGATGCTTAGCAGAGAAGATAGAGGGAGTCAGTGGCGGAGTGTTGAAGCTCATACAGAGCACAGAGAAATTAAACGACACGTGTCAAAAGTGTATACACCGAGTGGAAAGCACAGAGAGAACTGTCCGCGCGGAGCTCCAGCAACAGCAGCTCTTTTTGTTTCCGTTTTGTCGGGAAGGGAGGGCGACTCCTAGACGCACATAACACGAATATGACAGGCAGAATGAAGAGAGAATGAGAGAAAATGGAAGAACAGTGTGTGAATGAATTGAATACAACAACCACACGATCCTCCGAGCTCGGAGAAAGTGATGGTCGAGAGAAATAGAAAAGTGCAAAACGTTTTGACCGTCGTCCGCATGTGTTCTTTTAGCGGGAACCCCGGTGATCAGAGGGCGAGTGAGAGAGAGAGGGAGAGAAAGGGACATGGAACAAAAAAGAGCAATATTTGAGTTTGGAAATAGAATTTTTATTTTGCAATTCGCGGGGACGACTGTCAAAAGAGAGGATCAATTCCAAGTGGGAAGATGAGAAGAGAGGAAGACTGATCCTCAAATAGGGAATGTGGCAATTCATTATTGGAAGCTCATCAATTACTTCATAGGAATCAATCAAACTTTTTTGAGATAAGAAAAAATATTATCCTGAGTTCAAATTCATAACTTTCAACTTATAGTCAATTCGTCTGAGTTCCTGTGAGAAATATCAAAAAGTGGTAAACAGACAAAAAATTTTTGATATTATTATAAAAGTCTTGTCCGTTGTTCACTTTAAACAAGATATATGGGCACAAAGTTGACGGTTTGAGGGGCATTCTATTAGAGTGTTTACCGTAAAACCTGTAGTAGAAGTCCCCCAAGTTTGGGCTAATTTTTTTCGGCTCCAGTGCAAGTTATCAAAAATCTGTCAACTCATAAAACATTTTATCAGTTGACAACATTTTAATGTCTTTTACAGGAACCGAGAAAAATCGGCTCGAAGTTGAAAGTTAAAAGGGGGGGGGGCTTCTATTACAGGCTTTACATGATGAGTGGCTTTTCAATCTTGATGCAATAAAAGAACCTTCTTTATTCACACGATTTCACAGAAATCAAAGTTTACAAACAATGTAGACAATTTCTCATCCGATGATTCTTCGGAGCAAGTTCATGGAACTGTTTCTGTAGGATCCACCAAAGTGATTCCTGGAATTTTTTTCTATTTTCCGTATTTTTCGGAAATCCCAAAACTTACCAATGATTCAAATTATGGTAAAGTTCATAGAGTGCAACTCTTTCATGTCTTCCATCCGATTTCCCCATTATTTTGTCATACTCTTCTTCAAAATCTTGAGTCCAGCCACCTATTAAAAATTGGTAATAATTTGAGTTATAGGAAAACTTACCGAACATTTGCATAATTCCAAATTCAAACTCAGGATCCGAATAACTGGAGGATGGATCAAAAACAATTGGCTCAGTGTCTTCTCCAGAAAGGCACATACTCCAGTTTCCACCCCACAAATCACCATGAACCAAAGCAGGTTGAATTGATTGGCGGCAATTCAAAAGCTTTTCGGTTTTTCGGTAAAGTTGATCAGAATGGTCAATGAGTTCTCGAACGTTGTGTTCCTAAACAATTGTATGCTTTTATTTCAAATTGGTAAAGTTTGACACCTCAATAAGTCTATCGAGTTGTGGTTTCAGACGATGGCAAATGAAGAATTTCTGAAATTCTTTTTTCTTTTTTCAAACAACTGATTACTTTAAATTCTACCGTCCAATCGTCAGTCCACTCATTCTCCTGGGGGATTCTCCCACAACAAGTTGGCAAATGGAACCCAAATTTTGCAGTCCCTTCTTCTTGTTCCAAATGCAACGAGTCTTCAGAAATTTCAGAATTAAAACTGAGCAATCGAGAACGCTGCTCTAAAGCAAGCAGGAGGTCTGAATTTGTTTTGTGCATTCTGAAAGGTCCACATTGTCTAAAGTGTTTGATAGAAACACTGAACAACCTGGCTAGCAGATTTCCAAACGTTGCCCAATCTTTTCTATGCTGAAACTCAATGTAACTGGTTACTAGTGCAAAGTTTCCGTTTCTTTGAACAATTCCGAATGGTTTCGGGCATTGAATAGTTCCAGATGCTTGTATTGCTTTCAGAGATTCAAACTCTCCTTTAACCAAATCTTCTTCCTACAAAGAATAGAAATCCCTAGTTTTGTTTAAATGTTCTTAATACCCCAAACTTCAAAAACAATTTCCCTTCATCCGAATCCAAAACTCCTTTTTTGAGAATGTTGACATTTTGAATACCAAGTTGTTCTTCAATTGCATGATCCATCTGAATCTTATCTATCACTATCACTTTCTACAGACTACTGCAGAGGTATACGTGTAGACAGTGTGCCTTATCGACAAATGATTTGTCGACAAACGCCCTTTTCGACAAATTTATCGACAAATTTACCGGTAAATTTATCGGAAAATTACCGACAAATTGTCGATAAAAACAACATTTATCGACAATTTGTCGATAGAAATGCTGTTTGTCGACAGTTAATCGACAAATTTATCGACAAATTGTCGACAAAAATTGCTATTAACCGCAGGAATTACTTGTAAAAAATCGTATCGCTACCATTTTTCCTAGGACTTCTAGAATGATGGAAGAGCTTACCCAGGCAAACTTTATAGGCTATCTGGCTTGGTGGCCCAACTTTCACAACATGAATTTTTTAGTCCACGATTTTAGCCTAGAAATGATCTGATGTTCACCTGGTGTGTTTTTAGGTCATTTTAACATGGTGGCCTAGCTTTCGCGCATGGAGTTTTCTAGGCCACTATGTAAAAATGGCCTAGAAAACATACCAGATGGATATCTGATCATTTTTAAGCAAAAAACGTTGGTGGCCTAGAAAACTCAACTTGCAAATGTTAGGCCACCACCCCAAAATGGCTTAGAAAACGTACCAGGTGAATATCTGACCATTTCTAGGCCAAAAAGATTGGTGGCCTAGAAAACTCAACATACGAAAGTTAGGCCACCATGTTAAAATGGCTCAGAAAACGTACCAGGTGAATATCTGACCATTTCTAGGCCAAAAAGATTGGTGGCCTAGAAAACTCATATTGCAAAAGTTAAGCGACCATATCAAAATGGCTTAAAAACACACCATGTCAACATCAGATTATTTTCAGGTCAAAAAGTTTGGTGGCCTAGAAAATTCATGTTGGAAAAATTAGGCCACCAGGTCAGATGGCGTAGAAAAAAAATATGAGATACAATTTTTTACTAGTAATTCCGGCGGTCAATAGCAATTTTTTTCGATAATTTGTCGACAAATGCCCCCTTCGACAAATTTATCGACAAAAAAAACAACAAATTTATCGACAATTTGTCAACAAAATTTTGTCGACAAATTTATCGATAATTTGTCAAGTAAATTTGTCGACAAAATCGGAAAATGTTTGTCGATAAGGCACACTGCGTGTAGATACTCAACGCGAATTCTTTCGACATAGTTCTGTTAACAAAAAGTTTATAAAAAGATAGAATTGGCACAAAAAGGTACGAGCTGTCAATTTAATACATCACCGGTTGGGGGAATGGGGAGGGCAATTAGGAATAGGGGAAAAATGCAAGAAAAAATGGGAAAATTCAATTGAACTATCACAACCAAAGTGTTGAGTGGAAAATGGAAACGATTTTAGTTCCAATTGAAGGAACAAGCTTTTCTCAAGTTCCACTCAACCACTGCTAGATATTTACATATTTACATAAATTTTAAATTATCATATCTTTTTAGTTCTGGGTGATTTTGAATGAAGTTGTGCGAAAATTTTCTCAAATCGATTCGATGGGAAGACTTTGATCAGGAAGCGTTCTAGAAGGACGTAAAGGAGACGACGGTTGAGATTCTTGTTCTGGAATGCTTCTGATATTGTGTTGATCCCCTAAAATACAAATTTTAAATTCAGTATTTATAATTTTCAGTTATACCTTATAGCTAACGTTGGTTCCCAGGATCATCCGTAATTCATCAGGAAGAAAAGATAGCATAAGAGTTTTTGCTAGAAGGCGTGTTCTGTGATGGAATTCAGCTGGTTTTTCCACATATTCGGTTGCCAATTCGCCTTCTGGCCACATCGATTTCCTGGAATCATAATTTCTAGATAAATCTCTTTCAAATTTGAATAACTTGAAAGAAGTCAGATAACCGCCGACTTGTTGTTCACTAGTCAACCAGTTAACAATATCAACTATCCGTTTATTGATCGAAGTTCCGAAAGGAGTCACAATGTGTCGGATAACGGTAACCAGTTGCCGCCGGAACCACGCACTTCCTTGCGCTCCAAACACTTCGCTTACTACTAGAACCAAAACTCGAAGAGGAATATTCTCAGCTTCAGTGTCAGTTAAAGAAGCAGCAACTCGATCGGTTTCCATTTCAGGCGGTCTGTTTGGTGTGGTGGTACTGCTGATAGGATTCTGAAATTTAAATGAGATAATTATCTTTTAAAAGTAGTTCAATGCGAACTTACAATGATAATCTTCGCTGCATTGTTTATTCCTGCTCCCATTTTAGTAACACCTTCAAATACTTGATCTGGAACCGCCATAACAGTATTACCAACTGCTTTCACTCCATTTCTGATTGGATCGAACATTGCGGACATCAGCTTCTTGGCGAGAGGATCCGAGTTTGCATATTTCTTCTGAGACAGGAAGTCAAACACATGACGATCCATATCGGGATAGTTGCGTAGAAGTGATGGTTGGAGGACACATGCTAAATACAAATTCAGAGCTTTTGTCCGTTTTTCCAAAAATTGCGAGTCCAAATTATTGAATGTCTTTTTGCCAGGAAACGACAGTGTTGCCAGTTTTGGAAACTTTTGAACAAGGTTTTGATGAAGGGAATGGAAATCGGAGTATCTCCTGATAACATTCCAACTGCTCACTTCCAGTCCATCAACACATCGAGTAACTCGAACGTTGTATAGTGCATATGTCTGTTTCCCTTGATGTCCAATTCCTAAAGTCTCCACGATCGCTGTCATTACTGGCTCTCCTTCCAATGGAGCTGATCCATCTAACTCGAGTGGAAGCTTTCGAAGCGCTGAGTCGCAACGAGACTCGTCTTCTGACTTTTCTTGTGATGAGAATGAGGTCACTGAATCACATTCTGACAATGTCGGATCGTTACGGTCTTCGTCAATTATTTCTAAATCTAACAGCATTTTCACATAGGCTGGAGACTTTTTGAACGCCGGAAAGAAGTGATCGTCAGTTTTCAAAACATCGAACACCTTCTCTTGAATGGCTTCAAACCAAAGATCGTGAGGTTCGTCATTTTTAAGACGTTGTAGAAACTTTGTCATGAGAGCATCGTCGAGAGGAACACGTGTTATAGCCTGCAAAGATGATACGATTCATTGAAGCTGAAACCAAAGCTACCTCTTCCGACAAGTACTGATCATACATGTACTTGGCTGCTTCTTTGACCGTCTCGTAGGCATCAGAGTCGGAAATCTCCCCCTTTGCAAGCGATCGCATCTGATGCTCTACTGATACTTTGAATCCCTCTATTGCCAAATAAAAGTCTATGTAATTCTGGCCTCCGGCAGATTTGAGGAATTCGCAAAATTGAGAAAGAGCTGTCGAATTCGTAAGAATCACATGGAGGGGAAGTTGAACAAGTTGGTCACCATCTTCACCGAATTTCGACTGAAACAGAAGATTGATTGAAGTGCTAAGAAAAAGGTTGAACTTACTAAAAATGCTGAATCTTGTGATCCAAGATAATCGATTCTACGTTGAACAAGTAATTCGACAAAGTTCAGACTAGCCAGTTGTTGTTTAACGAATGTATCTGAAGCAATGCGAGTTTGATCAGAAAACAATCATACTTCCTTCTCAAACTAACCTTGTTCACCACCAGCATCTTTTCCTCGCATCACAGTTTTCTCGTTAACAATTTCCTTCAGCACTGATTCGAGCTCTTCTATACACGTGGAACTCGAGAGACAGGCAAGAAAGTCCTCTGGCTTTGGTTCCACTTCACTCAGCAACCATACGATCAATTGGAAAATTTCATTTGGGTTGGAAAGATAGTCTAGCGTTGGAAGTATAACTTTTCGGACTGGAAAGAGATAACTTTAATTTTTTGGTAAATTTCAAAGTGTTACTAACCAACAACTTCTCGAAGTAAAAACCTTAATGGGCGACATCTGAAATCCTCAGGAGGCATCACAAGATACAAAATTATATCGACTAGATCGTGGAGATACGCATTCTCATAATGAGGTGTAGTTGAGAGTAAATCTCTACACAATGTCTTCTCCATTTCCAGCTCAAAGTCGAAAAAGTTACTGAGCAATTCTGCATCCAAGTCTTCAACTGTACTAGATTTGTCTGAATTTCCGTCATCTTTCATTTGAAAAGTAGTTCTTTCTTTGGCTTTTCGAAACAGACGCAAATGAGAAGCAAAATCATCGACAACGTCTCGAGTGATCAGTGGAACCCATTCCACTTGTCGTAGGCATTGAGTTAGAGAGGCAATTGAACGACGAGATGTTCTTTTTAGACTTTGCTCGAAAAGTTTGTCATTTGACAGATTTTTGTACCAGAAGCCGATATAATCTCGAGTGATGTAACCGAGAATTTCTTCTAGGACCAGATCTAATTGTGGAGAATTGCTCATAGAGTGAACTTCTTCATATTGATTCTGCTCAGTCAGCCGTTTGCCATTTTTCAACAGCTGCTCTATTCCTGATGGAAACTTGTACTTCTGTAGTCGAAACGCCAACTTCTCATCGAGTTCTGCAGACTTTTCTAGACCCGTTTGGTAGACAATGTATAGGAACCTGAATATGTATTTGTAGTCTGCTTCAGAAAGTGATAGTTACCCTGCCAAGAAGCATATGACACTCAGAGGAATTACAATGACACCAGTTAACCCAAACGTTGATAGAAACAGCAGACCGCCGAGAAGAATGTAGAAGCGATTAGACATTTCCTCACTGCTTTTTTCGCATTTTGGCTGTAAACTACGAAAGATAATAGATTTCGAACATGTATTTTTTGTTATTTCACAAGTTGTCACAACTGAAAGCATATGAATCATGAACTCCATGTATGAGAAAAATCGAAATTTCTGAAAAAATGTCAGAGAACGCAAGTGTGGACCACCGCACACGCTGCGTCTCGCAACGCGTTCGACTTTCGAAAATTAGACCTTAATTTTTTGAATTCTTTCTCAATTTTTCGCAGTTTTCTAGAATTTTCGTGAGGTTAGAAGCCTGATTTTCTCTATTCTTAAACAATTACTCAGGCTTGAAATGTTTTTATAAAACCCTCATTTTTCGAAAGCCTTTTTGTCAAAAATTACCTAAATCAGATTTTAAATCTTTGTAATTTAAAAAGAATGTGCTTTGTCCTAGAAATTCCTTTTAAATTTAGTTTGTTTTTGCAGGATGACTTCAGTTGGTGTGCCAATCAAAATTCTTCACGAGGCTGAAGGCCATACCGTCACTCTTGAAACCGTCACAGGTTGGTCACTATGAAAGAATTCTCCAATAATAAATACATTTTAGGTGAGGTATACAGAGGAAAGCTCATCGAGGCAGAAGACAACATGAACTGTCAGCTCTCCGAGACCATTGTCACTTTCCGAGACGGAAGAAGTCATCAGTTGGAGAACGTCTTCATTCGCGGAAACAAGGTTTGCTGCTCAATATGCTCCCAACATCTCATATTCATTTTTTAGATTCGCTTCATGATCCTGCCTGACATGCTGAAAAACGCGCCAATGTTCAAAAATATCGGAAGAGCGCAGAAGGGAGCTATTGGAATGGGTCTCGGAGGTCTGGATCAGCGCGGTAGAGGACGCGGAACCGCTTTCCGCCGACCAATGGGCCGTGGAGGACCACGTGGAATGTCCCGCCCAGGAGGAGCCCCACCATTCCGAGGATAAGCATGACCGCCATCCTGTACTTTATTCTGTATTCCTTTCTTTATATCTTGTAAGCTTGTGCAGACCGTTGAAATGACGCGATCTCCCTGCTGGTCACCCGGCGTCGCACTTTTTTGTTCTTGTTGAAACAATATCGATTCATAAATTATTTTCCCCCTAAAAATATCTCGGTCAACTAGTTTACAAGCAGTTTCCTGTGGAATGGAGAACGGAGATTTTAATCTAGATCCTTGACTGTTCAGTTGGTTCAGTTTAGAACTTGTTATGGTATATCACTCTCCTGTATTCTTTTTTCTATTCGCTTTGTTCTTCTACTCTCATTTCAATGGAGCATTCGATGATGCTGAGCATTCTCCAATTGGAATTCAGGATAGGGCGAAACTATTATCAGCGACAGATCAGTGCGTTTTGAGATATCTAGGAAAAATGAATGGAAGAAAAGTTTAAAAAAAAAGATAAAAGTTGAAAAATATATTCGGAATTCAGAAGTTCTCGATTCTGCCAGTATTAATTCAGCGATGTGCTCTCAACGAATATTTCTCTTTAGAAGAATTCGGAAATCGTCAAAATGGTTCTTCAATTTTTACATTCCTCCCACTATTCCAGCATTCTCATCTTCGGAAATGTAATATTTTCTTGTTCTTTGGAACTTCTTCAAACGATATGCAAGCCGAAATGGAGATTGTGAAAAGTTCAGATTTCGAAATGTTGAATTGTAAATATCTGATTATGGATAAGAAGAAAAATATTCATGGTCTAAAACATTTTGTGGTCCTCCCTGAATTAAACGAAATGCATCTGAACGATGCTCTCTTGCAATATAAAGACGATAAAGATTACGTTGGGTTTCTCTAGTTCTGAAAAATTCTTATGAAAAAAATTCAGGTCATCGAACATTTGTACATTTCTGAAATGAAAAACATTGAAAATTTTATGGACACTGTGCTGAAATTCAGAAGGCTCTACTCTCTAACAGTCTGCCAAATCACTATTAGACTTCCAAAAACTATTCCTGATGAAAAGATATGGAAATTCTCACACGAAATTTTAGAGGATGAAAACTACATTTTGTTGAATGTTTATCAAATGGAAGATTATACAGAGTGGGTTTCTGCTTTTTAAGATTCAAATAAAATTCTGAATTTCAGATTCTATTTCTTCGCGAATAATGAATATCAGTGTATGATGCGATACTTGTAACAATTGTTTTATATATTTTAACTGTTTGAAAAACCAACAATAAAATCTCAAATAAATAACGGATCTTCCTAAACTACGAACTAAAACATGCTTCAAACAGTTTTAGAAGTGAAATTATTGGAATTGAAATAGACAAAGAGACACGCCGCCGACAGCCTTGACAACAGTTCCTCTCTTTCCAATCCATGCGCCCATTCAACGCTTCCCCACGTTTCTGCCTGAGTTCTCTGCTCCAACGTAGCAGCGTCGATGGCGGTTTCTGGGTCGATGTGATGGCGGATGGCATTGTAGGCGATGATGAAGGATTTCACCTGAAAAAGTTGAGAATCCATGTTTAATCGAAAAACGTACGTGAGAAAAACGTTTTCACTTTATAAATTACGCGTGAAGCTTCATGCAAATTTAAGTTTCCACGTGACGTGAATTTAAAAAGTTACGTGAAATAATAAAATAGCAGGTGACCTTGAAACTCACGTGAAATGAAAAAAAGAAGAATACTTAAAGTCGAAAAACTAACTGATTCTGTGGCATACTGTAGTCCCACGAGAGCCGGGAAATTGTGCTGACGAACCCATCTGTCAATCTTGTCCTTATCAGTCTCGCTCGCAACATCACAATCTGAAAATTCAATTTTCTAGGAAATTCTGAAAGAATTCTCTTATTTTCTTACCCAGAATACTCTCACTGGGACGCACTTGAATTCCAAGATCCGAATTGAGATTTTTAATAAGTGGTGCCCAGTTTTCCTCCTGGTAACGGTGAAGTTTTGAGCTCTCGGTATTGAAGAAAAGTACAGTGTCACCGTCAACGTAGTCAAGAATCTTTTGCGAGATGGTGTCACTAAAAAAATTAAAATCACAAACATACATACCTCAAGTGGAATCATGGAACTAACGCAGATTGTTCCAGTGGGTTGTCCTGAGAAGTAAAAGCGAGTCCAGTGAGTCTCATCTGACCCAATTGGAGAAATTCGTCTTGAGATGACCATTCTTGTGCAATTGCCAGTGCTAATGGATATGAGTCGAGCTGAAACAACAGGATACTGTAGGAGTCGAAATGCCACGTCATTCATCTTCTCTGGGGCTCACTTATATTATTGTGCCAAAGGATTATGTGTGGGGTTAACTGAGAAAGGAAGTAAGAGTAAACAATTCGGAAGAAAAAAAGTCTGTTCGGGAAATTTTCTCACTTTTTTTTCTGTTAAAACAATTTTGAAATTCAATCACCCCTGGTGTGCCATCTCGAAAACCTATGTAAATATTACTTTTTCTCTCTCTTTTTCTCTGTGTCTCAATTGTCTCGCAAATTTTTTGTCGGTCAGTTGACTGTGACAACCTATGCAAACTTTCATATTTGCATAACATTATTTCCAATCTACTTTCTTCGATTTTCAAGCTAATAATATGAATTTGAGAAAATGACCATTCACAACATAGTTTTGCATCTACTTCCAGTTCTTGTTTTTGCAGTGGTGAGTTCCCTAGAACTGATTTTGGAACTACGAAAAAATCAAAATGCTTTCAGTTCCTTCTTATTCTTTTCTTCGTTTGCCGAAAAGCTGATTCAAGGATAATTTCAAGATTCTCATCGAGAAGATCTAGTCAAGCATCGTTAGCCTCTCGAAAGTCTAGCATCACTCCACGACAATGTGCTATAAATCTCATTAGTAATGTAATGGATCCGGAAGTATCAGTTGAAAAAATGACTTCAGACGAGCCAGCATTCGTATAAACTTTAGTGCATATAGAATTCGAATGTAAATACAATAAAAATTCGATATACTTCCTCTTGTTCTACCTTAAGCACTTGCCCTCCTTGGGTCTTCAGAACATGATGATCCAGAAGAACTTTATGAATCTGGTTGCCAGTTTTCTCATCCACCTCACTAGCCAGTGTCACCTCCTGAAAAATATATTTGCAATTTTCCCACATATATTACACTTAATTTCACCTTATAAAACTTTTTCGGTTTTGTCAACGCTGATGCTTGATTCGAGACAAACCGACGAGCAATCAAACCAAGACTCGATGACATGTTTTTTCCTATAATCTTGGGTCATGCACAATAAAAAAGAACAGACCGATAAATTTTACTGAACTAATGAACAGTTCTCACAAAGAAACATAGGATTAGTGTGAAATCTTTATATAAATGCAGATTGTAGCAGGCAAACATTGGGGAAAGTATGGCGAGAAAAGAAAATTAGAAAAATGCAGCAAAAATAGCACTATTAGAATATACATAAGAAATAAGAAGACAAATTATTGAACTATTTAGGTCTGATGCTTTTCAACTTCATCAATGAGCTCCTCAACATTGGACTCTTCGATAAGAACAAAACGGTTGTTGGGTTTGCTGAACATGTGCATCTCTCCTGGAATAGTAGCTCAATTTTTGAGAATAAAACTTTTCTAATTTACCGGTGTAAATGTCAAACCACATAGCATGCAAATCAACGGTTTGCGACTCGAGGAACTCTTTCAAAAATCCATGACTAGCGACGTTCTCCAACTGTTGGAGAGTATTGATTTGGGAAAGCTTATCCTCCACATTCAACTTGTCCTCTGGATCGATAATTGCTTGGAACCTGAAACCTCGGTTGTATTTAGAAAATGAAGTTTCAAGACTCACGAGAACAATGGATTGTCACTAACGAACTCAATTGGTCCGGCCTTCTTATCCGCTAGTCGCTTTTCCAATTTCTTAATAGAATTGAATCCGTGTCTTCGAAGCCAGTGGTCCATTGGCGATTCTGGATCAAACGATTTTGGACACTTGTGAAGATTGTACAATGTGTTGATGGCCTGAAATTGTTTTTTAGTAATTCCATAGTATAATTATAGAGTACCTTGCAATCCGAGTGTCCACATACAATGACATGGTTGATCTTTCCACGCTTAACAGCCAATTCTAATGCGGCTGGTTCAGTAGTAACGGAGACTTCGTAGCCGGATGGTCCTGAAATTTGAAATTTATATTGTTCAATGAGCGATGGCTACCATAATTGTTGGCATGGGGAATCATATTTCCAGAGTTCCGGACAACGAACATGTCTCCAACTTGACTTGAGGTGATTCTGAAAAAAGTTTATTGTGGAGACAACCCTAAAAAATTGATGGGGACCTTGCTGGAAGCATTCTCGAATCCATACAAGTGAAGAAGACAGCTGTTGGATGCGGATTGTCACGGACTTGTTCGAATTGCTTGACCTGGAAATAGAAAAATTACCAAAATATAAAATCTAGAGAAAAAAGAAAGAAAAAATACCAAATCCTTTCGAACAGTTTGTCGGAACCGGATGACACCATTCAGAATCTTCTGAAGTCCCGGCATCTGGAATGATCAGGGCGATAATCTGTGGGAAGTTATGAGAAGCAAACAGAAGGATTTAGAAGCAGAGAAGAGAGAGAAAAATATAGGAGATTTTATTTTAAAAAAAAGAGAACTGAGAAAGAAATCAAGAAAAGAAACTGTACATTCTAGGTACTAGAAAAGATAGAGAATAGTTATTTTTTCTCCTTTTCTTGATATCCAGGAGTCACTTCCAGGTCCTTGTACTTGGGGAATCTGAAATATACATCTCAAACTTTTTTTAGCTACTACGGGCTCGAAAAGGTTCACTTTTGTGGTTGGTGATCTCCAGCCCCTTTCCCTTCGGATTGAACGTGTGGCGCTCTTTTTTCAGTGTTCGAATCCTGGGCAAGTTGGGCCTGAAATTGATTTGAAAAATAAAAAAAGAAGAAACTTTTTGAAAACAAACATAGTATTGTCTGAGAGAAATGATAAGAAAGAAGAGATCGAGATACTCAGACAACAAGAGTTATCATTCACTGAATTTCTTCTTCTTCTTCTCTCCTCCCTACGTGATGTTTCAACTAACAAATTACACTATAGAGAACGTTCTGGTACCAAAAGGTCACTAACCTGCTGCTTCATCCTGTTAATCGCGATTTCTGTGTCGGACGGTGGGAATCTGTCAAAGTAGAGATTCCAGTACATGACATCGACGTTTCTGGAGTGAAAGCCAGTTCACCGCTTTTTACCTTTACAATCACTTGGCTCACCTTCTTGTTCCTCTTAACCACGCTTGCCATTCCAAGTCAGGTTCGATGTGAGCTCCTGATGTCGGTGGATCAAATCCTCTGAACAACTTTTTTCAAAGAAATTCTAGGTCATTTAACATAAGACTTGCATTAGAAGGGCCCACCCTTCTATTGCTCCAAGTTACTTCCGAAGTCCCTTCATATTACAGGGGACTTTATATTTTCCCGGTCACTTTTTCCGTAATTTCTCATTTAAAAATTCGGCGAATTTATGTACAAAATTCATAAAATCCATCAGAATCAACGGGATTGATAAAAATTTTGATCAAAAATTAAATTTCAACAAATTTTGTGGAATTGTGGAATTTCCGGAATATTTTTCATTGAAAACTTGCGGAAATTCTTAATTTCAAACAACACATTTCGAAAGAGCCCTTCTAATAGAGGGTTTACGGTATTTTAATTTACCTCGAAACATTCTGTCGACTGTTGGCGATTTCGTAGAAACGATTTCCTGACGAATCTTCGGCGACATAATTCTTAAAATCAAATTTTCCCTCGAATCCGTTTTTTTAATCAGAAATACCTTTTTCGAAAAATCGCCTTTTACATACTTCCACAGGTTGGAAGCCACACGGCTCCATGCACCGGGACGGCTCATTCTAAACCTTCTAGTTTTCAATATTCCTTGAAAACAATAAAAAAGTAAGAGAAGAGCTAAAAAACTCCAAAAATATGGAATAAAACCTCCAACACCACATTTATAGGTTAAAAATCCCAATTGGAAAGAAAGAAGGAAAATAAATTAGCACAGCGAATAATTTTTAAAGGGGTATTTATGTGAAACATGTACGGAAATAGCAGATGGTATCGAAACAAGGAGAGGGAAAGTAGAATAAAAAGCAGATCATAATTTTCAAAAAAAAAAAAGCGATCCGATGGGTGTAGGAAATATAATAATAAAATGACGAATCATGTTTAGCTTGGTGGTGGTGGAGGAGCCGCTGCAAGAAGTGAAGACAAATCTCCCGGCATTGGTGGCGGTGGTGGTGGTGGAGGCATGAATCCACCGAAGCTTCCTGGCGGTGGAACTGGCATCGGCATTGAAGACCCGCTACCGTACCATCTGAAAATTAGGAAGAACCATGACTAATAATCACTTCTAGGTTTCTTACCCTTTATTTGCCTTTGCTCCAGCGCCTCCTCTGGCTCCAGGACTTGTATAGAAGTCACTGTAATCTGCTTGATGCCCATAAGCTGAAGCATCTGGGGCTGGAGCCCCATATTGTTGGTATTGGTTAGCGTATGCGTATTGCTGATACTGGTCATAGTATCCTTGCATAGTACTGGCTGGTGTCTGCTCTTCTTCTCCCTTCGGTGGTCCGAACAATTCTCTGGGATTCTGGAAGCCTCCACGATGACCTCCTCGTCCTCCTTGATGACCTCCTCTTCCACCTCTTGCACTCATATCACTCATCGATTGTATACCACCGCCAGCAGACGCGACTTGACCACCGGCACTCGCTCCTCCAGCTGGTGTTTCTCCGAGTTCTGCCATAAGTGCAGAATATTCGTCATCCATACCAACTTCCGATGCGTACATTCCTTTTGGATTCTTACAATCTTTTGAAATATGACCGAATGCTCCACAGTTCGTACATTTAATCTGGTTGGTGACATTCGGTGCATCCGGACATTCCCATGATTTGTGCTCGTCGGAACCACAGTTTGAGCAACGAGCTCCGCTGAAAACAATTTTAATTTTGATTTTTTACAGATTTATTTTGAAAACTTACTTTGCCAAATCTTCGGGTCTGAAAGTCCCATTCAGAAGGGCAAGTTCTCTCAACTGCAACTTTCTGAGCTCATTGTTATCTGGCAAAGCAGTAGCTTCGGCGATAACTTGTTTGATCTTTTCACACGCCTTCTTAATGACATTCATATCAGTTCCCGTTACATACGCATGAAGTGGCTCATTTTCTCCTGGCATTGGGCCCAAACGATTCGTAAGTTTTCCCTCTTTGATGGATCCCTTACCGCTGAAAAAATACAAACTAGGTTTCTAAAAATATGTGTTGCTTACCGAATAATAATCTTGGCTCCTGTTTCAGCTTCCAAACTCTTCAGAGTGTTACCACGTGGACCAATCAGAAGACCGACAAAGTTGAGATCAGGGAATTGTTCTTGTGGAATCCAGACTTTGTCATGGAGACGAATATTTGGAGCACTGAAAATTACAAACTTACTTTTAAACGGGGCTCTTTTAACATACCGATAATCTGCTGGAGGCTTGAAAGCTGGATTGATTTTCAGCAAGGCTTGAATCTTTTCGTGGCGCAACTGTTCCAATTCCTGACGCTTCCTCACTTCACGAGTGTTCAACCGTTTACCATTAGCATCGTAGACTGGTTCAGGAGATGGCGATCTGAAATAATATAAAGACTCAGATAAGTAGATTCATGTCTGTTAGTTCTGAATTTTAAACTTTTGGAAAATTTTTGCTGAAAATTGTTGATAAATACTGAAAATGCTGAAATTTAATATTCGTATTATAATTAGAAATGTGCAATTCCGTCGGTCTAAAAACCTTAAAAGAATTGATTAGGATTAGAATTGAAATATACAAAAATTTGGGTATTCTTTCAGGAATCGTGATTTACACTGCCGGAAAAAAGGTGTCGCGTGCCTGTAAGACTTTGAATTTTAATTCATTGTTTCAGAATTTTTTTTCCAATAAAAATAGGGGCGCAACTGTATCAGGGGCTTGGTTTCACTGTAAACGATTACAGTTTCTAAACTTACCTCTCACGTCCTTCAGGAACTCCGAAATCGGCTAGACGAAGCTTGCGTGTTGCGTCCTCAATTTCGAGTTGAACTGTAATGTTGGGCCAAAGGCCCAGAAATTAGTAAAGTAACAATTGAAACAAAAATGAAAAAATAGGAAAATACAAAGAAATAACAGTCAAACCTGTCTAATGAAATTGCCAATCCAGTCCAGTTGTTGTACTTTCCATTTTTTTTTAATAGTCAATATTTGAGAAAAAGAGGGTTCCCAATCTTTTTGTTGCATTCAGAAAAATGCAAAAAAGATTCGGAACCCTACGAACCCGAACAAGTAAAAAACTCACGAAGATAGGCGTTCCTTTGATCCTCTGTCAAATCTGCTGGTAAAATAGTGGGCATTCCTGGGACAAAGCTTTTTGTTGTAGACCAACGACTCTTTCGTTCTCTGTAATAATTTTAAATTTACAGAAAATTTCAAACTATACCACTCGTACTTCTTAGTGGGATTCAAAGGGACCACAGATCCTACTTGAACAGCTTCCATAGCAACTGCACCACTCTCCACCGCTGATACCAAATCATCACGAATCAGTGGATTGATAACTGGCTCTTTGACTCGTTGCGGGCTGTTCGGAACCATTAATGGTGGTGACCGATCCCTACGACGTTCGGGACGACGGTCTCTGCTTCGACGACGTGGAGAACGAGAACGCGAGCTACGACGACGACGAGACTCACGGTCCCTATCACGATCTCTATCACGCGAACGAGATCGGGAACGACGATCACGATCACGATCCCGGGATCGGGAGCGATCTTTCTTCTTGCGATCCTTCTTACGGTCACGGTCACGATCACGGGATCTCGAGCGAGAGCGATCTTTCTTCTTCTCCGCAACTGAATCTGATCGAGATGGCGAACCTGAATCGTCAATATAAAAAAGGGAAAAGTTCTAGAATGCCAACTCACGGGTAGAACTGGAAGAAATTTGAGGCACAACAAGGGAAGGGGCGGGTGCCGAAGATGAATCACCTTCGTCGTTCAAATCGTTTCCCCATTTCCGAACGAACGGCATGGGTTCCATATTGCCACCAGTTTTTGACATCTGAAATAGATTAAGGGATAATAGCAAAGAGAAAAAGGAAAGAGCAAGATACAAAAATCGTTGCAAAACGAGCTGAAAATATGAATTGATAGAAGTTGATAATTGAGACAAGATAAAAACATTCATAAATAAATAGATAACAGGATAAAAGAGATTCGGGAGGGAGTTTTTACTGTGATTAAAAAAACGGTTGAAGGAAAAATAATCACATAGAAAAAGATATTATGTTTCCATAGCTTGTGGTTCTGGCTCCTTATTTTCAGCACCAGCTGCCTTTTCAGCTTTAGAAGCGGCCTTCTCAGCAGCAATCCGTTTTTCCGGTTCTATTTCTCCACTTTCCACAATTTTCACAACCATTTGTGGCTTGCCAGATGGGGTTCCTTGTTGCTCAACCTGCCGCACAATATTCATTCCTTCGACGACATGTCCAAAAACCACGTGTTTTCCATCTAACCAATCCGTTTTCTCTGTGCAAATGAAGAACTGAGAGCCGTTTGTGTTAGCACCACAGTTTGCCATTGAAACTGTGCCCGGCATTGTATGTCGGAGCTGAAAAAAGAAATATTATTGAAAAAGATAGAAGTGAAGCCTCTCACAGTGAAGTTCTCATCCTCAAACTTTGTTCCATAGATAGATTTACCCCCAGTACCATCTCCTTTCGTGAAATCACCACCTTGCAACATGAATTTTGGAATAATGCGATGGAATGTAGAACCCTCATATCCGTATCCTCGTTCTCCGGTACACAAACACCGGAAGTTTTCTGCTGTTTTCGGTGTGACATCCGTTCTCAACTCGATTACAATTCTCCCAATATAACGAATTCCGATTTTCACTCCAAGATAAACTCTTGGAAGTTTTGCTGCCGTTGACGTGGATTCGGTTATTGTACCCTCGCCATCTGCATCATCTCCTGGGGCAGCCTCTCCACCTCTTCCATACTTCTTCAGCCACTCATCATCAGCCCAAACTGGCTTCTGCGATCGTTCAGTTGCTTTCGGAGGACGAGCAAAATTGACACTAAAAATTCATGAATGCAAAAAATTTGTTGAATACAGATCCTACCGAATAGTTTTTCCGAAAAGTTCGCTCTCGTTCATATTATCAATCGCCATTGCCGCATCTTCTGCCATATCGAATTCAACGAAACCAAATCCACGATGTTTACCGGATTCGTAATCCATCGGAATGGAAATAGCAACAACATCACCGAATGGAATGAAAGCGGCCATGAGAACCTTCTCAGTAACATCTTCCGAAAATCCACCCACATATAGCGTTCGTTTCCGATTATGAGGAAAATTGGTATTCATCTTTAGAAGAACATTCGATTCTTTCAGAGAATTTTAAAAAGATAATTGTCTGGATACAAAACCAGGAGGCCTACAAGATGATAAAAGGAAGTAACAAATGAATTTATTATTGATAGAGTGGGACATAAAATAATTTTTGAAACCTTCAATTTAAAAGTTTTTAGGAGATAAATTACAGAACTTTTTCGACTTAATCAGCCGACTGATCGATTGGAGGGTAAAATGAACAGAGATTTGATGAATATTAGAAGATAGCAAAAAGGGAGTAAAAAGAAATCAAATATCAGGAGAGTTTTATTAATATCGTCGGCGATCACGACTTCTGCTTCGACGTCTTCCACCACCGCCTCCGCCATATCCGTAGCCACCGCCACCACCACCTCCTCCGCCGTAACGGCCACCGCCGCCGCCTCCACCCCATCCTCCACGATCGCGATCTCTTCCACCACCATATCCGTAGCCTCCGCCGCCACCGTAGCCTCCACCGCCGCCACCACCAGATCCACCACGTTGTGATGGATAATGTCCGGCTGCGTCAGCTCGTCGTCCACGTCTTCCGTAGAGACGGTCTCCGAGTTCAGCAGAGATAGCTTTCAAGTGCATGAAATTACAGAATCCTCCTTTTGAGCAAGTGGTGACTTCGTGCTGACGACAACGGGACTCACGGAAATCGGTGACTGGGCACAACTCAGCATAGATCGGTTGACCGTTGAACCTGAAAACAGCTCGATTAGTAGATAGTTATTTTTGAAATCAAAAGAGAATAAGTTTTTACAAGTGCTTAAATATATGCTCAGATGGCCCCTGTGCCTAGAATTTCTCCATTTCAAATTCCTCCGATGGAATAAGTGCAGTGGCACACTATCTTCATAGCATAAGTTGTAAAACTATCCCCATTAACTCACCATCTGTTGTTCAAATCATTTTTGGCTTTTTCGGCATCTTCTTCTTTCATGAATTTCACATATACATTTCCGACCATGTGCTCTCCGATATTTTCACAAACGTTAATCTCTTCTACTTCCCCATACTTTCTTTCCATCTCAACGAACACCTCCTCATAGAAATCGTCGAAGTATCTCTGCTCTTCGTCATTCCGCTTTCCAACTTCTGAAAATTGAAAATTTTAGAATTTCATTACGAAATAGGTTTGAACTCACTATCGAAGGCATCGGCTTGACGAACATCCACGACAGGATTGTGATAAAAATTCTTGAGTACGACCGTTGGTGAGAACGTTGGCGTGTGATGGGCTCGAGAGCACTTATCTCCGTGTCTACAAGCTCCTGTCTGAAAAATCCCTACAGTAAGAATCAGAATGCTTTTCTGAAAACTAACCTTGAAGAAGAAGGAACAGTTGACTTTATCTTTTTCGGTACCGTAAATCGAAGCGAGATACTCGGCTCCGGAGAGCCCGTCGCCGTACGACATCTGAACGGCTGAAAATAGAAAGAATATTAATACGAATCGGAGAAAAAAGAGAAGGAAAATAAATAATATTCGCAATCAATAGAATTCGAAAGATGAAGAAGCAAAAAGACAGAGTAAATTAGTGATTTTAGATGCAAAGGGAATCTATCGACTAGGATTGTAACAGAAAACTTGAAAAAATAAATGTGAATATAGAAATCGCCCTCTTCTGGTGAAGGAGCAGCGGTGGGACTCAAAAAATCAATAGAGTACAAGAAAACCACTGAAAAATCAATTGCAGACGAATAAACAAGTAGGAGTTCAATAATCTGCGAAAATCAGTCGAAAACACTGTCCATCGCAGCACACAGAAATTCGAATGTGCAGTGCGGCGCGGTTCTGTGGGCGGAGTCAAGGCATGCATCCCCGCCGCGCGCGTTTTTCTCTTATATTTTTACCACCTCAGCAATTTGTTTCTGCGAAACGCACGAAAGTGAAGGGTTTTGATGGAACGTGCGAGGAACACTGTTTCGCCAAAGACTGTCGCTGCGACCATCTGACTTTGCTAAACAAGGCGCAATGTGAAATCTCGGAGCCTCGTTTGCCAACAAATTTAAGAAAGCATAACTTAATTTCACTTGATGAATATGTTTTTAAGTTTCAATGTTCGCCGCAAGTAATGTGTCAGAGAGAAATTTGAGAAGAAGCTGGAATATTCAAAATTATCGGAAAACTGCAATAATCCTCATTTATTGATGCTGAGAATTGCGAATTGAAGGCGTTTGGGTTTGGTTTCAGGTGAAATTTTACTGAAGATTTTTTTGCAGCCTTTTTGAGAGAGAAAATAAAAATTTGGAAATTTCGAGATTTTTTCTTTTTTTTTGAAAGAACGATTCTGGGAAGTTACAATTTTTAATGGATGGGACGATTATATTCTAAAGAAGTGAAATTTGTAAAATTCGACATATATTGAACCAAGAAGAAACAAGACGAACAGTAAGTGAATATAACCGGATCAAATTCTAAGAAATTAGGTAGTCCTTCCAGATATCTACATCAACTCGAAACGCCATTACAGTTTTATAAAGGCCGAAAATGGATATATTCAATTCATAACTGCACTTGACTCAGTTATCAATTTTTATAAAGATTTGCGCGTTTCGCTGAAATATACTCGCGCGTTCCGCCGAAACAAATTGCTGAGACATTTTGAGAATAAAAAAAAGGGGTTTTGTCCAACATTGTGGAGATATTCTCTGAAAATAAACCTGAATGGCTGAAAATAGGATTAATCATTGAATGGAAAAAATAAAAAAATAACCTAAAATCTCTTTTATTGCTCAGGGGTGCGATAAAATAATAAATTATGCTCTGCTTAAGTAGGTGATCAAAGTGAAAAATAAATAAGCGAAATAGGTCATCAGAGGCAATCAATAAACATAATACAACTTTAAAATTATTTCAATTCTACATAATTAGATGGGAAAAGTCCAGTTTCTGTTGGCTCTTGAGCTCTGTGGCCACTCCACCACTCAGCTTCCGATCTATCGGTAACAACAATGACATCTCCAGTTTTGAAAGTGAGTTCATCGGTTTGCGAAGCATCGTAATCATAAAGAGCAGTAGCTCGCACAGACTTCGATGGTGAAGTTGGGGTGGTGTTCTAAAAACGATATAAAATGAAATTACTAAAGATTTTCCGGATTTTACCTCAATAACTTTAACATAATCACCAGGGAACCAGCCAGCGAATGGTTTTCCATCTCGAATTAGTTCTCCTTCCCACCATCCTGCTGCGGACTTCTCTCGGATTTTTATGATTTCTCCAACTTTAATTCCAAGCTGGTTTGCTGCAGAAGAAGTGAATTCAACAATAGCTTTTGCTTCGCAGATCACAGTCGGGGGTGGAGCAGGAGTGGCTGAAGCTGTTGGGGCAGCTGGAGCGGCTGATGGCACAGCACCTTGTGGTACCAATTCGACATAGTTTGCTGGGAAGATTCCTTCTTTTCCATTGCATCTACCTTTCCACCATTCATCATTTCTGAAAGGAAACATTTTATAAGTTAATAAAATCATCTAAACCTCGGAATTTTTCGTTTTGGCATCGTAAAAACAAGTGAATATTTCTAGTCCTAGTTGAACAGAATGCAATCAAGGAAATGTCAAACACACACCCATGCCCACTTACTTCTCAAGCACCACAATAGTGTCACCGACATTCAGAGCCAAATCTGTCGATTCTGCAGCTTCAAAATCGTAGATTGCCTTGTACACTTCACCAGAAGAATCTGAAAAGAAGAAATAGGTTCCAGCCTCCAGTATCAATTATTACTTTGAGCTTGAATATTAATATCTGCTGGAACCACGTCGTATTGTGCACCAGCTGATGGAGGAGATGAAACATCTTTAGAAGGAGAAGTAACAGGAGTGGTAGGAGTTCCAACTTCCTTCACATAACTCTTCGGGAACCATCCAATGTCTCCATTTGGATTTCTTCCCTTCCACTTCATGTCTTGCTTCTCTATAACCTCAATCGTATCTCCTTTTGCAAATGATAAATCTTCCTCGTTTCTAGCACGCCATTGGAATTGTGCAACACATTGGCAAATTATAGTAAGAGGTGCTGGAGGTACTGAGGCATCCACCGATGAACCTTTTGCCAGTGCAGCTTCGATTTCAGCTTTACGAGCTGCTCGTGCTCCGATTTGGTCAATAGAAGAACTTGGAGTCATGTTGGGAGGCATATTCTGAATCGGGGGCTCGTCACCAGGAGCGGGAACTGCGGCGATGGATTCCACAAATGCTTCAGGGAACCAACCGACTTTTTCCCGAAGTTGACCAGCACGCCATCCTGGTTCGGCAGCATGAGATTGGAACACAATTATCACATCTCCTGAAAACATTTTGTGGATCATCTCAATTAAAAAAAAATGTTTAGTACCTGGTTCAAAAGACAGCTCATCTTCAGATCTAGCCTCAAATGCGAAAAGGGCGCGACATTTGTGAGTTTCATGAATGTTAAATGACGACTGATCAACAGCTCCTTTGGAATGTGCCTGTACTGGGGCATGAACTTGTGAGAATGGATCCACGTTGCTGGATGAGCCACCAAAGTCTGCATCGAACTTCTGACTAGTATCAGTTTTATCGAATTCAGCAAATGCATCATTGAAATTAGTAGTTGTAACACCATTCACCGGTGCTTGTGTTTGAACAACTGGAGGGGGCGGAGCTTGCTCAATTCTACTAGCTTCAAACTCTCCAATCTTGCTCTTTGCATGTGTTTGAGAATGGACATAGAGCTCGAACATTTTTCTATATTCCTCCCGTTTGGCAACTAATTTCGAGTAAACATCGCTATTGTATTTCTCTTTTTTGGTTTTCAATGTTTCAGATTGATTGTAAGTCTTCTCTTTTTCAGAGGATAGTTCCAATGCTGCGTCTTCAATTGCTTTTCGCATAGCATCTCGTTTTCGACGGAAGGCTTCCAACTCATTTTTTCTCTGCGTTGTTTCCTTGTGAGATGATTGTTTTTGGAGAAGTTGATGACTCAGTTCTTGAGATTCGATGGCAGTCTGAAAATGAAATAAGAATTTGATTTTCTCATCAAAATTTAAAAATAAAATGATGTTCAGATGGCCCCTGTGCCTAGAATTTCTCCATTTCACATCCCTACCGATGGGTTGTGTGCAGCGGCACGCTCTCGTCATCACACCATAGAGGGAATCGAACCCATCTCTTTTGAACGTACATCATCTGTTTTACTCATTGAACCAGATGGGTACAGTAATCCCCTCTGGGATTATGATGTGAAGAAACTTCCCAGGGTCCCTCTATTACCTTCTGATTGGTCTCTTGCAATTCTTTAATCTTCGTGACCTTCTCGTCTCTTGTAGCTCTCATTTGTTCAATAGATCCAGTGACTTCAGCAACCGCATCCTTAGCTTTTCCAATATCAATTTCAACATCTGTCGCTTTCTCATCAAGTGCTTGCAATTGAAATTGAAGAGTCTTCTCTCGTTGTTGGCGTTGCGCGAGCCTCTCGTTCTCTTGTTGTTTTTGGTTCTAAAATTAAAATTAAAATTATGAATATATTCCCAAATGATTCGTTCATTAGATACCTGCATTTGCTTAACTTTGGCTTTCTCCATCTGCTGTTTTTTCATCTTCTCTTCCTCTTCTTTCCTCTTCTCCAACTCCGCCCTCTTTTTTTTCTCCTCCTCTTCCCGTTGTGCTTCCAACATTCTCATTCTTTCCAACTCAGCTTGTCGTTCCAATTCCGCTTGTCGTTCCTTCTCCAACCGCTCTCTTTCTCGCTTCGCAGCTTCCTCTCTTTCCTTCTTCTCAACTTCAGCACGTCTTCTTTGCTCCTCTTCTTCGAGGATTTTCCGTCGTCTCTCCAGTTCCGCTTGTCCTTTGGAAAGGTTGTCCTGGCGCTTGTCTTCGAAAGTTTTAGGAGCAGGAGATTTTTGAGGGGGTTCTGCTCCAGGTTCAAGTTCAGGAGTATTGTTTGCGGAACGGGAAGAGATGCCACACATTCGGACGAGTTCTGGTGGAGTGACTTTAGGAAGAGAGTAGCCGCTTTTGAACATTTCAATCATGTACTGCGAGATTGCATATTCATCAACAGACAGCTTTCCATCTTTGTTAACATCCGATAAAAACCAAATATGAGCTAATACATTAGTGGGAAGACCTGATAATCCTAGAGCACTTCTGCCTACTTGGCTGCTCAGTGATCCCAATCGATCTTTATCAAGTGCATTAAAAAGTTGAGAGTATTTCAGTTTGTTATGATGAGGAATGGCCCAGTTATCTAATTGACGACCCTCGAAGACACTTCTATCAGTGTTGAGTGGACTTCCCGCAGCTGATATTGAATTATGTCTTGATGGTGTTCCAGCAATGGAAACTGGAGCTGACGGGGTATAGGATACTGTTGGAGGTCCAGATGGATAAGCTTGGGATTGAGACATTCTACGATCCATTCCAGCTGGTAACGTTTGAGAGTAGTCTACACTTCCTTGTCTACTACCCGGCCACATCGGTTGCATGGCTGGCTGATGAACAGGAGTACTTCTAGCGGGAACCATCAGGAGTGAAGGTGGAAGCTGAGGCGGCAAAGGCATTCCGGCTAAACAATTGAAAGCAAGTCTCATAGCAATGGAGTATTCCCGAATATCGAGACGACCATCTTTATCAAGATCAGACAGTGCCCAGATCTGTAAATTTGGAACATCGAGTGTAACTTATTCAAAATTAAAGCGTTTATTTACCTGTGAAAGAATGGGAGTTGGCAGATTGCTTCGCATCAGAGCATTCCTTGCAGTCGTCGCGTCCATATACTGTTGACCGTTCGTAAGCTGGCCGAACATTGACAAGTTTTTCTGATACTCAGCATCGCTAACTTCCCAAGGATTCGTCATCTGAAAATAATTAATTAAAGGGTTATTGAGATGATTTAAAAAATGAGGATTAGTCATTCGAAGAAACATTGGTCTGGGTCAAATGACGGAAAGAAAAAGAACAAGGAGAGATAGAGTGGCTAAACAAGTGGCGACGCAGACGGTCAGAGAAAAAGGAAACGACAAGGTTTTGGCATTTCACTGAATCGTTCATTCATGTTTATAAACAATAGTATTACTAACGGAAGCAGGGAAAATGTATTAATGATTCAGAAGGCTATGGATATTCAAAAAAGTTTTAAAAACCGACTAAACTCTTTTCTTTAAAAGATCACCCCCTTTAAAGAAGGCCCTTTTCTGTTCAAATAAAACGATACGAAAAGTTTCCTGCATAAAAGAAAAGAAAAAGAAAGCTTTCTTTTTCTTCTTGCGCGGGCGGCCCAAAAGCTTATCGATCTCCAAACGGCGACGTTGTTGGTCCATAGAAAGAGCCAAACGGGAAAAAAAGGGAATAGGAGAAGCGGAGTCGCAGAGAATGTCGGAAACTCTGTGCGGAGAAGGAATACTTCATGAAGCTTCATGAGAAGAAGGAGAAATCTCATTGAATGGAATTTATTAGTGAAAAGTAATTGAATCAAAATATGAGATCACTGTCTTTGATATCGGTTTCCAGTTGGCGAATGCCTGTCTGCTCTTCTATCGGTCACTCCAGCTGGAAGAGGCATCTGACTAATATCTGGGGTTTCTGAGAAGATCATCATGAATTCGCCAATCTTTTTACATTCTCCATTTTTTCCAAGTGACAGTGTGAGACCGCTCTGGAAAATTTTATGATTACCGAAAAAGTTTGGAATAGTTTAAAATTACCTGAAAAATGGAAGTGTAGGCTCCTCGAAATTTCAGAATATCACCAGGCCTGAACGTCTCGGTAAACTCCGGATTCATTAGAGAAGCATTGATCGATCCAGTTGCATCTGCTACTTTCATCGTGATTATTGACCCACTCTGCGTTCTTCGATATGATCCTAAAACTAGTTTTAATATTTTTTAGAAAAAAAAATTAACCTTGATCCAAAACAATTGCAGTTACATTGAAAGAATTCATGTTTGGCTGGAGTTGATTCAGTGGAATATCGTTAGACATCTGAAAAATTTTTGTAAGGATTTTAATTTTGAAATTCCGAATAAAAATAGAGGGAAGTTGTCAAAATCGAATCTCCATAGCTATGGCCATAGTAACGGAGTATCGTTGTGCACTGAGTTCAACGAGTCATTATTCATTAGGGAATTTAGAAATATCGATCCTGGTCTGAAAAAACCCCTAAATAAGCATTCAAACAGAAAACGCGAAGATAACTTTATTCAAGGATGCAATAAATAAACAGCAAAATAAAATTTTACTGGAGTACTGCAGATTTCAGTTTCTCAATGTCCTCGCTTAAGATTTCTTTGGCAACATCATCATCTTGGTTCTTGATACACGTCACCACTCCTTTTTGACAAGATTGAAGAAGTTCGAATGTGTTCTGAAAAATCAAATTTTTTTTCTCGTTTAACTTTCAAAGGCTTACCGTCGGACAGAAATCTTTCATCTGAGCAATGAGCTGAGCAACAAACTTTCCACTGGCGGTTGTTGGACGTCCAGCTTGAGAAAAGAGATAGAGAACCGAAAGGAGAAGTGTGGTCGCTGGATCCGATTGAGATGCAAGTTGGTCACAAAGGTCGGCGGAAACTTTAACCCCGACTTCTGCTCTTCCTTTCTTGTCGATCTTTCTCAATGACAAAGAAGTAGCACTTGGAACTGAGCAATCATAGACGGCGTCGTGGAATTTCTCGACAGCATCTTCATCTGTAGACTTGAGAGACGCGAACAGAGCACGGATTGGTTCACGAACCATCTCTGGAAGTGATTCGATAGTTTCATCTCGTTGTTTCTCCTTCAGCTGATGTACATTATCAATTCCAATTGCATAAGAAAGAATAGCACATGCAAGATCAACTCCCACGGTTTTGAGCAAGTACTGACGAAGATCGGTACCAAGCGGATCAGCGAATGAAGTGGTTCCAGCTTCGAAAGTGTTGAAAGAATCGTATAATTGTCGACACTTGTCTCCTATCGCCGACAACGACTTTTTGGAATTAGCAGCATTGACAACCAATTGAAGTGCTTGGATTTCTTGAACTTGTTTACGTAGTGCGGATGTTGCATCCTGATGTAATGTCTCAACGACTACGGTAAGAATTTCTTCAGGCACAGTTTGACTTTCACGAAGCCATTCTTCTAACTCTTCACTGTTAACTTGAACGGTTCCAGAACCAGTAGGAACAGAAGACGTTGCGCCTTTTCCACCACCACCGCCATTCTTTCCACCTTTTCCACCCTTCTTTCCTCCTTTGCCTCCCTTTTTGTTGTCTCCCCAGTCGTCGGTCTAGAAATTAAAATAATTCGATTGAAAGAACAAAACAAAAAAGAAACACTAACATCTTCCTGAACTTTTGCAGGTGCTTTCGATCCACATTGCTTCTTCTTTTCCACATCAATTTTCTCCACTTCCTGATGCGCTTTTGCTTCGATTTGTGTGTTGATTGATTTCAGTGCTTCCGTAAGGATCGAATTGTTGTAAACAAATCCGTCGGAGAAGTTTGTGTCCTTTTCTGTACTTGCGATTTTCTCCCCAATCAGATCCTCGTCAGCAGTATCTAATGGCAGGTTTAAAGTTTGTAGAGACATCCGAATTTCTGCGATTCCACTATTCTGAATATCATCTGGAACAAAAACAATATAGTCAGTGTTCAGGGTAATATTCCTAGCCTCACCTTGAACAGTTTGAACACATTGCTCCATGAGCTCTTTTGACATGTAGATGGAGTTCAAATTTACCAATTTCTTCACCTCACTAGCACCGAGAACTTCTTCAAGTGCCGTCTTTGAATCAAGGCCGAGAGTTTTAAGAGTGGACATTTCTGGAAGAATGGGATATTTACAAAAGAAGTCAAGACTGTTACTTACGCAAGAACTCATTCTGCCTATATTGGTTTGTCACACATGTCTTGACAAGGTAATCGTACATCTTTGGTCGATACGAACAAGCAGGAGAAGTTCGTGAGCCGATGAGTGTACCAGGTACTTCCCCTAGAGCTTGAAGGTTTTCAAATGCAATCCAGAACCGTTTTGGTGTGAGACCCACACGCTTTTGAATGGTAGAAATCGGAGTAACTCTAAATGAACATTTCTAAAATGAATGGTTGCCCTAACAACTTACTTGGTCAATGCAACAAGAACAGCACGAAGAACCAATTGTCTAGCATCGAGGAACGAGGATGTATAAATTGTGTCTCCATCCACAACTCCTTCAAAATCAGTTGAGCTCAACTTCTCAATCAGAAGCGACTGGAGAAGTTCTGGAGAAAGATTCAGTGTTTGCAGAGAGCAGCAGTTGTTTGATGACCTTGTTCATCGAGAAGAGAGCGAAGTTCGTTGCGGAGGCTATGCACGTATTCACTGAAATCGAAATCTTAGTTCTACACAAAGAATAACCACTTTGGCCATTTGTAGTTCACATGTTTTCGGTTGAAACCAAGTCAAGAAAATTCAAAGAACGACTAACGTACGTAGCAAACAGTTCAGCATTCGAAAGTGTAAATTCATCGTCACTCGAAACAATCAAACGGGCGGTTCTCTCGATATGATCGAAGTCAATGTTGAGAGCAACAGCAATGTCTGTAAGAGGAGCACGTCCACCAGCAGCAACACATTCGTTTTTGATCTGGAAACAAGGAATATGGAGATGCATCTTAAACTTGATTTCTGATCTCTTCAGAGGCTCTTTCAGACAGATTCCTCATCTCAGATAGTCCCTTCCTCAGCTCTGAGGAAGAAATTGTAAAATAGAGAGCTATAAAAACACGGACCAAGATCCACAATACGAAAATGGCTCACTGCATTTTGAATCCTATTATTTTCTTGGCAAAGTCCACTCGCAAAACTTTGTCATCTAAAAACAAGGTAATTTTTAAACCTATTTTTTAATGGGTGTTAATATTTTTCTAATTTTATTTCCTCATGTCCCTCTCTCTTGTCTACAATAACAAGCCAAGAACCACTGTGGCTTGAAAACAAGATCACATGTTTTTCTTCCAGTTCATTCTGAACTCACACAACGTAAATATGGGGGATACGAGAGACAGAGATAGGGGGACAAGAAATAGTTCATTGCGGTAAACAAGGAGAGGCGGGATTTAGGAAATTCTCTCTTTAGTGACTTCATTGTGTCGCAAGTATGCCGAACCCATCGCCCGCTATTCTAATGCCTACTCGTTCAATTTTGAAACATCCTAAAGTGGAAACTGAGCATCTAGATGTGAGCAATCATACAGTAATTTTGCCTCTAGCCATTTTAATTAGTGTGTGGTAGACATCAAACATCGTCAAGAACTTTTTAGCTCATAATTTTTTGAGATGTTTCACAATAATATAGATGAGGGCAACGTCATGGTAGTAAACTAATTTTATGAATTATATTTCAGCCTCACAACAACCCAACACCCGAAAGTCATCCTTCATCTCCAGCAGCTTCACCAGCTTCCCCGACTCATCCAGACGAGCCACATCATAAGAAGGAATGGTGGCTGCCGTTCAACATTCCGTTTCATAACGGGATTTTCCGCAAAAATGCGGGACTTTAAAAAGCTTTTGATACTATTTTTGTAAATATATTTTTTCAATAAAAATAAAAATTCTTAACCTCCGTTTCGAGATGTTTCTTCGTCACATAAGTGTGTCCATCTCTTGTGTAGACAACATCGATTTGTTGAGAAGCTATCAGTTTTTGGAGAACTTCGATACAGTTAACCTCGGAAAGCTTCTTAGAAGATTGGGTCAACTGCACACGTTGCAGATCGGATGCAAGTTTTTGAATATCCGCCCAGGAAGTCATCTGTTGTTTCAGAACCCGTGTTTGAAGAAAACAAAAACAATTGCAAAATAGAGATTTGGTTTAGAACCAGTAAGGTTAGAGCAGAGTAGGAATCAAACTTCAATATTTACTATTTACTTATCACATGAAAAAAAATCACAGAACCAAGAATAAAATTACCCTTGAAAACTAAAAAAACGGAAGAATATAAAACAGCAGAGACCCATTTGTTAAATTATTGCATATCAAATTGATATTGTAATTCGTAAGCTAAAAATCATCATTCTTATTGCCCACTTTCTCGGCTTCTGCTACAGTTTGCACTACAGGAACGACACTTTCGTTCTCTTTTTTAATTTTGAATCGATCAACGACTCCTCTCAATCCATCAACATCGCCAGCCGTCACACCAAGACTTTCAGCACTTTCCAGTAGGAATTTCGCGTCGTGGTAGATTTGACACTTGATTTTATCATCGTCCGATACACTGGCCCCCGATTCTGGAGTTGTTTTTCGTTTGAATCGAGACAAAGAAGAACCAGTTGCTTCTACTCCATCTTGGACCTAAAAAAAGGGATAGCGTATTATACATTATTTATTTCACTAACCTCTTTAGCCTTTCCAACGAAATAGCACAATGCAGTATGACTGACATCTTTGATCATTTTCTCTACGTTTGGATGCTCTTCTTTTCTAAAAAAAAAAGGAGATTTAGATCTTTAGATATTCTTTTTCACTTACTCGATTTCCTCTTGGAAATTTTTTATCATCTCAATTGCTGATGTAGTATATTTCGAATGTGATGTGGGTGGAGCCCGTTTGGTCCATCTATACTGCTTAGGAACATCGGAAACTTGTGATAACTCTCGATGAAGAGCGTCGGAGAAAAAGCTCAAGACGTCTGCATCCAATTGCTCACAAAAGGTGTCAACTGCTCTTCCATGTTTCGTCAGGCACTGTCCGAATGGAGCGGTATCAACAGATAAATCGCTGAAATTTGCTGAGAGCGAGGGTTGAGACAGAATTCAATAACACTTACTGTAATTTGCCCCACATAGTTTCTAGAGCATGATCAAACACTGCTTGATGTAGTTTCTCAGTATCAGATCGTAGGAGAAGCATCAACATCCAATCTCTTTTTTCTTCGACAAGATAACTGAAAGAACACATATTTAATCTATAAAAATGAGTGCCAAATTTACTTTTTGATAGATTGACTCCAACTGTAATGTTTTAAAAGCATTCTCAATGTGAAATCCCATAGCTTGTCGACAATCGGCTCTAAGTACACCCCATCACTCCAAACATGTTCAATCGCAGCAAAAATTGATTTCGAAGTTTCAAAATGGAAATCTTCTCCATCGATTTTGTCGCACACTTCAAACTTTTCCGGCAGAAGCAACTGATCGATTTTCTTATTGAATTTATGGGTTTCCAACTTGAAATAGACTAATAAATTGAATTTGTCTCTCAGTGATTTTAGTAGTGTTCTGCATGATGGAGCTGATGGCCAGGAATTAATGAATCGTTGAGTGGCGATGAAACATTGATGGAAAAGACGAGTGTCGCTTGGAACAGCAACAGTCCCCATGCACTGAAAATACCTCATTTTAGATTAAACAGAAAAACTTTTTGAATTTACCTTATCGATGAAGGTGAGGGCAAAAGTAAGAAGTGTGTCATCCAGAAAGCTCCGAATTTTCTCACGAAAGTGGTGACCTAGTTTTTCTGCCCATGTGTTGCGCATCTGAAAATATAAATTTTGTTTCAGCTTTAACGAAAATTCTCACCATTTGAACATTTTGATAAACCTGCTCCAGTCGTTCTAATTGACTTTTCTTTTCATCCTCAACGACAAACTTGGGGTAGAGAAGGTCCGAAACAAGATGGGCGGTCAATGAATGAGAGTTTCCAGTCAGTGTAAGGATTGGAAGAATTAATGGAAGATTTTGACAATCCGTTGACGCACTACGAACGCCTTCTTCGCATAGAACGGTGTCCAGCTTTGACAAAACAATAGCTTCTGCATTCTTTTCTTCTTCAGAGTATTGGTACGACAAAGATGTTGATTTGAGTTCGACAACGAAGTTTGCAGCTTTCTGGAGCCTACAGAGTCAATTTTTGAAAATGTACTACGATTTAATACTTACCACAACACTGAACAACTTTTCGGCGGTCTTCTCAGCATTTCTGATAATTTTTCAATGACACACAAGAAAGCAACTCGATCACGAAGTTCTGCTTGTTTCTCACGATTCGAACTGAGTTCATTGCATTTTTGCTCAATCCTCTCTGCCATTCCAAGTGATTCCTTTGTAGAATCCTCAAATTCTTTCCAGTTTCTCTGAAATATACAGCATTTGTATTGAAAAATCAGAAAAAGTGCTTACATTTACATCCAACTCGATTTTATTTAGCGATTCCTGCAGACTGACCAAGTTTGACGATAAATGTACGAAATCTGCATAATCATCGTTAATCAACTCAATCATCGAATTTTGAACGCTTTTCAAATAGAGACGAAGGTCTTGTTGAATAGTTTTCAGATCAGCTTTTCTGAAAAAAAGTGTTTTTCACAAAGTTTTAAAACTAAACTCACTGTCTAGCTAAATTCATAAATCTTTCAACATTGAAATCGTCTCGATTGAAATGTGTTTTATTAAAGCACAACTTGGATTCATCGATGGAAAAAGCCATGGGAGATGTGAACATGGTCGAACCATGCGGTGTACCCATTTTGAGTATATAACCTGTAAATTATATTTTCCATGAAAATTTATAAAACCTGAGAAGGAAGAAACAGTATATCTCAAAACCTATTTTTCTATGTCAAAACAACAATGCGGACAGCGTGGCAAAATGCCTGCTGGCAAACGCGCTCTGCTGAACAAAAGAAAACGAAGGAAATTTTCGGCGCTGAAGTTAAATAAAATTGTTCTGAAAAAATCTGTAATATTAAGAAGAATAATTGGATTGAGTGTTTCGAAAAAAAGTGATGGTCAGCTTTCAAAGAAAACGAAAGTTTCTAATTTCCTCTCAAGTTGGAACAGGGGTGTATTGCTCAAAAAACATGAATTTTGATAAAAAACTTTCGACTGCGGTAGTGTTTTATAAAGTCCATTGTTTACAGTAATTTTTAATCTGCAGGAAAGATTCAATATTTTTCCCTAGTTCTTGTGTTTTATTGTGAGAAACATGTTATATCCCCATTTACTGTCAGTCAATGCACAAAATCGCTGAAAATTTTCTTCAGATTCCACATTTCATAAGGTCTCATGAGGGATAACTGTATGACTGTATGCATCAAAAACCAACGAAAAAAGAGAAATGTTTATTCGAAAATCATATGACAAGAGAAAGAATGTTGCAAGATGGCAAGAGATCATCAGATAAATTCGTTCAGTTTCCTTTCAAAAATTTACAAAATATGGAGTCAAATACTATCACAATAAGGAACCATTATCCTCTTCAATCCTTCGTACACTATTATAAACTTCATTGAATAATCGCATATAAGTTCCACACAATTCTCCAGTTCCTGTTTTCAACCCATTCGAAAGGTAGGTTATGGATATTTGAGATTCTGTATCCATATGAACAAATTGACCACCATAACCAGGATGACCAAATGTAAAAGCTCCCGGGACTAATGGGTGCTTCTCGTAGAAAAATCCATGTCCTTTGATAACTGGCCAGATGGTCACTTTCTCCAAATGCCAACTATTCAGTGTAGGTTCGGAGATTTCTAGAAGAGTCGTGTTGGATATTATTTCCTGAAACAAAAACTCAATATAGGCCAAATTCTAAAGTCCGACGCACTTTTTCCACGATCATTGACAGTAACCTCGAAACATCCCGAACATTGGCAACAGCAGTTACAGCTGGAAGGTTCAGAGACACTATTTCTGGATCATTCAGAACCATGGTGTCCTGCAATTAAAGCTTTAATTCTAGTATAAAACTTCAACAACTTACATAATTGACCAACAACCAATCTGGATTGGATCTCATCTTATCGACTAAAGTGTCAAATCTGACATACATGAGTCCTAACATAATAAGAATCTTTGGATCTTTGATGATATCTCTCGTAAACTCCCAGAGAGAAGGCATAGTCAATCGGGTCAGATATGGAGCTTCTGACTTTTTGGCGCCGATTTGAATGTCGAGGTCTGAACAAAACAAAAACTTTATGAAGGAAATTCCAACAAACGCAATACCATAAGGCTGAGCAATCTCCTCCTCAAAAAATGCCTTGATGTCTCTTCCTTGTGGATCCGCTTTTCTAACCAGTCCATCTAAAATGAATCCAAAAGTAACTGCATGATATCCAGACGCGGTTCCAGGTGTCCATGCAGGAACTGAGTTCTCCACTTTCTCCATAATTTTCCATCCATTTTTGACATCTTCTATAGAAACTGTGTCACTGAGATATGGGAGTCCGGCTTTATGAGAAAGAACATCTTCAACAGTTGTTCCATTCTTTCCATATTTTCCATATTCTGGCCAGTACTCGATTATTCTGTCATCATAATTCAGATAGCCACGATCTACCATAATCGCGATTACAATAGAGCTGATGGCCTAGAAATACCAAAGCTCTAGTGACTGGATATAATTGTAAAACTCACTTTCGATGCAGAAAACATCACAGTCTTCGTATCTTCCTTCCATTTTCTCTGTGATTCTTTATCTGCATATCCACCCCAAAGATTCACAACTTCCTGTCCTTTATAATAAACTGCAAACGCAGCACCGTCTCTTTCTTCTCCTTGACCGAAATTTCTTCTGAAACTAGTGATTATATGTTTTCAAAACTTGGATAGTTACTTACCGGAAAGCTTCTAGAACACTCTGAAATCTCTCATCCACATATCCACTAACATCGTCATCATTGACATAAGGAGTAAGCCAACAAGATAAGAAAGGTTGTACTACAAAGGGAATCGCAAATAGATATAAACATCCTAATGTGTCAAAATCTAGTCGCATTTCTGAAAGTAATTAAATTCAAGTTGATTAAACAAAAATAACAGAATGGGACAAAAACTGAAACGAGGAGTACTTATAATTGAAGAATTCGTACAGAAAGAATGTGACACCAAAACGAGGAACAAGTTTCTCAGGGAACAATGACCGAAAGTGTCTAAAAACAAAATGATGATAAAATCTTTGTGCCCTTTTATACAAACAGTTGTTGCTGCTGTCCTCGTGGCAAACCAGGTCAGTGGGAGGAGCCAATTGTTTGTACAAGCAATGTTCGGAGCAACACTACAGAAGTTATATCCAGATGTTCAGAAGGAGCAAAAAAGGGGAGAAACCCCGTAAAGTTGTTGTGTGTATGTTTTGAATTGACCAGAAGAGGGAGAGGACGTACCGAACTCGCCTATTGTGTTGTGGTGAGTGATAAGATTAAAAGAGGAGTGATAAGACCAGCGAAAGTTCAAAAATATAATATAGTGAGCTAGAGAGCAAAGTGATATGTAGCCCTAAGATTTTATAAAACCAGCTATTCCAGAACATTTGAAATCGTCTATTGTTAGATTTTCAAAGGGGTTATGGTTGCAAAAAGTGAATACGGCCTCATGGAAAATAGTTTTGCAGCACAACGTGGAAGTGAAAAGGCTGATACAGTACTCTGGAAGAATAAAAAAGACAACTGCAAAACTTTTTATTTATTTGTGATTGCATATTCTGATATTTTCAGAACGATCGGAGGTACCATCTAATGGACGATATGATTCTAATCCCAGAGGACCTAATATATTTCAAAATATCAAACAAAAAAAAAGGAAAATTATCAGAGAAAATATTAAAATAACCTACAGAGAGCCTCAACTCCTGTAGACTAAACCACCCGGCCCTAGTTCCTAGAAACTGATAACGGAAACTGCTGAATCTGTGCATTTTCTCCTCTCTCTTATGATACATGATATCTATTTTTGATCAGAAAGTGTGAACCCGAAGGCTAGTGCACACTGAACTTGCTCTTGTTCTCTTTCTTGCCCATCTCATCAATTTTCTCGTTATCAAACCATGATTTTTTGTCAATTTCATTTCATGATGTATCCATGTCTTCCGTGTCAGGCAACCATGATTTATGCTGAAGTCTAGAAAGAATTGCCAGGAAAAACAAACGAAATGAGGTCTTGAGACTATGACCAAGCAATGTTCTACTTTCTATCTGAACTGTGTAGTGTCCGACTTTTTCACAAACTACATATTTGTGCTTTTTTGACGACTTGAGCAAATATCATTCGTTGTTCACAACTTCCGAGCATACGTAAAAAAAACAATTGACCGATATTTTGAAAGATGAAATAAATGTTTCGGTTGTTTAGAATCATGTCACAGGGATGAGGATTCATTTTCAGCAACTCAACTTTTCCCAGTTTTTATGTAATTTTCCTTGTTTATTCGAAAATGAAAATTATTAAATGTTAAAAAATTCAAATAAATTATTTCTTTTTTTGGACCCTAATAAATTGTTTTCTAGGTTTTGATTAAAAATTACAAGAATTTCCAGTTTTATACTTACAAAAATTTCCGGCCCATCATATTTCTATTTTCTTTTGTCATTAAAAGTTTCAAACCTAGGAAATCATTTTTTGCCAGTTTCCTTTTCAAAAGTTGAACTCAAAACTAGGAATAACTACAAACTCTATGTACAACGCTTCCTTCTCTCGAAAATAAATATGTATGTCTGAAATTAAATTGAATTTTTATGCTTTCAAAAATAACGATTTTTCGTTATTTTCCGAGGGAAACCACATTGAAAAATCCGTTTTCTTCTTTAAAACCAAAATTGTTTATCTGGTGACGTCAGACATCCAATAATTGGTTCAATCGAAGAGATAACTTGTCACAATGTGACATCTCATATATGGTATTTTGTTAAACCGGTCCATTGTTCTTCTGGGAAATCTAACTATATTTTATGTTCACTCTTACATAATGAACATCTTTAATAATTATTGTTTTTCCGATGATTAAAAAACGAGCAGTCAAGTTTCTGTTTATGTTTGCATTACTCATTCACACAGAATGTTTCACATTTTTTCTATTCTGTATCAAAGAGAATACCAAAAAAAGCGGAAGAAACTCATTGAAAACAACAACAAACTAGTATAAAACTAGTGGCAAATGATACTACAGCAAATCCTAACACAATGATCAAAAAAGTGTTGTTTCTATCCTTATTGGTAGAACTTGTATTAGGAGCTCCATTAAGCCATGATGATGTCATTTCGCCAGAATTTCGTCAGGTATGAACTATGTGAAAATACTGAAAGTTAGGTATCATTCTTCCAGAAAACGTTTTTCTCTAACTACTGCAAATTTAATATTTTGTTGGAGAAATCTGACTCTTGTGAAATAGAGAAAATGGAACCATTGAAGGTGGGCAATCAGTTTTTAACTGTATTTGAAACTTATTTTTCAGGAAGGAATTTCTTGTGGAATCTGCTGTAATTGACTGCTTGAAAGCTATGCCTCTCTCTGATCAAGTTTTTTTTTGCAAAACTTATTTTTGATTCTCCTTCAAGAAAAACATACAATACTTAAAATTTACATTTGAATAAGCTTTTGTATCATTTTTTGAATCGTTTTTCTGCTTTTCTTGAGTCAACAAAAAACATAAAAATATATAAATTAAAAATTCATTTTCTTCCCATTTTTCCTATCAAAATGAAATTGTTCTTTGCATTTGAAATTTTAATAATATTATCTCTAGTTCAGATATCCGTAAGTAACTAGTTGCTCTCCTCCAAATTTCCGCTCCTTTTACAGTCTGCATATGTCACCAAAAACATCACGGTGGATCGAGCAGTAGATCAAATGCTGCTCAAAATTGAGAGTGCTGTTCGTCACCGGAATTCCACCGAATTTGATTCTTTCTTCTCTCCGAAATTCGATTCAGAATGTGTGTGGAAGTTTCTTGAATTGAGAGACGGAGTATGGAGAAAATGCAAAAGGCTGAAACTTGAGCTCTAAAATTATTTATTCCAATAAAACAGTTGTTGTACCTACCCGTCTATTTACTTGTTTTCAGCTTGGTTCGATCGATATTATTCGGAACTCACAGAAACTCAACTAGATTCTTTCGTGGTTTGTAAACCTACTATTCTGTCAAGGATCTGTCAATTTCAGCTTCGCCGTTTCGGCCACGTGGATGCTCGCGGGAAGGACTATAAATTCAAATTTACGGAATCTCATAATGTTACTGAGAATCTTCTTCTCCGATCTTTTATTGCATGGACCAAAGGGACACCTTCCAATCAGTTTGCAATTCAAACTATCCGATACTATGGAGAATATTGACAACTTGGAATGACAATTGTTTCTAACTACTTATCTCTTTGTTAAATAAACTAATTTCATGAGACTATAGAATTATCTAGTTAGACTGAAAAACAGATTTCCATGATATTGAAGTTTGAAGTGGTCAATTTAGATTGTACATTTCAAATTGCTCATAAATTTACAGCTTGGCTATAAGTAATTGTTTTTTCTAAAATTAAAATGTTCACAGGCTCACATGAACTTCAGTGCATGCAATTCCAATCAAAAACCCTCACAAAAGTTTTCTTATCAGTATTTCCGTTATTCCATGTGTCCACTTTCCAACTTCAAATATTGATTTTATTCTTTTTTCTTGAAATGTAAAATGTCCTTGAATGTACTCGACCTCGAAGAACTTCATACTCCAGAGACTAGAACAGAGGAATGCGAGGTGAAAAAGGGAAAGAACGGAAACGGGTTTAGTGAGTTGAAAGTTAGATGCATATGACATTTAATACAACTTTTCAGCACTCCGTTCATATTTCGTAACATTTGTTGCCTTCCAGTTTGCCGTGTATTTTTGATTTTGGGGTTACTAAACTACAAAAAATGCTCACCGGTACCACGAATCCGAATTTGGATGATTTTGGTTGGAGCACTTTTGTGTTTGGAAAGAGGAATAGCCATTCGACGGCTGATTTCAAAATCAATATTTGATAAAGAAGATATTGAATTATCAGATCATGAAGCCTGTTTCAGACGGGAAACAAAAAGGAAACAATTGAAATCAAGACCGGTATCCCAGGATTTCATATGGCTGCTTTTAGTGGTTTTGTGAGTTTTCTTTCAAAAAATTTCTAGATTTTAATTATAAAAACTCAGGATATAGAAATTTTTCAATTCACTTGCTTATGAGCTATTAATTTAAACTGTTACGGTTCCTATTTTCAGGTCAATGCTCAGTCTCACATGGCTTCTTAATAAACCTAATTCTGGATCTTGCGACGACATCGTGTTTATTTCTGTTATGCTATTTTCAGGCATCATTCTCTTATCATGTTTTCTTGCTGTATTTTATGTATGTATATGTTTTTGTTGTAGAAAAATTTGTTGTTGTGCAAAAAAATAGATCATGACTTCTTGAAAACGTTTAATTTATGAATCTTCAGAACTTCCGTGGGGTTGATATTGGGGTTGCACAGCTGATGGTCTCTTGTTGCAACAGAAAAGTGTTTTGACTATAGCCATCATATTTCTCTTGTTGCAACTCAAATAAGATAGTTGCATTAAAACGGGTGTCACAATATTATCCACTGACATCAAGAAAAGAACAACAAAAAATGGTTGGAAATTATGAGCATGAATAAGAAAGCTAAGTGGAATAGTGATCTATAAAATAAGTTGAATAAATTACTATTAATAACACAACTTACTAATTTGAACAAAACTAAATTGAATGCCTGCCAAACGATATACCGTTCCGGATTACTGTATGAAGCACTTGCTCGTCGTTTCTTAATGCTTATCAGTAGAGGAATACACAAAAGTGACAATACAACATTAGAAATATTGAAGGCGATGAAAACCATCTGGAAAAGATTTCGTTCATTGTAAGCAGCAAAAGGTCTATACTGTGTAGTTCTACTTCATACTTGAAAGTTCAGATTTGCCTGGCTTTGACAATGTAGAGGAGCCAAAAGAAAAGATACTGACGATATCTTTTCCGGCAACCATTAAATAAATTAGATAAATCCAGTCATGTATAAACTTTTGAAAAGCTAATACAAATTGTTCAGTTGATGGAAAGAAGTGAGTGAAAAACTTAAAAAGAACCAAAAAAGCAGAGACAAACTGGAAGACTTGAATGGTAATGTGTATGATTAGGAAAGATAAAAAGGCAGGGACTGCCAAACCGATAATGATGAGTCTAAAATTTCAAAAAAATTTGAAAATGTTACAAAAGGATGTTTACGGTTGCTGCAAACCAACGTAGTACATGAAGCATAACATGATGCATATTATGAACAAGAAGAAGTAAATTTTCTTGACAATTTTGTAAAAATGTCGGGAATAAATAAAAACAGGAACTGTTCATCTCGTTTTTTATTTTTCCCGTTCACATAGATAAAAAAATGGAAATATAAAGATGAGGAGTAACAAAATGACAACAAAACCTACACATAAACCATATATATTTTGAATACCAACATCTCCAATGAATATCAGGACTTGAATTTCAAAAGGGAGGCTTAAAGTGTCCATAGTTATGAGTCTAGAAGCTTGCAATTTGCGCTTGCTCCACTAGATTGAAAAATGAGAAATGTGAAAGTGTGACTCGAAAAATTGAATTTAGCTGTTGTTATGACAATCTAAGTGAGTTTTTTGCACTGCGTCCAAACTTCGTTAGCAAATCAGGAAATCTTTATGACAAATCAAGCGAGATCAAGAAAATCAGTTTTTATTAATTCGAAGATTTACAAAAATGAATCGTCGTTTGTAGAAGACTTCTCGTTGAGAAGGTATGTCTCGGTGCACACGGATGCTGAAATTTACAATTTAATTCACAAAACTCTCTTCAAACATACATTCAGTCTCTGACGGTTTGATTCTGATCTGCTCACGAGCCAGAAGGTTTGTTCTCAGTTTTGGATCACTCGACTCATTTGAGTAATGGACAAGTGAACGTGGAGTTGAGCAGCAAGGCACGAGCTCGGTTAGACGACTGAAATTTTTAAAATTCTGATATCATTGAAAAATCAAAAATCTCTTCTGATTCTCAAAACATGTAATTTTTTGAATCGAGAATTTTCCTCTGAAATAAATTACAGATTACAAAACCCTCCTCCGCATTTCTGCTAATCACTTTGTTTTCACTCACGTTTTCACCATCTCTCGGAATTTGTCTGAAAACACCAAGTAGACGAAGAACGAGAGCGAAACGTTGCACAGACCAAGGAAAACGGCTGAAATAGATGAAATCGTATTTAAATCTACTGTCAAAAAATCAAACTAACCAATAGTGTTCCAAACGCAAATGGCTGGTTCATTAGTCACACCAGGACCGAATATAGTGGCGTACAAGAAAACAGGGATTGGGGGAAGTTCGGCAACTAACTGGAGTCCAGTAGTGATCAAAGTGATGCGGGTTACACAACGCTTTTCGGCTCTGTAAACATAGTTTCATGCTATAGAATAGCTGAAGTTTCAAATCGACTACTCACGTAAAATGGGTGACAAACTCGGTTTTCTTCAAAACCAATTTCCACAAAATTGATGATGCCATAAAGAGAAGTAGACCCATTGGAACGACAATAGCAAGGATCAGATTGGCAAAAGTGTGCAATTTCTCCAGACAGATCATTATGAAATCTGAGACTATGATTTTTAGAATTCTAGGATTTCAGTGGGGTTTGACCTTCAGATGCATGGATGGTTGGAATAACACGATTACAATGGGTTGACATACTGACACTTCTATTGAATTTGTACATCAATGCCAACAGAGCACCAACGGAAATGATGATCATGTAGCTACGAGAGAGGTTTCGTTTGGTGCAAAGACTTTTAGAATGGGATGGAAAAAAGACGTGTAGATAACATTCGGCAGTCATGAGAACAGTCAACCTTTAAAATAAGCCATTCCCCAATAATTGAAAAGGAAACTTACCACATGGCACAGAACCCAAAAAGATTTACAAAATAGATTTGATATGGATAGTAAATCCAGTAAATCTCTTCAAATCGCGACTCGATTTCCCAAGCAGAAATGATGCGCAAAGCTTGGGGAAGCATACAAATCAAAGTGAGAGAGTTCATGAGCTAAAAAAAAGAACTTTTATTTTCAGATTCTATCCTATTCCTCGATCACTAATTAAACTAACGTAGATCCTCACCAGTCTAGTGCACAGCATACGGATAGCAATGTAGTATTTGATATGGTCCGAGTTGTAAATCAAAAGATTGACCACATTTCCGAACAATGCCAACAGAAACACAAAGATGAAGCCATAGCCAACAAGCCAAGTGTACAACGGACGGTTCTCACAAGAATTGGCAATACTGTCACACTCTTCTTGTTGAGCTTGGTTGATTTTGTCAATTAGAAGTTGAAGAGGATCCACAACCTCTTCTGGGGATGCTGATGATGGAGCAGTGGTGGAATTGATAACCACAGATGCGGCGTGGAACATGAGACGCTAGAAAACGATATAAGATAGTCTCTTATGAGTCCTATTTTGGTTTTCAAGATCATTATCTAGGTTGCTGAAAGAAATTGAGGGAACTTAGGAATTTGTTTTTTTGCATATTTTTTAGGAGAAATCAAACGGTGCTACAACAAAACACTGAAAAACCACTTTAATCAAGAAAAAGCTCAGAAAGACATGAAATCTCTGTGAAAATATTCATATTCAAATGAAACGTTTCGAAGGAGAAGAGGAAATAACATATCTCCCCCATAAATTTATGTTCTTTCCTCTTCCGCTTCTTGTCACGAGTCGCACCAGTTTCTATAGAAATTAGAGTCGTAAATCTTCCGATTTTATATGCCTAATTTTAGTAGAGAAGTTTAAAAAAATGTTTTGAGCGAATCCAGGAAAAATCAAACACACAAAGTAACTCACCGCAATAGGATCCAACCCGAGCATTGGAGCAATAATTGATGGTGGAGGGTCATCATCGGTTTCGTTGAAAGTTGAGTTCATTGCAACTCGGAACTTTCAAAGCAAAATGAACAAAGTTGAGGGCGATGAACGAAGAAGCGAACGAGGCTCCACCCCCTTTTAAGACCAATTAAAGGGGCGGAGCTTTAGTCTTGAGAAGCGGGTTTTTAATCGGTATAAAATCTAAAATTATGTATAATTTGGTCATTTTGTTGGTGAAATATCACAAGGTAGCGGGAGAATAATTACAGATTACATAGAAAGAAGAATTCTTGGAAATCATTTTGCTCTGATACACATTTACTATTAGAAATGGATTTCTGATGATAAGTAGAAAAACGAAGAGAAAAAAAGTTTCGAAGAATGTGGATCAGAGATTTATACTTTGTACTCACTTTACAAAATACAAAAACGGAAGCTATACTACAAGGAACGATGGCGCATTTTTACCAAAAATAAAAAGCGAAACTCTGTGATCCGCCTAGATCCGGGAAAAAGTAGGCGAGCCAGTGATCATCCGAAAATGCATTCGTAAGTTCGAGATTTGTCGGATTAGGGATGAGCAATAGGAGAAAAATGCATTATTTTTCAGTTTGAAGTGATTAAAGGACACCAGCAAAAAAAACTGGCATATTTTTTAATTAACAAAATTCGAGAGTATCATGACAACATAAAACAAAGATATAGTCAATTTTGAACCTTAATTAAATCTCACATCAATTATATAATCATGATTAATCCGTATCTAAAATCCAAACAATGGGAACGTGAGGAAAAAACTGAAAGCAAATAGGATTTAAAAAAAACATCTTTTGTCTAACAATGAGGTAATCACATCATTTTCTATTCCAAGGTTAGCTAATCTTTTTCATTGTAGACTGTTGACTCTTGGTTTCTAAAAACTCCGCAAACCAGAACGGATAGAAAGTTGAAACTCTGGAAATTCTGTATCCCGTGAAGACGTCTCGATTGGCATCAAAGATCAACTAACTTTGTAGTGACTAGTCGTGTCAAGACCATTATTTATTCATTTCCCCTTTCTTTGTTCTATCTTGGCTCGTCATCCAAAAAGGGTCAGAAATATACCAAACCGGGAAGAAGTTGAAAATTACACAAAAATTGGAATCTTCATAGCTTTACCAGTCCAAAAAGTAGTGGGTGGATAGAAAGAAACGTTTTATTAAAATTTAAATTTGGAAAAATTCATTCGTAGTTAAAATTACATGCATAAATTAAATGGGAGGGTGGTTAACAAAAATAAAAAATTCTAAAAGGATTTAGGACAACAATAGCAGGGCAACAAATAGTCGTTTGCACTCGGAATCAAATTTTCAGTATGGAAAATTCAAAATCTGGAAGAAAAATAATAAAAATTTCGGGGATGATTAAATTAGTGATCTACAGATTTTCATTTTTTTTTCGGGATTTATTGAACCTCTATTGGGAAATGTTGTATTTAAAAAACAAAACTCCGAACTTCAGAGAAAAAATTTAACATTTCTTCAATTACAAAACTTTCCAGTTTTTTGAGATAACTTTTCTGAAACCCGATTTTTTCATCTATTCTTTGATTCTCAGTCATCGTCTGGACTCCAGACACTATAAATCTTCTCCTCGACTATTTTTTAACCAAACACCCGAAAAACCCAATCTCTTCATTTTGCCATTTCCGTCAGGCGTCCAGAGTCAGAAAATTAATGAGAATATACGTTTTTTTTTTACTTTTCTCATTAAAAAATCCAATATGAGTTTGGTAAGAGGGATGAAGTGAAAAGTGGGACGAATTAGAAAAGAAACGAAAAAAGGGAATAGGTAAATTGAAAAAAAAAACGCTTTCATATTGAAGATCAGAGATGGTTGACTTTGTTTTTATTGAAATTAGATACTTTAATATTCAAAAAATGTTGAAAATAAATTTAGATTTTTTGAACAGGTGATCAGATGGTTTTCTGGTAAAAATACATGCAAAGTGCATAACAAGTTTGCAGATTGAACTTTAAATCTACTTTTATAAAGTTTCCCTACAATTATTGACCAAACTAGCGTTCAATGCAAAAATGTTGTTTGATAATCAAACTCATGAGAAAAAAAATTGCTGGGTACGAGAATTATGAAAAAAGTTTCCAAATTAAAAAATTACTACTGGATCACATGCACTTCTTTAAATGGCAAAAATCCAGCAATACGAAGACTAATGAAAAAACTCTTTAAAAACCTATTTTTAAAAATTGAAAAGTTCGAAAAATTAACAGAACCAAAAATGAGAAACACTCAAATTTCACATCCCATTTGGTTCGAATGAGAATTGGTTCAAATGACCTTCGTATATCGTCTTTCGTTTTGAAACACAATTTTTGAAAACCAGAAAAAAAAGGATGTTTGAGCTTCAAAGGGTCAAAATGAGAAGATAAGGGAACTCCTGATAACTGATTTGCAAATTGGAAAGGTTTGAAAAGGGGAGTTTTCTGATAAATTATGTTTGAGAATAATATTGACCTTCCGGGAAAACAGTTAACAAAAAACAATAAAATGCTTATTTGCCATACTTGAGCAGTCACTAATTTATTTATGGTGCTAACAGTCTAAAGGTTTTTCTATTTCAGATTAATACCGTAAACCCTGTAATAGAAGGGCTCTCTTCCAAATGTGTTGTTTGTAATTGAAAACTTCCGGAAAAAAAATATAAAAAGATATTTCGGGAATTCCACGGTTTCACAGAAATTGTTGAAAAACGCTTTTTTTTGCTCAAAAACTTGCTCAATTATTGTGAAATTGATAGATTTTAATGATTTTTTTTTTTGAAAATTCCCTGCATTTTTCAATGTAACATTTTGAAAAAAAGGAAAATAGAGAGAGGGACCCTCTAATTGGAGGGTCCTCCGGGAGTATCTTGGAACACTAGGCGGGCCGGCCCTTCCGCAGGTTTGTTTTTTTACGGGTTTTACAGTATATGAAATCAGTACTTCTGTGATCTCAATAACAGTCTCATGCCTCTGTTCCCTTTGATGTTCAAAAACTTTCGACCTTTCCCACTCATCACATCTATTAAATTTTGTCTTCACATTGCCTCTTTTTTCTCTCGAAACACATTGAAACTGCTGCTCATTTATCTGTCGAAATGCCTATAGAATATTTGAAGAGAGGGGCGAGAGACAACTGTCACTTTCTTTCAGTTCATTTTGTTTCTTATCACTGATTGGTGTCATCAGGCACCACGTGTTTTGACCGAAATTTTGAAAACGTTTTATAGGTTTTACTGAATTCGAGAGTCAATTTTTGAGTGATCTCCGATACAGTAAAGTTCAGTAGTTATAGAAGAGGATCACATAATTTTTGCAACCTTTTGATTTTTCAAAACTCTTATTTTCCAGATCCAGAACAAACAATGTCTCTGTCCAACGAACGTAAATCTTTATTCTAGAAAAGATGATAAAAACATGTTCTTTCTTCCAGAAGCGGAATCTATTTTGGCTCCATTAATGAAGCAGTATCTTGAAGCACTCAACACCTCCGACTGGAAGGCCGTGGAGAACTTTTACCACGTCAACGCCGTCATGATTGAGAAGGGAAAGAGCTGCATGTTCGGCAACCAAGGTAATATTTTTTCATTGTTTGATGAATCCCACTGTTTGATGAATCCCACTGTTCAGCTATTGTGGACAGTTTCAAAGGAATGGGAGCCGAGTTTGGAAAGTATGAAGTTCAAGTGAGTTCATCTATTTCTCTTTGGATTGTATACTTTCCTGGTCTAGATCTCAAACTCTCGCTATGAAGGTGTTGGTGACTTCGTCAACATCCACACCGATTTCAGCTTCGTGACTGAAAAAGTAGGTCAAATGTAGATCACCAGAATATGTCTATGGTTTTCAGCAAGGAGTTCTTAGCGGGAAGTTCATTCAAATCTGGCAGAACGAGGGAGGAAAGTATGCCATTCTCCATGATCAGTTTGAGATATAATTCTTCAAGTTTCATATGAACAATTTATAGTTTTTATCATGAAGATCAATTTTTAGAGGATTACAGAAATACAAACATTATTGTCAAAACTAGAGTTCAAATGATATAGTTTTTAGAAAAGATCAGTTTGGATGACGGCGTCTCTGACGGTTACCACAAGTTCTTTCCGAACGAAGTCGTACTCTGGAAGATGCTCGATTTGCTTGGATCCTCGTGGTGCTGGAGCTCCAATCGAACAGGTGGCCATGTTAATGTTCATCAAGGAGGTTTGGGAGTCTTCGGAACTCTGAAACATGATTCTTAGGACTGTTAGAAAGACACAACTTATTCTTTGAACATTTATAAAGAAGGCAAAGTTTTGAAACATCTTCTCAACATTAGGGACCAACCTCTCTCTCCTTATCCAACACCTCCTTTTTCTTTGTTGCCTTCTGTAGAGCTGTGGTTGTCGTTGTTTTCTTCTTCTGAGAAGAAGATCTCTTCTTTGATCCACTCCTGCTATCCACTTTCTTCTTCTCTTTGTCTCCAACCTTCCGACGTTCAGGGAGTACAGGGGATCCCACATTCGATGATGGCGCAGCAGTGAAGATAGGTTTTCCATCTGAGTCGATAGTAATGCTTATTATTTCAGACATGACTAAAATTCGTTTCGGCTGAAATTGGAGTGGAACGTGGTTTAACTAAAAATCTCAGACTCCTACTTGTTTTCCTCTGTTTTCGAGGTCTTTTTGTTTTTTTCGTTTTCAACCAAAACAACAAAAAACTCACTGCCTCCAATTATGATCTCCATAGGAACGGAAGCTGCAAAATAAACACAAATCAAAAATGAGTTTTAAGAGGAAAGCTTTTACCACGACGAGAAGCTAAAGCTGGATTCCATTCGCTTGAGGATGATGACACTTCCGATGACATTCTGAAATTCTTTAATTAGTGATTGAATTTGGAAAAAGATTTAGCAATCTGAAAAAAATAGATATAATATGAAAATTACATGCTGCTCTTGAAGCTGGCAGTATGGCTAACTAGGAAAGGTTGTAACTGGGCCCTCAAATGTCAATTTTCTTAATTTAAAGCCTAATTTTATCGAATCTGGATGTCCGCAGCAAAATCAGGATATCTTTGAAAATGTCTCATTCTCAGCTTAGAAATGATATAGGTCTCATACCAAAGTTCCATACCCTAGCAACAGCCTTCCCTAGTAGGATTATTTTCATTCCAAATTCTAAACAAACTATAAACATAAGTGTACACCTAAACCCTAGAAATGTGTAAGTGATAAGTATGCGAATTCGCCTTCCGCTTCACATAATTTTACTTCTCTTTAGCTCCTGCCGAGTGCTTGTGTACCTAGATTTCGTAATAAGATTAAAGAGAAGAGAACTAAAATTTGTGTAGGTGCCCACTGATTAGGGCTTTGGAAATATGAGTAAAATTGCGAAATCTGTTTTGAATTCTCAGTCGTTATTCTTGGTATTTACTGTCTACCGGATTGACCAAAAATCAAAAAACCACTGAAAGTTTTTGTATACTAGAAGACTAATATCAACAAAGCAGATGGAAGCTTCTAGAACAAACAAAATGATGACAAGAAATGGAGAATCAAACGATGTGTGGTGCCAGCCTAATTAATGCTCATGGGATTTGGGAAAGGCTTGTTTTGAACAAATGACAGCAAGAGTAACTTCTGATTAAAAAAAGAAGAGAAAATATTGATAACTTACCATGACGAATATGTTCACCTGAATGAATAGTTCCGCTTCTTTTTCGATGCTCCGAAGAGTGAATCACTGAAAAAATGTTGAAGATGAATGAAAATCATCTTGGTTTATGTGTTCATGTGTAATAAAAAAGAATCCAAAAAGCTCATACAACTTGCTTTTCAAGTATTAAGTCATTTTACAGAAGCCTTAGAACGTATGTTTCAATTTTCAAATGGAAAAATTGATGAAGAATCTGAAAAAAATTGAAAAAAATTAATTTGTATATTCCTTCGAAAATTCCATTACATACTGATAAAGACTTCACCTTAACTTTGCAGTTAACAACGTTTTCAAGAAATGTTTATTGTGTTCGGTTTCGACCGACTTTTTTCAATTTTTATTCAGCTCTGTTCAATTATTATGCTGTTAAAAAAGCCAAAGCTGTGAACGCCGGTGGCCGTTGCCGAAGGTCCAACAATGATAACTACAGTAACCTAAAATGTTTATATTTTCCCCTGTTCTTTTTCGTGCGTTTTCAGTCGCTTTTTTCACTATCAAAACAATTTGGTATCAAATTTGAAGTTCCGACATGAATATTTCGTCAGAATCGAGATAAATTGGCTCAAAGTTGAAAGTAAAGGTGCCCTTCTAATACAGGTTCTACGGAATATAACATTTCCTTACCATGTTCCTCCATCTCGATAATATCTTTAGCCGTCAACATTATAACATCAAAATGTGATTGTGACCAAAAAAAAAAGAAACGAAGAAGCCAGCCAAATAATAACGTACTCTCTCTTTCGGTCTCATTTTCGCCTCCTTTTTCTTTTTCCCTACTTCCCTTCTCTCTAATCATCTGCTCACCTAGGCAACACGCCTCTGTCTCGTTTGTTATCATTATTCTGGGAAAGGGATATGTGTTGTTGTTTGATATGCGAAAAAATAACAGGAAGAAGAAAGTGGTTTTTTTACACAAATAATTTATTCTATACAACTGGCGGTCTATTAGTGCATGAACACCAGAAAAGTTTTCTTTAATCAATGGTTAGCAATAAATCAGGTCTAGAGTTCACTGCTTCAACAACTTCTTCCATTCCTCCATCGTTTTGACTGGGTCCGCTTTGATGCCGGCTTCCACGTCAGCACGAACACGGTCATGAACCACGTTGCCGTCGGAATCGACCAGTTTCAAAACCGGAATGACCGCAGCCTTGCACTTTTCAGCGAGTTTTCTGAAATTTACAAATTAGAAAAAATTTCAAATTCACAGATATAGAAAATTTACTTCATATTCTCATCACCAAATGGAATATACGGCCAATCTGGAAGATTCTTCTCATAATATTCCTCGAGATGGGCTTCCTCTTTATCCTGCGATACCCAGACAATCTCTAAATTCTTTCCAGCTTCCGATTCCTTGACAGCGTTATAGAATTTTTTGAGTTTTGGTGTTAAGAACTTACACGAACCACACCAACCGGCGGAGAAGTAGACAACGACTGTCTGGAAATAATTTATTTAAATAATCGGATTTTTTATCTGAGAAATAGAAAAAATACCTTGTTGTCAAAGTAATCTTTTGGCAGTGTTCCTTCGACACCTCGTTTTTTCATTGGCACCGAAGCCAAGAAATGAGCATTACGAATGGCAGAAAAGGACGAGAAGCATCCTCGAAGTAACGATGCTCCGGATCCTGTTAGAAGTGGCGGCGACATCGGAAGAAGAAAAAAACAATTTTTGAAGAACTGAAAGTAATGTATGCTGGAGCGAATCACGCTCGGTGTTCAAAAATGCGCACAATTATAGTAATTCGAATTTATCCAGAAAATTCGGGTTTCTACGTTACATCGGTACTGAAATAAGACAATAAACGGGGGTGAGAGGATCCTGGAGACACTAAACAGGCTACAATAAACGCGAAAAATCAAAGTCAAGCTCTGGTGAAATTGGCTCAGCAATGAGCAATTCCGGATCGGAAAGGGACTCCGAAAAGTGAAGGAGGAATTGTTTTGCACAGGTTTCAGAGATAGCACGACCGTCGAAACAAATGTTTACACCCATTCTGAAAATCCAATGTATTTTTTTAATTCCTTGCTATAATATTCTTACAATTTCTGTGTTTCCAATTCTCCGTTTCTCGGAACGACTTCTGTACGAGTACCTCCAATCGTCAGGATAGCACATTGTGGAGGATTGATGATAGCGGTGAAATTAGATACACTTCCGAACATTCCAAGATTCGAGATTCTGAAGGATTGGTTGATAGAAAACAAGTAAAAGTTCATACACCACATTTTGAGTTATCATCTCTGTTATTTTCTATGAAAACAATCATGTGAAAGTCTCATGACTACGAAAAACAGAACGGGAATCCTAACTTACGTGAAAGATCCTCCTTGGAATTGTTCTGGCTTCAGTTTGCTCTCTCTAGCCAATCCTGACAGTTCCTTGACCTCACTAGAAATAGCAAGAACACCCAAAACGTCGGCATTTTTAACGATTGGAGTGATCAAACCGGTTGGAGTGGCAACTGCCACAGAAATATCGACTGATCCAAGACGAACGATTCCTTCGGGGGTCCACCGGACATTGATAGTTGGGACAGACTGAAATTGAGAGATATTGAACGACGGGTGGAACAGAGAAGCAAAGAGAAAAATTGATTTATTTTTGAGATCTGTTCGATAAAGTTATCTGTGATATTCCTGACTTTATTGTGGAAATCTCATAAATTGAAGTTCTGAGCCTTTCAGATATATATTTTTCATAATTTCGACTCACTCTCAATGCGAGCGCAGCTGCTTTGATTATAAAATCATTGAGAGAAACCGCGGTTCCACTCTTCTTCAACTTCTGACGTAACGCCAAAATATCATCGATCCGCACATCGATTCCTTGATATTCATGGGGGACTTGTTGCTGAAAAAATGAAGTATTTTTAAGTAACAACGAACGAAACTCACTTTAGAAGCAGTCAACCGTTTTGCAATCACTGATCGGATATTGGAAAGTGGAATATCTTGATGGTGACGAAGACTTCGGTTGTTGGCCCCGAAAATGTCGGACTTCTGTGATTATAATTTTGTGAAACTAAATTGAACGAATTTTTCCACCTTTTCAATGGATTTTTTCTCTACATGTGTCTCTTTTGGTGCATGAACTTGATGAGCCACTGGCTTCAGTTTTTCAGCTTCCACAATTTTCAATACATCGCTTTTTAAAATATTTTTGTTTTTGGGGCCACTTCCTTCAATGTTTCTGTTCTCCAAGCCATATTGAATGAGCAGAAGTTTGACTGCAGGACCACACACTCTGAATATCTATTTTACTGAAACGAACTTATAAAATTCGAAACATACTTTTGGCTCTGTGTTGCAGTAGAAAAGTGACGCAGAGCTTGACCACCAGCTAGCATGATTACCCTGAATGGAATTAAAATCAAAACATAATAGAACGCGGAAGGAGGAGCCAAAAAAATCCAATGAAGAAATCGGCTGTGCGGTGCGAGGTGCAACTTCGCTCTACAGGACAATTTGTAAAAATTTTTATATTTGCTTTATTTTTCTGTTTTATCTATATGAAAAAATAGTGGAAAAAATTGAATGCTCAAAATCAGAAAAAAAAACCAAAAAAATCAGCGGAAAAATATTTTGTCCTCGAGAAGTACACAGCATTCGTTCCGAATTTTTGAAAGTTTAGACCGTGTGCGCCTTTAAGTTTACACTGTACCGATTTTTCAACTGTATTTTTTTTCCATTTTCTACTCGACTTTTGAGATTCAGAAAGAAATACTAAATAAATATGAAAAATTTTTCAGAATGTTCACCCGAATATTTCCACGAGCGGTGCCGAATCTCAAGCGATGGACGCCAATTCGCTTCAACTCTCAGCAAGTTGACCCAGCGAAAATGAAAGCGTTCCAAGAAAAAGTGGATAAAGGTACGTTCCCGGGCTATGACTCGTTCGAATTTAATAAAAATTTGGACTTTTAGCAAAAGTACGGCGTGCATATGCTCTTGGAGGATGCTTGATGTTTATCTGGATTTCGACTCATGGGATTTTGCTCTACAAGTATAACATTTTTAACCTTCAAAAAACTGTAAATTTGTTTTTTCAGGCGCCGAAGCGAGCACAGAAATCTGAACGAGAAGCTGCCACCGATTTCATGGGAAGAATTTGAACAGAAGTATCTTTCCACTGGCGATGTAAAATCCATTATCTTCCAACCACATTTCGAAACTGCCAATGTCTATTTACATTCAGCCATAGAGCAACAGATGAAGAAGAATTTTGTGGATCTGGTTCATACAACTCCCGACAAGTTCTCCCGTCCACCAGATGTCCGTTTCTACCTTGAAGCATCGGCAGATGACGTTCAATCTCTCGTCACAGCCGCTTCTCAAAAATACAAAGCCCACGTGGATTTCGAGCTCGATCAGTTCCCCAGCTATCGAGAACTCTCATTCATCGTCGGCTCTTCTCTGTTCGTATTAGCAGCCATCACAATGGCAAAGTAGGGTACATCATTCATTTGTAATTAGGTTTTTATTTTTTATTCGGGTTCGCCGATTTTGCAATATAATTTTTTATTCAAGCTAAACAATTTTAAGCAATTAAAAACCTAAAACTTCAAAGAAGTTCCATAAGCTGTCGGCGTATTCACTCGACTCATCTGCTCATTCATCGGAATTCCACGTCGCCTCGCTTCCTGCTCAACTATCGAATTCTGAACTTTCATCATCTCATCAAAAGTTCCTTGGCCTTCGATCCGACCACGATTCACAAAAACGACTTGATCGGCTTGTTGCATTGTGGCAAGTCTGTAGAAAAGGCATTGAGACAAATCGCTTGTCTGTGAATTACCTGTGTGCGATTACCAATACAGTCAAATTATGGTTTTTCAGCAAACTATCCAAAGTCATTCGAATCAAATAGTCCGACGTGGCATCGAGAGCACTTGTTGCTTCGTCTAGAATCATAACCTTCGGCATGGAAATCAAAGCACGAGCCATGGCGATTCTTTGCTTCTGTCCACCACTTAACTTGCATCCATGCTCGCCGACCATCGTCTCAAAACCATTCTCAAATCCCTGAATGAAATCCAACGCGTTCGCCAATTGTGCAGCCTCTTCTAATTGGAACTGACTAATACTTTCTGGGTTTTCTGCTCCCATCAAAATGTTCTCGCGAATCGAACAAGTAAAAAGTACAGGTTCCTGTCCTACAGTTCCAATTGCATGACGCCAAGCAGTCGCATTGATTTCTCGGAGGTCCACACCATCGACAGTGATTCTTCCATCTGCTGGGTCATAAAGTCTCAGCATTAGGCTTGCAATTGATGATTTCCCACTACCAGATGGACCAATCACTGCCGTAATTTTTCCACGTGGAATGCTGAATGAGATGTTTTCAAGCGTCTTCTTCCGGCCAGCATAAGCAAATGACACCTTTTCAAAGCGAATCGCTTCCTGGACATCGGTCTTTCTAATTCCAGTGGTAAGATTCATAACAGGCTGAGAATTCTTGAGTTCCAATAAACGAGAAGAAGCACCGAGACCTTTCATCACTTCATTGTAGAATCCTGATATATTGGAGAGACTTGCAGCAGCAAGAACCGCATAAAGGCAGAAGGAAGAGAGTTCTCCATAAGTAATATGTCCTGTGTTGATCAAATGACTTCCGTAGAACAAGATAGATGAGAATGCAGAGTATCCTGTGAATTGGAACTAAAAAAAATGTTTTTTATTCAAAATGCTTTAATTAGCGAACAATTATTACCGATCCAATCAAACTTCCTTTCGCCAATGCTTCAGTTTTTGAAATATCCAGGACCAGTTCTCCTTTCTTGCAGTACTCATCAATTGATTGTTGTTCAGCACTCAACATCCTGACAGTTTTCATATTAGCCATTCTCTCGATCGCCGTCTGATTCACATCTGCTGCGACTTCCTGTAACTGCCACGTACACTGTTGTTGCACTCTTCCAAACATTTTGAATATTCCTATTACAATCGGCGCGGTTAGAAAAGATACAGTAGAGAGTTCCAGTGATGTCATAAGCATCATGCCAACCGAACCAACGCCTACTAACACTGCACGAACTCCAGCACGTAGTGATGATGAGACGGAATAGCCAACGATCACAGTATCAGCAGCGTGGCGGGAACCGATTTCTCCGACCTGGAAAAGGACATTTTTCGAAAAAAAAGTTCGATAATCGAACTTCGAAAGAAATAAAAGTAAAATTTACCATGTTTTTATCGAAAAATGTCATGTCCTGCCGAATAATTGAGCTGTACACTGCCTTCCGAAGGCTTCCAACAATATTGACACCTGGAAAAGATATATTGTTTTAAAACCGGCTTTTTCAAAAAAGAACCTGCAATCTGTAGGCAATAAACTTTTGCAGCTGTTGCCAACGCTCCAACCGCTAACAATCCAACTAAAGCCATTGGTTGGTCTTTGAAAAACTTTGCGATTCTCATCGTAATCTCCTCTTCCGACCTTTTTGTATTATTGTCGAATTGATCAATAAGTTTACCAAGAATTCGGGGAATAATCAAAAAGATACCACTGGACACCACCATGAAACTTGTACCTACTAAAAAAATTCGTTGAAGCTGATTAAATTTCCAATCGAACTCACAGAAAATCCATTTTCGAAATGGCTTTGCAATTTCATATAATTCCACTAAATCCTTCCAGGTTGTGTGTCGCAGAAGATAGGCGGCGTTTCTTCGATCAACTCGGCTAATCTAAAAAAAAACTCGAAAATATTTAAAATCTCTTTTGTCGACCCACATTTTGATTCAACTTCTGATTCTTGATTTTTGCAGTCAAATCTCTTCTTAAAACTGTCACAGGTGTCATTTTGGCCTGCAGGAGCATGCGATAGGTTGAGGTTGGAAGTTGAGAGCATAGTGTGTTTCGGAGAGGACAAAGACATTGCATTTTCTGAAAAACAAAATTCTTGATTGAGATTTAAAAAATTATTTCAGGTACGCAGGTGTTGTAACTGTAAGAAATACAACTTCTTCGCAATTGTGTTATTCAAACTTTATTCATTCGCCAACAAACACAGACTGAACTACGCCTGACCGCCAAAAATTTGAACCTTTCTAAAAATATTACTGTAGTCAGTTACCAACTATTTATAGACTAGAACATTTTTCGACCGCCCGAAAACTCGATGGTTTTTATAAAGACTCTCGGGAAATTCTCTTGTCTGTCTACGTCTCTCTTACTTTCTCATCACTTGTTTTGTTGCTCCCTTTGAGCACTCGAGTAATGACACAGAGACCGATCAAAAAGTTCGTAGACTACAGAGAATTGTTGGATGAGTGATCAGTGAACAGTTCGATCAGAACTTTGATATAAGATCTTTAGAAAGAATATGATTTTAAAGGATTTTTAGGTTATAAGCGAAACCCAAAAAAACCATTTTCAGAAAACTGAAGCTCGAACGTTAGTTTCCAACACTTCTGGAAGCCTTAAAATTGTTAATAAAGAAAGAATACATTTTGAAGAGGAGAAAACGATATACGCAGAGACAGAGAGAACAAAGAGACAGTTTGAGAGTTGGAATAGACGCAGCAACGATGAAAATGAGTACAAATAAGTACTCGGAGGCCATGGGATCTATAACACATAGAAAGTTCCTAAACTGATGTCTTCAACAATGATTTCGTGAAAATCAGGCAGACATAAACCAAATCTGAAAATTTCATTCCAAACTTTAATCAAAAAAATTTGTGATACCATAAATTACACCCAACGCCAAGAAAACGCACCAGAGTAAAGCTATTGTTCAGAAAATTCAAAAATCGGTTCTTCGAAACAAATACGTATCGTCATGGGGAAAACAGAAAAAGGGAAAAAGAAAAGAGGTTTGGGTTAAAAGTTGAGCAACAGATTTTTCAAGTTGAAAAAATTCGATCGAAGAAGGATATAAATAAAAAAGAAAAAATAGTTTAGTGGTTAGGATCATAGTAATCTGGATCAGAACCGGATTTCGACGAAGAAAACGAAGATCTGCTAGATGATTGATCCGTGGTGTCTAGAATAATATGTATTCATTTTGTTCTTTCTATAATTTCTTACATGTACAAGTGTTCGCCAGGAACTGTGCTTTGAATGATGGCTGAAGGATATTAAAGTCGATTTGCTTATGGAACAGCATACATCCACGTGTTGTTGGAATCCAATTTACTCCAAGACATTTCTCACGACGACGGATGTGGGACCAGGAGCATTCAGATTCACAGCTCTCTGAAAATGGTTCTTTTTGGAAATCGAAACATGAAATTGATGCTTGTCTTGCTTACCTAAATCCTGTAATCCTCCAACAATAGTGGCATCAAACGAGTTGTAAATAGAATTATTATACAATCGATAGCATTCCTTCTTCGTACCCGAACTTCCGATTGATGATTCTTATAATTATTCTTTAATTGTCTATGTTGTAAATTTGTTAATTACCCGTGGTAGTAGTTCCCCGTGGCTGGCAAGTGTTCTCAAAATAGTCAAAATCCCTCGAAGCTACCAAAGTGTCACCTCCATTCAAATGCAAGTTTCCACCGTTCAATGTGCAAACCTGAGAACAATAGAATACAATTTATATGAAGTAGATTGACATACTTTTAATCCAAAACTATAATTAATAGATGCGCAATAGAAGTTGAGAGAATTATGAGAGCATTGTCTCATACAAGTCTCCAAGGTGACTCCACCAATACGGGATTCTTCGAATTTGTGTAGAATACGATTCTGGGTTTTGATAAAACAAGCGGCTGGAAATACAGTAATGTTTAAAACACCAACCAAAGAAAAAAATCAAACCCAGATTTTCAAAAACTGGCGGTCTTTCACTTCTTTGTCTTCTCTCTTTGGCCAGGTAGGAAACATCAGATTGAACTTGTGGTGGAGGAGGTGTCCACACTACTTGCGATGTGGAATCCACTAATGGGCGGGGAGAGATGAAGACTTTGGCGTTCTGAAAAATAACATTACAGATTCATTAAAAAAATAATAATCTCACTCGGTTTCTCTTTTCGACAAATCTCTGTGGAAGAAGTGGTGGTGATGGTTGATCAGCATAAACAGTTTTCTGAACACAAATACCGTAAAACCTGTTATAGCCCCTAAATTTCAACTTTGAGCCAATTTTTCTCGGTTCATTTCAAAGATATACAAAAAGTTGTCAACCGATTAATTGCTTATTCTAATATTAGAAACATTTGTTCAGTTGACACATGTTTTATATCTTTCACAGGAACCTTCATGAATTAGCTCAAACTTGACAGCGTGGATGAAGGCCCTTCTATTACAGGTTTTATGGTATTCAATTCTGACCAAAATTCAAATCAAAACAACTCACACTAAAAATCCCGTTCTTCGGATCCAATGGGAATTGCTTCACCGCATGAACTCTTCTTAACTCGTTGGTTGTTGGAACAGCTTGTTGGGTAGTGATAATTGGTGCATTTGTAGTGGCACCTGGAGTCAAGATAACATTCCCAATAACTCCAATAGTCTTGACTGGAGCCGCTGTTGTTCTAGTTTGTTCTGTGAAAATAGCCAAGCGAATCGTCTCGTTCTCAGTAGAGGCACATCGATTCTCGTAAAGGTCTATTTGAAGTCCTTTTGATTTTCTGGAACCAATGTCAGTTATTTTAAGAATTGCAACATGCGGCCTCACTTGATGTTTCTCTCATGTCTCGCATATTTTGAAAGAACGCAATTTTGGGTGTTCACATTATACATTACAGTTTTACATTTGATTTTATGGTTCATCGGAGCTTGGATACACTTCCGGAGACACTCATTGACATCATCAATATTCTCAATAAGCACGTTTCCAGACTTTTCCAAAAACTCATTGCTGTGAAGGACGAAACAAGAAAAAACATCTTTGGAACGGTAGAGGGCAAAGGACGAGCTGAAAATGTGTCTTCAAAAATTCTACAAGCTTGACTATTCCCTATCCTCACCGTCGTTTAATCTCTCATTCATCTTTCCATTTTTTTTGCTTTGTAGAAAAATTAGAAAGGAGGAACCGTTGTAAACAAACAACCTTCGTTTTTACACTCGATAGGAACATTCAAATGTTTGTATCTCTATCCCCACACACATCTACCCATAGATCGCCAGTTTTTGATCTTTAAATTAGCAAAATCGTCCCGCTTCACGAAGAAACAAAAAAAGGAAGGAAAAGAACTGTCTATAGTTTAGGAAGACGGGAAACTGTTGTATTTAGGAGGAGGACGAAAAATCGAAAATCGGAAAATGTAATCTTACAAGCAGACACGGTAGAGTTTTTGTAATGCTGCAACAATGTGTTACGTGGTATAATTAGTTTGCTAACAGGTTGGAAACCGTCAGGAACTGTACAAACCACGGTGGTAAAATCGGGTACATGGATTTGAATTCGAGATTTTGCGCCTTTTTCATTCGCCGCGCGGCGCGTGCGTGGATGGCAGTTTTCAGTATCATCCTCGCAGTTTAAGTAACATTTCATGAGCCGCTAATCAGCGAATTTCAACCGCGACGCGTCCGAAAAAACGCGAAATCTNGATTCAAATCCATGTACCCGATTTTACCCCCGTGGCAACTAAACATGAAAAGTGTTCAGAAAGATTTCGTTTCAGGATACTGCACCACCTACAACTATTTTGATGCGAAATAAAGATATGTGTGGAAAACTGATCAACTAATGAAAGATGCGACATAAACTAATAT